ACAGAAGTTAAGAAATGGAAATAGGGCCCAATGTGATAGCCTGGTGGCTAAAGTCCTCTCTTTGCACAAGCCGGGATCCCATACGGGCACTGGTTTGTATCCCAACTACTCCACTTCCCATCCAACTCCCTGTTTGTGGCCTGGGGAAGTAGTCAAGGACGGCTCAAAGCCTTGGGACCCTGCACCCACATGGGAAACCCAGAAGAAGCTCCTGGCTTCGGATTGGCTCAGCTCTAGCCACGAGGCCACTTGAGGAGTGAACCAGTGGGTAGAAGATCTTTCCGTCCCCTTCTCTCTGTAAATCTGCCTTTCAATAAAAATAAATAAATCTAAAAAAAAAAATTGGAGACAAAAACAAATCCTTTGTAATGCTGCTATATGTACTTGAAAAGGATTGGTTTCTTTCCACCTGACCCTTAGGATAAAGAGCTGTGCTTTCCTTCCCATGTGTCCCGTTTCTCTTAATATGTTAACTGTATTGATTGTTTTTTAAGAAGCAGGGAGCTGGCTTGGAAGTGGAGCAGCTGGAACAGGAACTGGCGCCCACGTGGGACGCTGTGGTTGGAAGTGGAAGATTAGCTAGTTGAGCCATTGTGCTGGCTCTAGCTGTATTTATGCTTAAGCGTCTCAAACAATGAAAACCAGAATTTAATCCAGTTGTGTTGGCTTTAAGAAAGGATCACCTCCTTACATTCCCTGACCTGACAATAGCCCTTTCTGTTCGGCCTGTGGCTCCTCGGGCGCATCCGTGGTGGTGGGGACGGATGGGTAAGGACGGCTAAGCAGAGCCAGCACAGTCAGCACTGCCTGCTTTATACTGGGACAAGTCGCCGTTCTCCAGTCTTTCAGCCCAGCAGCATCTGTGTCCCCTGGGAAGTTGTTAGAGCTGCAGAATCTTGGTCCAATCTAGACCTAGTAAATCAGAAACTCCAGGGGCGGGCCCAGCCCGGGGCCTTACTAAGCCTGGGTAATGCTGATGCATGCTAACTTTTCGGATAGGATAGCAAGGCTTTCCCTGTCGGTAATTGTATCCTGAAGTATCTTGTTGTATTTGACTTAAGACAATGGAATGAGTTCTCTTTCACCTGAGTGCAATGAGGAACCAGCTTAGTATGCGCTAGGGTCAATATTCCTTGTTAGGAAGCCCAGACGTTTAGAGATTCGGCAAGCAAGAAGGGAAATAGTGGTCTGTCTCTCTTTGTGAAATCACAAGGTAAGCGATCAGGGTTGCCACGGGTCCTGCTGATCATCAGTAATTGGGTTCAATTACTCTGCTTCTAGTCCTTGTTAATGGCATTGGGCAAAGTTGTCCGTCAAAGAGCTGTTAGAATTTGTAGTTCCTTTATGGGTAGCTATTTCAGACTCATGACTTAATCATCACAGGATCACCTAAGGTAATGTCTGAGACCCAGCCAGATAACGAAATTAATTTAAAGAGTAGTTTTAACATCAAGCAAACTTGATCTAAGAGTAGTGAGCCAGGGCTAGAACCCCAGGCTGAGGGAGCTGGGCGCTCTTGGGTCTTCTGACCAGTGTCATGAGGTGTGGGAGAGAGAAAGCTTCCAGCCGTGGACCCAGGTTCATGTCCAGGCCTGCTGCTCCTGTGTCCTCAGAGTTGCACTTGCTGCTTTGTCGGGAAAAGGAACAATGCCGGCTCCCTCAGGTGCTTGGTAGATGACGGGAGGGCTCCTCCCTGCGGGGCGGGGCTTCCAGGTACTTCAGAATCCATTCTCCCTTCTCTGCTCTCAACATAAAGATTATCCTAAACAAGAAAATCTACCATTTTATTTTTCTGTGCTCCACAAAGTGTTTTTAAGATGAGTCCAAGTCATCTCCCTGCCCCCAGTGACCGGGTAGCAGCCAGTTGAGTGAGCTTTTCCTGTGTATTGGATCTCTTTCAGAACTCAGCAGATAAGAAGTATGATGCTTTATGCTTTTGTTTGAGTCTTTATTTAGCATGTTATAAAGCTGTTGTGGTGCTGGGGACTTTGAGATTAGAAATTATCCCTTTATAGTCATAACTGCCAGGAAATCTTTTTTTTTTTTTTGAGAAAAGCAGAGTGTGTCGCTCAGGGCCAAGTCAGTGGCGATCTTGAGGTGGAACTCAAGCCCAAATGTGACGAGTATACAAGATGAGCGACTAAGAGGGAAGCAAGGGACAGGCCAGGAGGGAGCCGAGACTGCCGTGTCTGGCCTGCCCACCGCGAGGACGGCTTTCCCAAGCACTTGTCACCTTTAATTTTTTTTTAACTCTCTAAATAAAGTTCATCATTGTTTTAGTGACTCTGTGGTTAATTTTTTCTAATGAGACTAGGTTAACTAAAATCATCGGACAAGGAAGAGAAGAAAGTGAGGTTAAAAAGGAACCTATTTAGCAAGTGAATTGTAGCAAGCAAAAAGAAAAAGTGCAGTGGTTACGTAAATAAGCTATTGTTACATGCCTGCAGGTTGGCGTTGTCCAGGGACTTGCTAAGGTTTAGAGGGTCAGAGGAAGCCATGTAATTAGGTGTTTAGGAAAAAATAATAACAATAAAAGGCAAATAGCCACCAGAATTAGGACGGCTGACACGGCACTAACAGAAATGCCTGATTAAACTGGGGCTCAGTTGTTGGAACCGCCTCGGGATTCCAAGGAAGGGTAACAACCCCTCCTTTCTCTCCGCCCCCCCAAAAGAAAGCCAGCCAGAATCGGAGCCAACAGAATTGCTGATGAGGACAGTTTAAAGGCCTGGCCCCAGGGTCCTGGGAGCAGTGGCAGTGGGCCTGGCCATGGCGCCATGCTGAGCAGCAGGAAGAAGTACACTGTGAGTGGGAACAGAGCCCAGGTGAGACTCAGCTCTCCCTTGCTAGTCGCTGTACCCGGGGCTGCGAAAGGTCAGCTGGCCGCGCTCACTGCCCTGCTGCTTCCTTCCCTGCTCTCGTCCCTCTCTCAACAGCCTCTCCCTCGCTTGTCCTGTAGGGATTATGTGGTTGTCCCCCCTTGAAATGGGACCTTAAGGGACACTTTGGTTGCAAAGTTGAGAATTCAGAGATATAATCTACTACGGTCCCACAAGAGGAGTGGCGCAGATTGACCCATTAGCAAAGGGGACCGTTGGTGGACTAATGACATTTAATTACTGAGCAGAGGCAGGCACCAGGGATGACTGCTTAACTCCTCTGCTCTGGTTATCGGTGAGATAAGCAGTTATTTCTTGGGGAAAGTGTATCATTCTACGTAACCAGTGAGTCGCTGAGAGCCTTTTAATTCAGTATCTAACCAGTAAGCAAGGTTTTACAACTAACTCAGTGTTTAAATGGAGCAAGACTGCACAGCCTGGTTTCCAGTGCTAAAAGACAGCCTAAAATTGTCCTGGGTGGAAGGGACTACTATAAATGGAAAAAACTGTTGCCAAGGGAGCGCAGCACAGGGAAACTGACTTGAAAAGATGATGCTGCTCCTGTGAGCGGGTTTAATGTCGCTGGAGCCCATTGGTCTGTCCTCACCTGTCGCGGTTGAGGATGATAGCAGCGAGCCCCCTCTAGTGGTGTCTGCGTGTGTGTACATGTATGTGCAGGTGTACAGGGAGTTGTTGCCCATCTGATCCAGGCGGGAGGGAGTCATGCAGTGCAGCCTTTAGAAAGTTGTAACTGCTTTCCTTAAGATGGGAGTGTAGAGTAAATACAGATGCATGACCCTCGCGAAAATGGCTGGGGTGTGGAAGGCAGAGTTCTGAGCTGACAGCCATCCGCCTCCCCAGTGCCCCACTCCTCCTCTTCCCCTTCCCAGCATTTTTTTTTTTTGCAGACATGGCTTGTGCTTGCTGCGCAGTCAGCCGAGCCTAGGGAGGAGCCTAGGTACTTCAACTCCTTGCCGCAGCAGGCGCTTGAGCGCCTGAGCACAGGTGTGCGCTCAGCCCCCACCTTGGCGGAGCCTGTAATTCACGGAGGATACAGGTGGGCAGAGAGCTGGTTTATGCTGTGTGTGGTAAGCGCTGTGTTAGAGAAGTCTTTGGAGTTTTGTGTACGTCTCAAGGACGTATGCAGAAACAGCACTTTCTCATTGGGAATAAATTGCTACTTTAGCAGAGTAACCAATTTGTCATTTTTAATTTTGCATCAAGCTTTCCATGTAAACACGTTTTCCCGTTGCTGAAAATGATTTGCAAACTCTAAAGACCTGCAGAGGCTTTATTTGTTGTTCGAGCAATGGAAAAGCTCCGTGTTCCCCTAAGAGGCAGTGCTGGGCTAACTCAGAGGGGCTTTGGCGCCTTGCCTCTGTAGTTGCCTCTGTGTGCAAGATGGGTTGCTGCTGGGGGCCGCTTTTCTTCCGGGATGCTGTGTCCCTGCCCCTGGGCAGGAAACCATCTCCTCATTATAGGAAGTATCTTGCAAGGTCTTGCATCTCTTTTGCTCCAGCTTCTTCTTTGCCATCTTGGATCCAGCAGAATCTAAGAGTTTTTGTTCTCTAGAGAACAAGACATTAGTTGCGTAAGTTCCATGAGCTTTGGTTTTCAGAAAGTGTTAGAATGTGGGAGAGCAAGATCAAAACCACAGAGTCATTGTCGGATGTTGTCCAGGGGCAGCCTCCCAAGTCGGAGCGGAGGCTCTGCCTGTCCAGGCCACTCATCTCCGGCTGCTGTTGTCACAGTTACCTGGTGATCAGTCGTGTGGCTTCTAGATATTTTATGACCCCAGACATTTAAAAATAGTGTTCATTTTCCAGGTCCAGGAAGCTCATTTCTGAGTGTGACTTGACTTTCTACAAATTAATTTTAATCAGGACATCTCATTCTGTACTTTTGGGGTTGGAGTTTTACTGTGAAAAGCAGATGGTCAGAGAGTGGACTAAGATTTGAAGTTTATACAATCACAGTAGGTCACCAATAAAAATCTTTTTTCCTTTCAAAGAGTCTTTGTCCCGGTATGGAGTGGGCATAGTCAGATCACACCGTGAGGTGAACTGTGGTTCGCTGATTCGAAGTGGAGGTTCTTGATAAAACTAGCTCTCTTTCTCTTAGCAGATCCAGTTTGCTGACCAGAAGCAGGAGTTCAACAAGCGTCCCACCAAGATCGGACGGCGCTCCTTGTCTCGTTCCATCTCTCAGTCGTCCACTGACAGCTACAGTTCCGGTGAGTAGACAGCTGCTGTGCACTCAGTTGAGGCAAAGCGGACAGGTCTGCCCAGAGGACCCGCCCCGTGCCCAAGGCTCATGGTTGGTCAGCAGGCCTCTGCTTTTTTTTTTTTAAAGATTTAATTTTTTATTGGAAAGTCAGATATACAGAGATGAGGAGAGACAGAGAGGAAGATCTTCCATCCGATGATTCACTCCCCAAGTGAGCACAACAGCCGATGCTATGCCGATCCAAAGTCAGGAGCCAGGAACTCTTCCAGGTCTCTCACACGGGTGCAGGGTCCCAAGGTTGGGCCATCCTCGACTGCTTCTCAGGCCACAGGCAGGGAAGTGGAGCTGCCGGGATTAGAACCGGCGCCCATATGGGATCCCGGCACCTTCAAGGTGAGGACTTTAGCTGAGGCCACCCGCCAGGCCCAAGGCCTCTGCTTTAAATGAATACTTTGTGTCAAAATTTAGCAAGTCTGTAAATTTCTGTTGGGAACTCAGAGGAGCGGAGTCCTTCCCCTTCTAGAAGCAGATGAGGGTTAAAGACATGAGCTCTTGGACTTGTAGCGGAACCAGCTGGAAAGTGGCCGCAGGAAGCCATGCAATTCTTTTACAGGAAGCAAACTTGTAAAAATTAGCTCCCTTAAACAAAAATGCCCCCTTTAAAAAAAGATTTATTTATTTTTTTAGAAAGGTATATTTACAGAGAAGGAGAATCAGAGAGAAAAATCTTTTATCTGCTGGTTCACCCTCCAAATGGCTGCAACAGCCAGAGCTGATCTGATTTGAAGCCGGGAACCTCCGCCAACTCGCCTACACAGGTGCAGGTCCCAAGGCTTTGGGCCATTCTCTGCATTCCCAGACCACAAGCAGAGAGCTGGATGGGAAGTGGGGCAGCTTGGACACGAACCAGCACCCTTATGGATACTGCGCTTGGTGGTGGAAGATTACGTGGTTGAGCCACTGCACCAGTCCCATTTCTTCAAAAGTTAGCGACATGTTTCTGAGAAAGCTGTTTGTGCAGTGAGTTCACTGGCGGTGAGTGAGGAGGGGGCTGAAGTCCCCAGTTCATGATTGCTGCTTAGAAAGTTTAAAGCACTTTACATTGTTTCAAACACCAAAGTTGTGCTTCTCCCAGATTTCTAAAGTGTCGATTCCTTGGTGAGATCCGCTGCTCAGTGAGATCCGCTGCCCACGGCTGTATCCTCAGCATCCTTACCGTTACTGCTGTTACCAAGTGAGGAGGCTGGTCTTAAAGGACTGCGTGAGCTAGAGCGGTCTGATGGGGCTAATTCAGGGCCCTGAGCTCTGCTTCTCCGGGGTGACGGTCTCACCACTGCCCAGAGGAAAGGCTCAGTCAGCCCGGAGCAGTGGGACGTGGGGTGGTAGTTCAGTAAAGAGTGCAGGGAGAAAGGGAGGCCATTGTTCTCTGTATTGTAGTAGGATAAATTGAAAATTGGTCTTTTAACCGCAGTGGAGCAAGGCGTGGTCTTGGGTCTCAGGTCTGTACTCTAGTGGGTTGTCAGTTGTTCACTTAAATATGTCAACTGTTACAAACACTGCAGACTACTCAGCATGTTTATGTTTGTGCGGCCAATCAACCCTGATGTATTTCTACGGTTTCCATGAATGTGGTGCTTTAAATACAGTGGCAGAAGAGGGTATGAGGGGCCCACCTCTGTGGTATAATGGGTTAATTTGTCATCTGCAATGCCAGCATCCCATATTGGAGCACCAGTGCTCATTTCCAATCTAACTCCCTGCCACGACACCTGGAAAAGCAGCAAAAGATGGTCCACGTACTTGGGACACTGCCACTCGTGTAGGACACATGAGTGAAGCCCCTGGCTTCGGCCCGGCCCCGTCGTGGGGCAGTTTGGGGAATGAACCAATACACTCTCTGTTAGTTTACCTTTCAAGCAAGTAAATCTAAGAAGAAAGAAGAAATGAATATGACTTCAAAAGACAGGTGATTAAAGGCTGTGCTACTTCAGAAATAGTCTTTGCACTGTTTGCATAAATGACACTTGATCTTGTTGCATGCAATAATGGACTATCTAGACAACCGATACTTGTGATCCGTCCCTAATTCCAAGTCTGTGTTAAGACCCTGTGAAAACAAATGCATTTGACTCAAAGAAAACCATTGATTGAACTAACGAAAATAGCTTGTTTCCATTGAGTCAGGGAAATGCTGTACACAGCTCTTTTCTTTGAAGTAGAAAAAACAAATCCAAGCCAAGAATTGCAATGTTTCTCTCAAGGGGAAATGTTTTGTTTGTTTATTTATTTATTTTGCTTTTTGTTTTTCCTGACTCATCCTTAGAATCTGAAGAGGAATAGGAGGAGAAAGCTATTCTGGGTAGAGTTAGGACTCCAGTCTAACCTTTTTAATCACTGCCAGCCAAAATGGATGCTAGTTCAAATCCCCTAGTTCTACTTCCAATCCAATTCCCTGCTAATGCTCCTGGGAAAGCAGTGGACGATGGTCCAAGTGCTTGGGTCACTGCTGGTTCTCTCCTCAAATGGCAACAATGGCTGGAGCTGAGCCAATTTGAAGCCAGGAGCGTCCTCTGGGTCGCTCACGTGGGTGCAGGGTCCCGAGACCTTGAGCCATCCTCTACTGATTTTCCAGGCCACAACAGACTGCTGAATGGGAAGCAGAGCAGCCAGGACATGAACTGGTGCCCATTATGGGATCCTGGCACTTGCAAGAGGAGGATTAGCCAATGGAGCTGTGTTTGCTAGGCACACATATATGTGTTTATATATATATATATGTGTGTGTGTTTCTATTAGAAAGGCAAATATACAGAGAGGAGGAGAAACAGAGAGGAAGATCTTCCATCCAATGGTTCACTCCTTAAGTGAGCGCAATGGCTGGAGCTGAGCCAATCAGGAGCCAGGAGTTCCTCCAGGTCTCCCACGTGGGTGCAGGGTCCCAAGGACTTCGGCCATCCTCAACTGCTTTCCCAGGCCACAAGCAGGGAGCTGGATGGGAAGCAGGGCTGCCGGGATTAGAACCAGTGACCATATGGGATCCTGGTGCGTACAAGATGAGGACTTTAACCACTACGCTATTGTGCTGGGCCCAGACCCTATTTTTTTTTTCAAGGATCATTTATTGAAAGGTCAAGTTAAAGTGAAAGAGAAAGAGGTCTTCCATCTGCTAGTTCTTTCCCCAGATAGCTGCAAAGGCCAGAGCTGGGCCAGTCCAGAGCCAGGAGCTTCATCAGGGCTCCTAAATGGGTATCAGGGTCCCAAGCACTTGAACCATCTTGTGCCACTTTTCCAGGAGCATTAGCAGGTAAATGGATCAGAAGTGGAGCAGCTAGTCACCTACCAGCCCCTATATGGGATGTGGGCATTGCAGGCAGCAGCTTAGCTTGCTAACACACAACATCGACCTCACCAGTGGATTGGCATGGCCATCAGCGAGCATACACTAATGTGGCCTTCAAAAGGATTTGAACTTTCAGGACATTCTGAGTGGAAACTCTCCCACAGCAGTTTCCCAGTAAATGGGGGTCAGGATTGGGGCTGGCAATTGCCTTTCTTTTCTCGCGTGGTAGACGTGTGGCTCCCCCAGGTGTCCAGCTGCCAAGCCACCTGCTAATATTGATCAGTGAGACATGACTGTTTCTGGGCGCTCTTGCCAAAAGTACTTTGAGCTCTCACTTGCCCTAGGAGGGGAACCATAAACTTATTTGTACAGCTTAGCTTCTTTCAAGAACAAAAGTCCCTTTGGGGATTTACTAATTGCTGCCCCTCCCTGGCACCCATGTTCCTTCCCGTGACCTGGTGGTGGGACTTTGCTCCCAGCAGAGCCTCAAGCCGCTGCTGCCTCAGCGCTGTGGCGTGCCATGCCTGCTGAGCTGGGCGAGCTCGGGCTTGTCTCTGCCGCCCTCCCAGGACTGACCCTGCGCTGAGAAATCCCAGAAGTGCCTTAATTCCCTGTGGAGGAGATCGGAGCGCCCGCTCGGCGTCCGCAGCTCTCTTGCCTGAAAGCAGGGCTTCTTACTCAGAGATGTGAAACGCCATGAGCGTCGGCAAGGGTTGTCCTCGGAGACTGAAGCATGTATCGAGGAAGCGGAGGGTTGCAAATCATCCAGGGGATGTTCTCTCCTGAGGAAGACCTCCACCAGGGCCGAGAGCGGCAGCCGCTGCCTGGCAGTGTCCGCCAGCGCCTTGACCCTTCACCCCTGAGCGTGTATTGCTAAATGTATTAGTTATCACAGGAATCTGTTGAATCTAAAATGCCAAATGCAGGAGCCGCCGAGGGGCAGCAGGAAGGCAGCGTGTATTCAGTACTTCATTGTCAGTGTCTAATCAGATCTGCAAGCGAGGCCCAGGCCCGTGAGCCTGTCTTTGAAAGGAAGCTCTGTTGTGTCAGACAAACACTCTTTGTGTGGTTCTTGATTATGTTCCCATGGAGTGTTGGTTTTATCTGTTCAGTGGTTGCACTCTTTCTGAGACACAAATTGTGTCAGAAATTGAAGTAGTAGCAGAGAAGAGCTGGGATCCCAGAAACCCAGCGGCTGATGACCAGGCTTGAACCCAGCACTACCAAGACAAGCTCTTTCTTTTGCATATTTAAGGCCTTCTTCCTCTGCTGAAGATACAGTAAGTTCTAGAAGTCAAGCTGATATTCTCCAGGGAGCATGTCTTTGGAAGCCATTCTGGGCTTTCCCATTCAGACCCGCGGCTCGCACTTGCCCTGGGAGATGACCGAGCCAGCTCCGTGGGACCGGAGGTGTGCACTGGTGTGGGGCTGGGGTCCTGACGACACCCAGGCCCCTCCGCGGGCTGGAATTCCCGAGGATGCCGTGTTTCTCCCTGAGAGTCCCCTATCCTGTCGTTGCAGCGGCCTCATACACAGACAGCTCTGACGATGAGACGTCCCCCAGGGACAAGCAGCAGAAGAACTCCAAAGGCAGCAGCGACTTCTGCGTCAAGAACATCAAACAGGCGGAGTTTGGACGAAGAGAAATTGAAATTGCTGAGCAAGGTAAAGCAGGCAAGCGTTTTCCCCTCTCCATCTGCTTGTGTCCTGGACTCTGGGAGTTAGTGAGGCTTCAAGGTGGCGTTGAGTAGTCTGAGCTCAGGAACACCCTAAGGGAGGAGGCAAGCTCTGGAAAGGTCTAGAAGGAAGCCTGGACGAGGACAGGACTGGCACGTCGATAGTCACAGCTCTTGGAAAGCCATTAGAGGGAAAGTGCCAGGGACGCGCATGACGCACTGACTGCGCCAGTCCTCGGTCAGAGTCCAGTTCAAGTCCCAGCTGCTGCGTCCGGCTTCCTGCTAATGGCCCAGGGAAGGCAGCAGAAAATGGCCCAAGTACTTTAGTTTGGCCAGACTTGGCCATTGTGGCAAGTAACCAGTGAGTGAAAGATAAGCTTCTTTCTCTTTTTTTCTCCCTCCCTCCCTCTTCCTCTCTGTTGCTCTACCTCTCCACTAAGTCTTTAAGATTTTTTTTTGAAGATGAATGTCCTGATCCATTGAGAAACTTCGAAAAACAAACTGTACCAGGGAAATGGTGTTAGCTGCAGCGAGTAAGTCTTCTGTTTGTTCTTTCATCTCATTTCCCCTTCTACCTCCTTTTCCAGAAATGCCTGCCCTGATGGCTTTGAGGAAGAGAGCTCAAGGAGAAAAGCCTTTGGCCGGAGCCAAAATCGTGGGGTGCACACACATCACTGCTCAGACCGCTGTGAGTCTTCTTCGTGTTCCCTCCTAGCCAGGGTTTGTAATTGCCGCCAGCTGTGGGGAGCTCACCACCTGCTGAGCCTCTGAACTGAAGCAAGCGTTAGTTCATTAATCCTTGTAAAGGCCTGAGAAGTAAGCAGGCCTGCCTGCTTCGTGTGCTGGTAGGATGGTTCCAGCTATTCTCTGATCACAGATTGAGCTGAGAAGCAAGAAGGACTATTTCTTCCCCTCATCCAAGAGCAAAGAGACTTTCTGGGAAGTCCCAGAGGCGTGTCCTCTGTGTGTAATGGAACAGAAGGAGGAGGCGCGCTCCTTCCTCCGATCCTAGCATGGGCACCTGCCTGTGGTCGCCTTCCCTCAGGGAGCCCACCCTCATCAGGTGCAATGTCTAATCCTGCCCCGGCTCATCCAGATCCAAAATCCACATAGCATATGTGTAGGTACCTATAATTTTTTTTTAATCAACCTTAAGTTAAATTCAAAAGAGGAATAAAAAGAATGTAAGTTTTTAGAAAGATATTATTTATTTCAAAGAGAGATAAATCTTCCATGCACCAGTTCATTCCCAAAATTGCCACCCTGGTTCCGGGCTGGACTGGGCAGCAGCCAGGAGCCCTACTGCTTTTCCCAGGCCATTAGCACAGGACTGGACGGGCAGATCCCAGATGTCGGAATTCAGATACTCTTTAAAGTGAAAAATGGAATTGAAATGATAGAATTAAATATTAACCGAGAATGAGGACTAGAAATTTTAAAATACATACATATATAAATACAAAATATATAAATATGTAATACAAAAAAATGGTATATGAGTAGTTCTGCTGTTTAATTATGTAGTTTTAGACAAATCACTTAGCCTAAATTAGTGGAATTTTCTACAAGTATTTTTAAAAATCAAAAAATTTGAAAAAAAAAATTGGGGGGCCTGGCACAATGGCTCAGCTACCTCAGAGCACAGCATCCCATATGAGTACAAGTTCGTATCCCGGCTGCTCCACTTCCCGTCCAGCTCCCTGCTCGTGGCCTGGGAAAGCAGTCGAGGACGGCCCAAAGCCTTGGGACTCTGCTCCAGGCTCCTGGCTTCAGATTGGCTCAACTCCGGCCATTACAGCTGCCTGGGGAGTGAACCAGTAGATAGAAGATCTTTGTCTCTTCTTCTCTCTATAAATTTGTCTTCCAATAAAAATAAATAAATCTTTTTAAAAAATAAGATATATCATTTGCAAGCATTCTCTCCTATTATGAACTTGGTCTGTCCACTTTCTTTTTAAAAAATTATAAAATTTTATCTGCAACTTTTAGTAAGTTGAAAAAAACTATTTTAAAATACACATTTAAATAATAGAAGTTGTCAGTACCTGTGTGTTTACCACTGTCAGGACATCTTAAAGCAAACTGTTTAATTAAATATTTATTCTCTTAAAAAAAGATTTTTTTTTCTATTGGAAAGTCAGATATACAGAGAGGAACAGAGACCGAGAGGAAAATCTTCCGTCCAATGATTCACTCCCCAAGTGGCCATAACTGCTGGAAATCAGCTCATCCGAAGCCAGGAGCCAGAGGTCTCTTCCGGATCTCCCATGTGGGTGCAGGGTCCCAAAGCTTTGGGCCGTCCTTGACTGTTTTCCTAAACCACAGGCAGGGAGCTGGATGGGAAGTGGAACAGCCAGGATATGAACTGGCGCCCATATGGCATCCCATCACATGCAAGGCGAGGGCTTTAGCCACTAGGTTACTGCATTGGATCCTCAATTTTTAAATTTTATTTTATTTTGTTTTTTAGTAAAAAAGCAGAGTTCAGTCCATAGTTATGTCAGATTCGATTGCAATGTGTCTTTGGCTTCTCTTGTTCTGGAACAATTCTTCATTTTTCATTACCTTGATGGTTTTGGAATTACAGGTGTCTTTGGTAGATTAGGTTATCCGAACGGTTCTCGTGGTTTAGACCTCGTGCGCGCTGGGTTGTCACAGGTTCCTCACAGATCCTGTCAGCGAGTGGTTGCTATTTCTCCCGTCACTGGGGTGGCATGTGCCAGCCCAAAATTAAATGAGGCGTTGTTTTTGTTTGTTGCTTGCTTGTTTGTGATGAAGTACTTCTATTAATCTATAAATATTATGTTGTTCTTCAAAAATCACATGGCCCATGTTGTAGGTAAAGCGGCACCCGTGACCCAGCACCCGGCGTGGGCACTGACTGCAGTCCCAGCTGCTCCAGTGTCGCTCCAGCTCCCTGCTAATGCTGCTGAGGGCAGCAGACGGTGGCCTAGGCGCCTGGGCCCTGCACCCGTGTTGGGGACCCAAAAAAAGCTCCTGGTGAAGGCCTGGCCCAGCACTGGCTGTCGCAGTCATTGGGGGGAATAAACCAGCAGAAGGAAGATCCATTCTTTAACTCTTGACTTTCAAATAAATAAAATCTTAAAAATTAATTTTTTTCACTTTGAAAGGCAGAGTAACCGAGAGAGATAGATTGACTGACTGACTGTTTCAGGTTGCTGGTTCACTCTTGGAATGACCGTAATAAATAGTTGGGACTGGGCCAGTCTAAAACCAGGAGCCTTAACTCCAGCCGAGTTTCCTATGTGGGTAGCAGGGGCCTGAGGCATTAGGACATCTTCTGCTGTTTCCCGTGTGCATTAACAGGGACAGAGTTAAAAGCAGAGCAGCCTGATTTTGAACCAGCACTTCCCTATGGGATGCCAACACGGCAAGCAGCAGGTTAACGACTGTGCCACAGTACTGACCCCATTCATCAATTTTTTTATTCATTAATTTTATTTTGTATGAAACCAATGTTTCCTATTTTATTTTTTTAATAATTTGGGGGTTTTATTTATTAATTTGGAAATCAGAATTTAAAAGAGTCTTTCATACGGTTCACTCTCCAGATGGCCGCAGTGTTGAGAACTGAACTGGGTCAGGCCGTAACCAGGAGCCAGCAGTTGCTCGTAGGTCCCCCACATCCCAAACACCTGGACTATTTTCTACTTCTTCCACGGGCTGTAACAGACAGCTAGATCGGAAGTAGAACAGCCAGGACAGGAAATAGTGCCCATATTGGATGGGGAACCTCAGGTGGCATCTTTAGCCACTATTGCATAACACTTGTACTATGTATTTAATGGGCTATAATCCCTTCCTGCGTTATCTCGATGCTCAGATTGGCCCTGATTTGGCCAGGCAAGCCCTCTGAGCGTGGCTTCTTTCCATTTTGACGTGCTCCTTTCGTTCTTTGAATAGTTCCGTGCTTCTGGTAAAGGTGATGTAAGCTCTGTGTACGCGTCGCCTGCCCTGGCCTTGGAATCTGCCGTTCCTTCAAGAAGCCCTGGCTGCTGGCGGTGGATTCTGCAAGGCAGTGCTCTTTGTTTTTGTGATGTTGTTTCCAGATCCTCATTGATTTCAGAACATGATTGTCCACGAACTCTGCATGTATTTATTGAGTGCCCTTTTCTCTCTCTTTGCCTTCTGGAACTCCAGTTACACGTATATTAGCCCATTTGATAATGTCCCTTAAATCTTAAATGCCCTGTTCTGATTTGTTTCCTGGCAATCTTTTTTTTTTTCCTTTGATATTTTAATTTGGTGATCTCTTTCCATCTATTTTTAAATTTACTGATTCTGTCTTTGGATTTTTCCAGTTTGATAAGATAGACGAAAGAACTCTTAGTCTTATTTTTTCTGTTCTGCTGGGGGAGGTCTGGTTGCTAAATCTGGCATTTCCGTCTCCCTAGCTCTTTCATTTCCGTCTGCCTAGCTCTTTCATTTCCGTCTGCCTAGCTCTTTCGGTTATGTCTCTGCTGAGATTCCCGTCTGTCCATGGATGTTACCCATCTTTTTCACTGAGTTCTGTAACATGATGCATTCGTTATAGTTATTTTAAAGTTTAACCAGGCTTGCTATCTCCTCTCTCTGTTTATTGCAGGTGCTTATGGAAACTCTGGGTGCGCTGGGGGCGCAGTGTCGATGGGCTGCCTGCAACATCTATTCCACCCTCAACGAAGTTGCTGCTGCTCTAGCAGAAAGTGGTAAGATCTTTTGTGTCTTCTCTATGTCTCCAGCTACAATAAGTCCCCCAAAACTTTTTTGTAATGTCAATATAAATCCTTATGAAAAGTTGCTAGTCTAAAGGAGCTGTCAGAAGAAATGAATCTGGGCCTGGTGCAGCAGCCTAGTGGTAAAGTCCTTGCCTTGCACACACCAAGATCACATATGGGCTCTGGTTCTAATCCACTTCCCATCCAGCTCCCTGCCTGTGGCCTGGGGAAGCAGTCAAGGACAGCCCAAAGCCTTGGGACCCTGCACCCATGTGGGAGACCCAGAAGAAGCTCCTGGCTTCTGGCTTCAGATCGGCTGAGTTCCAGCCGTTGTGGCCTATTGGGGAGAAGATCTTCCTCTCTGTCTCTCCTCCTCTCTGTATATCTGACTTGCCAATAGAAATAAATAAATCTTTAAAAACAAAACAAAATAAAGAAGACTAAATGAATCTTAGGCTGGCATAGCATAGCAGGTAAAGCCGCCATCTGCAATGCCTGCATCCCCTTGGGGCACCGGTACAAGTCCTGCTGCTCTGCTTCTGATCCAGCTCCCTACTGATGTGCCTGAGAAAGGCAGCGACAGATGGCCCCAAGAGCGTGGCCCTTGACTGCCACTCACGAGGGAGACCTGGATGGAGTTACTGACTCCTGGCTGTGGCTGGGCCAGTCCCGACCGTTGCAGGCCCCTGGACAATATGTTAACAGATGCAAGATCTCTCTAGCTCTACTTCTCTAAGTCTGACGTTCCGTTCAAATAAATTTTTAAAAATCTGTAAAACAGAATTTAAAGTGGATTTCTATCCTTTCGTTTTAAAAAATTATTTATTTCTGTTCATTTTACTTGAAAGGCATAGTGACAGACATTTTCCACCCACTGATCTACATTCCTAATGTCCATAAGCAGCCGTGGCTGGGCCGGGCGGAAGCCAAGAGCCGGAACTGCGTCCGGGTCTCCCACAGGGCGCAGGGAGCCACGTGGGAGCTGCGGTGTGCTGCCTCTCGGTGCGCACCAGGAGGAGGTTAGACTGGAAGCAGAGTCACCAGGACTGCGACCAGACACTGCAATGTGGAATGCACCACATGCTGCTCCCCGAATCCCTGGGGGTTTTGTTTTTGCTTTATTTTCTTGTTTTAATATTTTTAAAATGTATTTGGACTGCAGAATGGCAGAGAAGGAAAGAGAGACGATTTTCCGTCTGCTAGTTTACTCCTCAAATGACTACAATGGCCAGGGCTGAGCCAGGCAGAAGCCAGGAGCATGGAAGTCCAGCCAGGGCTGCCCCTGGGTGGCAGGGGCCCGGGACTTACACCGTTCTGTCTGGAGGTGCGTTAGTAGGGAGCTGGATGGAAAGAGCAGCCGGACGTGAACACACTGCTCCACAGTGCTAGCTTGTTGGCTTCGGATCGCTGTTCTTAATGAATTTGTTCTTGTTTGTTTGTTAAGGTTTATTTTATTTTTATTGGAAAGGCAGATTTACAGAGAGAAGGCGAGACTTTATCTATCTGCTGGTTCACTCCCCACATGGCCGCAATGGCTGGAGCTAGGCCAATCCGAAACCAGGAGCCAGGAGTTTCATCCAGGTGTCCCACGCGGGTGCAGGAACCCAACGCTTTGGGCCACCCTTGACTGCTTCCCCAGGCCACAAGCAGGGTGCTGGATGGGAAGTGAAGCAGCTGGGACATGAACGGGTGCCCCCATAGGATCCCCACGCATTCAAGGCAAGAACTTCAGCCACCAGGCTACCAAACCAGGCCCTGATGAATTTGTTCTTTCTAAGCTTTTTCATTGTTGTTGTTTTACACTTGGTCAACACCCACCTGTTCTAAGATTTCATTACAAGTTAATTCTTGCTGTGGCTCACCAAAAGTTGCACTACTCACTGAACGCTGCTCACGGTCTAAGGCACTAGGGATTAAGGAAGAAAATTCTTCAGCTGTGATTTCATGGCCTTGCTGATTTCCCAGCAGGTCGTTTGCCCTGACTTAATGTTTGGTGTTTCTGCTTCAACAGTAAAGGGGATTGACCTGACAGATTAATATTTGATTACAAGATCCACTGACACTTGAAGGACAAGAGAAGTGGAGAAATTTGGACTTTGCCAGCTTCTTAGCTCAGTGTCTGACAGCAGAGCACAGCCTGTAGCGTGACACACTCATTTCAGAGCTGCTGGAGGACAGTGGGGCTCCTGTAGCGCATGCAGGGCTTGGCTGGCGCTCTCACCATCCCATTGTGCTTTCACTTATATTCATTTTATAAAATTTTACAGATGTCTCTTTGATATAAATATTTAAAAGTTTTTAAAGAATTTCTTATTTTTATTTGAAAGGCAGATTTCCAGAGAGAGGTAGAGACACAGAGAGAAAAAAAGATTTTCCATCAGTCAGGTCACTCCCCCAGTGGCCGCAAGGGCCGGGCTGAGCCGATGCAAAGCCTGGAATCTGGGGCATCTTCCAGGTCTCCCACACGGGCTCAGGGGTCCCAAGACGTGAGCTAGGTTGGAAGTGGAGCAGCTGGGATGCTGACACTGCAGGCTGAGAATTAGCTTACTACACCACTGCACTGGCCCCAAAATATCTTACCTGTGTAACGCAGTGACCTGTGCATACACGTTCATTTCCTTGTCTCTCTTTTAACAATTGCTTGTTGACCTACCTAGCAGGATGCCGGATCAGAAGTGAAGCAGCCAGGACATGAGCAGGCACCCATAGTGGTTGCCAGTGTTGCAAGTGGTGGTTTAATTCACCATGCCCCAACCCCCTTCCCAAGTCTTGTTTTTAGAAACCATCATGCTCTGTCAATTTTGCTTGTCCCCTTTGGGCTTGGCCGGGCAGAATTACCACCAAACATAAAGGAATGTGTAAAGAGCTGAAAGGGATGCTTTGCAATCCAGTCAATCCAAGGAAAATAACAGAATGATCAATTTGAATCTGGGGGAAACCGGCCCTTCCTGCCAGAATTTCTTAGTGTTTAACGGTTCCTTTTGTCTCTTTTTCTCAGGATTTCCTGTCTTTGCCTGGAAAGGAGAGTCAGAAGATGACTTTTGGTGGTGCATTGACAGATGTGTGAATGTGGAGGGCTGGCAGCCAAACATGGTGGGTCAGATGTCTGCTAAGCCAATTCTGAAGGGGCCCGGGGTCAGCGTGGAAAGAGGGCGTTGCCTAGGAGAGGGATTCCCGACAAGAAGGAAGGAAAATGGCTCCACTTCCGATTGATTTGCTTATGGTTAGGATACCCAAGCCTCGTGAACTTCGTAATCTCAAAGTACTTCAATTATTGATGCTGATGTTGCTGTCAATATTAGCTGAAGTTACACACACACACACACACACACTCCCCAATAACAGCCAAAAACCCAAACCAACAATGAAAACCAGTTCCAGCGGAACCTGCGGTTTGGCTAGAATCCGTATCCTCAATGTATAATAAGGCTGAAGCATTTTTTGAAGGTTTTTTTTTTCCTCATTGGAAAGGCAGATTTACAGAAAGAGAGAGAGAGAGAGAGGTCTTCCATTTGCCTGGTTCACTCCCCCAGTGGCCACAGTCATGAACATCGGGGAGGACAAAGACTTGTGCCCAGCTGTGGAGCTGGCACCACGTGCCAGCAAGGGCAACAACAGCAGAAAGATGTAGGGGAAAAGCAGTCTTCCCCCAGAAGACAGGAAGCACACTTTGCTGAATCCTGCCAAAATCCGGTACTTCTCCTTTCCTTGCAGGCTCAGGAAGATTCCCTGATTACAGAAATTGTCCACAATAGAAACGCATGGGAGGAAATATGGACAGTAGATATTAAATATTAGGGATGGCCGGTGCTTGCCAGTAATCGAATATCATGGTTACAAGGGAAAAGTGGTTGAGAATAGGGGACTTAGAACAAAGTTAACAATTGCCTGATGTTTTTGTGGTTAGGGATCAGAAGCTGAAAGGGAAAAGCGCATGAGAGCTTCCATACGGGCAGCGAGAGCCAGAGAAACTGGCAGCTTTCCTCACTTTTTCGTGGCGTATGTTCTTAGGATCGCTGTTCTCTGAGAGTTTGAATCTAACTACGGACACTTGTTCTTAAAGATTTATTTTTTTATTATTTTTTCATTGGAAAGGCGGATATACAGAGAGGAAAGACAGAGAGGAAGATCTTCCGTCCGATGATTCACTCCCCAAGTGAGCACAATGGCCGATGCTATGCCGATCCGAAGCCAGGAGCCTCTTCCGGGTCTCCCACGCGGGTGCAGGGTCCCAAGGCTTTGGGCCGTCCTCGACTGCCTTCCCGGGCCACAGGCAGGGAGCTGGAAGGGAAGCGGGGCTGCGGGGAGTAGAACCGGCACCCATATGGGATCCCGGGTGTGCAAGGCGAGGACTTAACCACTTGCGCCACCGCGCCGGGCCCTACGGACACTTGTTCTTAAGGTTTGATTGGATCAAAAAATAGATGCCAGCAGAAGCAAAAAAAAAAAAAAGAGAGAGAGATGGTAGACGTGAGCCTGAGGGTTTTGTGTGCCCTGGGGTCCAAGATGGCCCTGTGACATCTCTTACTGAAATTGATCATTGATAGGATTGCAAAATGGGCACTTGCCAGGAGAGGGCAAGTCATATTGGTGGGAATTTTCCAAGAAGGAGGCGTCAGGATTTGGATAGTGCAGCCCAGCATTTCTGATGGCTCGGTGAGGCACCGGCGTGCCACAGCTCAGTGCCTCATAGTCTTCTAGGCTGATCTTGTCTGAGCTTATTTATAATTCAACAGCTTTCCCCGCCCGTGGAAGCTACAGTGGCCACAGCGTTGTGCTTCTTGTCAGCCCAGCCTGAAGTAGTGGTGAGCTGTTCACACCTACGTGCTGCACGGTTCCCTTATTTTTAGCTTGCGTGAGGTTGTGTTAGGCAGAGCTCAACAGTGTTTGGTGCCTGCTTTTTGGTTAGGAGAGCGCCTGTACTTTGAGAGTGGGAGAAAGGTCAACACAGTTTTGTAGGCCATTGTTCTGACAAGGAAATTATTTATCTGACCTTGTATTTAAGCTAAGCCTTGAATGAATATATTTCAACTCCCTAATTTAAGCAATAGCTTTCTGAGCATCCACAGGACACTCAGGGATCAGTGGGCTGGACAGCCACATAGGCTGTGCATCTGTAAGCAAACCTTCCCACATTGCTGTTTGTTTTGATAGATGGGGGTATTTCAAAAAAGCCCATAGAAAAATGAATTCAGCCTTTAAAAATGAATGAATTAATTAAAAGATGTTTGTTTGGTGGGCCCAGCATGGTACCTAGCAGCTAAAGTCCTCACCTTGCACACACCGGGATCCCATATGGGCTCTGGTTCTAATCCTGGTGGCCCTGTTTCCCACCCAGCTCCCTGCCTGTGGCCTGGGGAAGCAGTCAAGGAACCCCAAAGCCTTGGGACCCCGCACCCGTGTAGGGGACCCAACAGAAGCTCTGGACTCCTGGCTTCTTATCAGCTCAATTCCAGCCATTTCAGCCGCTTGGGCAGTGAATCAGCAGATGGAAGACCTTTCTGTCTGTATATCTGACTTTCCAATTTAAAAAAAAAAAAGGATGTTTGTTTTGGTGGGAAAATTTATAAATATTTATTTATTTCTTTGAAAGGCAGAGTTATAGAGAGAATGAAAGAAAGTGAACCATCCACTGGTTCACTCCCCAAATAGCTGCAGTAGGCTGAGCTGGGTCATGGCAAAACCAGGCGCTAGGACCTTCTGCCGGGTCTCCCCCGGGCCATCTTGCACTGCTTTCCCAGCTGTACAACCTGGGAGCTGTGTTGGACGTGAAGCAGAGCTGGGATTCTAACTGGCACATGTGATGTGATGACGACATCACAGGCGATCACTTAACCCACTGCACCACAGCATTAGCCCCCATTTTAATCTCCTTTTTTTGTACCAAAGTAAAAATAACTTGTACAAAAGTATTTATTTGAAAGCATTGCAGAGAGAAAAAGAGAGAGAACTTGATGTCCTACCCGTTGGTTTATAGCCCCGATGGTCGGCACAGCCAAGGGTGGACCGGGCTGAGGCCAGGAGCCAGGGGCTTCATCCAGCTCCCTACATGGGGGCAAGGCCCATACACTTGAGCCATCCTCTGCTGTTTTCCCAGGCATTAGCAGGGAGCTGGCTCGGAAGTGGAGCAGCTGGAATGTCAGTTTTGCAGGCAGCATTACAGGTTATGCCATAACACTGGCACATAAACATAGTTGTTTTGATTTTGTAATGTAGAATTTTTTTCTTTATATATATGTATGTTTTTCATGATGCAGCTCCATAGGCACGGGGATTCTCCCCTCCACCCTCCCATTCCCCTCCTACCGCTTCCCCCATATTATTATAACAGTGTATCCTCAGCAGCCCTCACGGGTCCAACATACTGCTGTTTCAGTGTATCCTGGCAATGCAGGTGTAGGCAATGGTAGAAAGTTTCGTCTCATATTATTAAGGTGTAAATTTAACAGGACTCCATTGGGAGTGCTTTCTTTATTGACCTAAAAATAGTTTTTAGTTACATTTGTCTGTGAACTTTTTGAAGTAACTTCATGGCAGGTATTTCGTGCCTGGAATCATTTATTTGGCTGTGAGAATTAAGTTTGATCTTTCCCTCCTCCTTGTCTTTTATATTGGTTTGGTGACTATTTGGTAGAGCATTGCATTAACAAGGCTTTTAAGTAGTTCGGTTTAACCATAAAGGAAATTTGAAGTAATTAAAAGTTGACCATTCAAAATTGGAAAATAAAACTCAGAGGAGCCCTGAACCTCAGACTGTCACGGAATGAGTGACAGTATTGATGCTTACTATTCCAGATCTTGGACGATGGAGGGGATCTTACTCACTGGATTTATAAGAAGTATCCCAACATGTTTAAGAAAATCAAGGGTATAGTCGAGGAGAGCGTTACCGGAGTGCACAGGTAAGGCTCGGCGGGCACGTGCTTGGCTTTCTCAGTCTAGTATTGCGCTGCAGTCACAAGCCTGTAGGACAGTTATGCTGAAAATTGTAGTCTCATAGAAAGTGACCAGATCTAAGCCTACACACTTCTTTTTAAATTAATAACATGAGTAACAAACCAAACATTCTTAGAGGAGGGACAGGTGGAATAGTGGAATCCTCATCATTTCCAGTTGTAAAACAATGACTGTTTGCTGAGCAAAGAAATTCATCCAAAAGAACAAACTTTTATTAGCATTCTTGAGTGACACAGGAGCCGTTCTATGTGCTGGCATATGATCCTGTATATAGAGTATGAGAGAGCTGCCTTCTTGCATGGAACTGCTCGAATAATAATTCCCTGAGTAAAGCTGGAATGATTTCTGTTTACTGTTATTCACTCATGAAGAACTGAAGATAAAATCTAGGATTATAGTGCAGAGAAGAAGCCACCACCTACAACACCGACTTCCCCTATCAGTTGGAGTCCCAGTTGCTCCACTTCCAGTCAGCTTGCTGCTACTGTGCAGGTCCTTGGCTCCTGCCACCCACAAGGTAGACCAGCTGGAGTTTCTGGCTCCTGCTATCAGTCTGGGCCAACCCTGACTTTTGTGGCTGTGTCATGAGTGAACTAGTACATGTAAGATCTCTCTCTCTCTTTCTCTCCCTCCTCTCTGTCACTTCCGCCCCCTCTCTCTTTGTAACTCTGCTTTTCAAATAAATAAATAGAGATGAGATAAAAACTGAAAATATCAAATAAAATGCTTAGGAAAGTACATTCTGAATTAAGTACCCGAACTCTTTCAATATATTGGGATCTTTTTGAACATACAAAACTGTAGATGATAGCATGCCTTCAGATTTTTACAAAAGGGGTGAATTTTGAATAAAGCATGTAATTCTTTTTTTTCTAAAATGTTTATTTTATGGGCTGAGCACAGTAACCTAGTGTCTAAAGTCCTCGCTTTCCATACGCCAGGATCCCATATGGGCACCAGTTTGTGTCCTGGCTGCTCCACTTCCCATCCAGCTCCCTGCTTGTAGACTGGGGAAGCAACAGAGGACAGCCCAAAGCCTAGGGACCCTGCACCCATGTGGGAGACCCAGAAAAGGCTCCTGGCTCCTGGCTTTGGATTGTCTCAGCTCTGGCTTTTGCAGCCACTTGGGGAATGAACCAGCTGATGTTTCCAATAAAAATAAATAAATCTTTAAAAAATCTTTATTTTATTTATTTGAAAGGCAGAGATAGAAAAAAAATCATCTATCTACCGATTTACTCCCCAAATGGCTACAACAGTCATGCCTGGGCCAGGCCAAACCAGGAGCCTGAAACTCTATCTGGGCCTCCATAGGGCTCCGGTATTTGAGCCATCACTTGCTACATCGCGGAATATTTGTTAGAGGGAAGCTAGAATAAGAAAAAGAGCTGGGAGTCAAGCCTAGGCACTCTATTCAATATGGAATGTGAGTGTCTTAACACCTGCCACCAAATGCCCACACTCCCCCTCGTGATTTAGGATCTTATTGAAAAGCTGTGTGCAATAAAGATATCCTTATTTCTCAGTATCCCCCCCTCCACTGGGATGAACACTATGCATGCATCATGCCTCTGTGCACGCGCAATCAGCATTTCCTGGGACTGATTCGAAAGCAGTGGCGCGTTGTAATGTCTCGTGGTTTTGTGCTCAGGCTGTACCAGCTGTCCAAGGCAGGGAAGCTGTGTGTTCCAGCCATGAATGTCAATGACTCAGTCACCAAACAGAAATTTGACAACCTCTACTGCTGCCGGGAATCGATTCTTGATGGGTATGTTTATTTTCTTTGAGATGAACTTGCGTTATTGAGTTAAGGTCCTAATTTTATTTTATTTGGCTTTGGTTACTTCTGGAAACTATTCATGTAGCACCTCTGCAACTGTCACAATATCACATCTGTTGTTTTGTTTTAAAATTATTTATTTGAAAGTCAGAGACAGAGTGAGAGATTAATTGATTGGGTAGTTCATGCCCAGATGCCTGCAACAGCCAGGGCTGGGCCAAACGGAAGCTAGGAGCCAGCTCCTTAAGCACGTTGAGCCAGCATCTGCCTCCCACCAGGTTGTGCATTAGCGGGAAGCTGGACTCAGAAACAGGTGGGACTCAATCCCAAGAACTCAGAGCTGGGATGCAGGCGTCCCAAGCAGCATCTTGACCGTTGCGTGAAACCCCATCACCTCAGTACTCTATCACCCGGAGCTAATATTGCCGTTTCTGTTGTAAGAAGATGATTTCACCGTTGGTGAGCAGAGTTCTTACTTTGTGACCTGATCAGACCTGTGACTCATTAACTAAAGTTAGTGTAAACAAGTTAAGTATCTTTGATGGTTTGGAGAAAGTTCTGGTGATCCTATTCCAGGTCATATGTCCTGCTCTTAAGCTCAGCCATTCTCTGGCCATCTACAAGTTTGTGGTAAACAGTCCAATTCCCAGAGACATTTCTAGCTTTTTAAGTCTGTAAGCATTTCAGTTCTGTTCAAGTCTGACATAAGCTGTCTAGATATACCAAATACTGTGTTTCCTCACAAAGGTTCTAACATTCTTTATCCTTGCTAGGAAGACTGTAGAATTTTTTAAGTGAAACCATTCAATTGATTTAATTTTGCCAAAACAATAGTTTCTATCATATAGGTTAATGGAAAAGGTAAGAGAGCTAGGACTGGTGTCGGGCATGGCAGTGAAGACTGCTTGGGATGCCCACATCCTGCATCCGAGAGCCTGGGGCCAAGTCCTCTGCTAGCCACCCAGCTTCCTGCTGATGCATATCCCAGGAGGTGGCAGACAGACTCAAGTCCTTGGGTCCCTGCCACTCACGTGGAAGCCTGGAAGCTGCCTCTGGTTCCTGGCTTCCACCCCATGCAGCCTAGCTCCTGCGGGCACTTGGGGAGCAGAAGGTCTCTTGATGTCGCCATGTGTCTCTTTACCTTTCAAATAAATGAAAATAAATACATGAATCTTAGAAAAGTGAAGAAAAGGTCTGTGGACTGCATTCCTAACCATTCTGAACCTCGGGTGATTCACTGGGTGGTAACACCATTGGTATTAGAAAGAAAAGAAAAATGGAAGAAGAAGGAAGAAAATTTAAAAAGGAAGATAAAATGAAAATAAAGAAATAATTTTTTTAAAGAAAAAAGTATTGGCTCCTTACCGTCCTTCTAGAAGTCTGTTGGTGAGTTCCAGGTTTGAGTTAGATCTTAGCAGAAGCTCTTTGCCGAGCAATCCTTTTGATTTGAACACATTCAATGCAAATTCTAATAGTATTTTCTCATAAAAGTGTGCATTTTAGTAAATTTTCTATTTGTTGAAGGCTCTAGCTCTATCCATAAGTAAGGGTTAGTTGGATGAATCTTTGATTGTATCAAATCAATGGTAACCTGGGATATATTTCATTAAAACATTTGCTGTCTGCCCCTACTGCAAAGGAAGACTGCTCAGGTTTCAGATCATAAGGTGCGAGTGTCTCAGGAGCACTCCTGAGGGTCCTAGGCTTGGCGTGTGAGCAGAGCTTGCAACCTGCATTATGGATTTCTTTCTCCCTTTGTCCTTGAACCTTGAGACGAATCTGGATCCCTACAACCACAGAGAAGTCACTTTCTGATTGGCATCCATTGAGGTCCGTCAGCCTAGCTGTCCATTTCAGGATAGGAATATTAATTAACTTTACTTTCCACAACACAGGTGTTTGTAGTCACAAAGAAAATAGTCTTTACTTAAGAAGAGACTTAGCAGTGGAATCTCTGGATTTTCCCTGCTACGCCAGCCGCTCCAGGCACATCTCCAAGCCCGGCCGGACTGTCTTCACTCAGTAGTTGCCTGAGGCCTTAACTGATGTTTAACAAGTGTCGGGAGGTACAGGCAGTTGTATTAGCTCCTGTTGGCAGGGCCAGATCATTAAAAGGCCTGAATCCTACTTTGCCTGTACGGCACTTACAGACATTTTTACTCTTTTTAAAAGATAAGCAGATAGGTAAGTAAGTAGAAATATCCACGGTTATTTGCAGGAAGTGTATATCTGATTGGGCTAGATTGGAGCTGAGAACTCTTTTGCCTTGCCAGGAATTCATAGAGAGGGGGGAGTGCACCTGAAGAGACACCAGGAACTGTTTCTACATTTTCCTTCAAGAAACTCTGGGAGGACCCGGCACGATAGCCTAGTGGCTAGATCCTCGCCTTGCATTAGCCGGGATCCCATACGGGCACCAGTTTATATGCTGGCTGCTTCACTTCCCATCCAGGTCCTCACCTGTGGCCTGGGAAGACAGTAGAAGATGGCCCAGGGACTTGGGACTCTGGACCCACATGGGAGACCCGGAAGAAGCTCCTGGTTCTTGGCTTCAGCCTGGCTCAGCTCCGGCCATTGTGGCCATTTAGGGAATGAACCAACAGGTGGAAGAGTCTCACTCTTTCTTGCTTGTTCCTGCTCTTGCTCTCATTCTCTCTCTTTTTTCCTGCTCTCTTGTAACTGCCTTTAAAAAAAAATCATATATAAATAGAATTGCTTGGATGATATAGAGTGAGAAAACGTTATGTATTTTTTTAAAGATTGGTTTATTTGTTTATTTAACTGAGAGAGAAAGAGAGAGAGCACTTCAATCTTCTGGCTCACTGCCCAAGCGACTACAACTGCCAGGGCTGGGTCAGGTCAAAGCCAGGAACCTAGAACTCCCTCCAGGTCTTGTACGGGGATGGCAGCGATGCAGGTGCTGGAGGTGTCATGCCCCTCCCCAGGCAGAAGAGCAGGAAGCTGAGTCTGAGAGCAGCCAGGACGCCAGCCCAGGCTCTGCTACGGGCTGTGTGCAGCCCACGTGACAGCTGAACCTGCTATGCCTCGATATCCATCCTTCAGATATTTTATTCAACCTTCTTTTTAAATCACTAATTAACTTCTCTAATATAGAAACCACATACTTTCTGTCAAGATTTAAAAAAAAAAAAAAGGAAAGAAGGAAGGAAGCAAGGAAATTCATGAAAAAAAGAGACCAGATTAGAGCCTTGAGGAAGAAACATGGTAATTTTTCTGATTTGACCTTCTTTTTCCTCCTAGACTTAAAAGGACAACAGACATGATGTTTGGTGGAAAGCAGGTGGTTGTCTGCGGTTATGGAGAGGTAAAGTTGAACCTTTCAGTTGTCAGGTTTTAAGATTTATTTTGCTGGAATATTCTGGAATTTTTCGTTTACTTAGATATCAGAATACATTTATTTACTGTAGAGGCTCTCTGGTTGAAGTGCAGTCTTTCTTCCTCCCTCTGTGTGTTTACCATTTCCTTTGGTTGATTTTGACTTGTTCCAGCACACTATTTGTGATGTTCTTTTTAGCTTGTGTTTTGATTATAAATCGTGAGTGTGGGTGTTGTTGTGCACGCGAATGTGCTAAGCAGGGGCCAGGGTTTGTTGGAGAATGCATTCATTTATTTGTTTTCCTCCAGGCATGAATCTATTCTGTGAAATGCCTTTTGGGGGTTGTAAAAGTAGGGTCTGCTTTACCAGAAGCCTTGAGAAACTGGGTCCTTATTGGCTTTCCTTCTGTGTTTGTTCTCTCCCCTCTCCAGGTGGGGAAGGGGTGCTGTGCAGCTCTAAAAGCCATGGGTTCTATTGTGTATGTGACCGAGATTGACCCCATCTGTGCCCTGCAGGCCTGGTAAGCACTCACTGCGGGCCCCATGGGTGGCAAGGGAGCTGCCTCCCACCGAGGGCCTGGTTAGCACCACATCTGGCCTCCCAGAGAGGTGGCCACGTCTGCCAGCTCTGTGCTGCAGAAGTCCAGGAGCTCTGGGAGGCTAGGGAGCACCGGAGGCCAGGGAGCACTGGAGAAGCGAAATGTAGGGATCCTCCAGGAGCTAACAGGAGCTTTGGACCAGAGAACAGGTAGCTCCTTGCCTTCTTAGTATATATTCGTCTACCCTTTGAGAACCCTGGTCAAGAAAGGAGGCTCGTATATGTGACACCAGCTTCTGTGATAACACTGAAAAGCACTCCTCCCCAAAATGCATAACCCAAATCCCCATGAAGGGTAAAATCTACTAACTCTGGATAAAATATACACAGAAAGTATTTATACTGTTTTTATAATTCTTAGATCTAAAGTGATTCCAAACTTAAAAGAATAATCGTTTTCTACCTAGAAAGTGGAGGAAATCATATCTACTTCATAGGATTGTGGCAGTTGAGTAAAATAATTATCATTATATATTATAGCATAAATAAGCAATCATGAAGATGCCAAGCTGCTGTCCTATAACAGATACTGACTAAATGGAAGCCGTCATGAACCTGGCCTCTTGCCACCCTCTGCATGATGGGAAATACCATCGTCCTTGGAAACTGCTGCGGGGTCCCGGCAGCCTGGACACGCCCAACCCTGTCTTTATCATTGCCCCTTCCAGCAGAGACCCCAGGAAAGAAAGGGGCGTGGCCCCAAGGGTTTACCATTTCTGTTTCCCCCATCCTATTATTCCTCACACGTCCAAGCAGCTGGTACACAGACTTGACCAGCCAAGCTGCTTGCTTCCTCAGTTTCAGGGCTCCAGCACGGGAGGGGAGCCACAACCTTTCTAATGCTTTTACGGTTCATTCTAGAAATACTAATAACAGTACCGTGTTATTAACAGTTCACGTTCCCTTGGAAATGAACTGGTCACTTACTATGTCGCAGTTCCCCAACTGTGCGTTAAGGATGGATGAGTAGACGAGGGAGCCCAGGTTGTGCTTTGAGAAGCACATGGACAAGTAACAACTGCAGCATAGGAAGGGCTGTTAGAGACAACAGCGCAGGCTGCTGCGAAAGAGCTGTCAGGAAAGCTGAGTCCTGAGCCGGGCAACGTGTTTTCTTAGCTTGCAAGTTTATTTCAGGTATAGGGAGTAAAGAAGGAGACAGCACAGAACATTTAAGAAGTTGGGCATAGTTTATTGTCGCTAGCAATTGGGAGAGTGGTAATATCTGAGAGTAGAATCATAGGAATCGTATGTCAGTATAATCGTATGGCACAAGTGTTTGGGTCTTATCTTGAGAAAAGGCCATTTCACTGGAGTATTTTAAGCAAGGAAATTACCCAAACTAGGTAAGTCACTCTGCAAAATGATTTGGAGAGATATGAAGTCTAGAGGCAATGAGGCTGTGCCAACATTACTGTGGTAGAGTGCGTGAGAGGTAACAGCCCCACCTTACACTAGGCCACCATGCGGAAGAAGGAACAGACTCAAGGAACTTAAAAGGAATTAAGAAGTATCAATCAAACTTGGCAACAACTTCAGTTACAGAAAGACAATAGGCTAGAATATTCTAGTTTTAGATCATAAAGTGGGGTAAGCAGTGATGCTATTCATCAAAGTTGAAAATGCATTGAGACTATTTTCAAGCACAGTGAGTGGAACGTTTATGAGAACTATCTGGTGGGTGATCTGATCCTTCATGGTCAAGCATCAGAGAGCTCTAAAGATAGGAAGATGCCAACCAGCCACCTGTTAAGTCGTAATTTGGGAAGCGTACGATAACCAAAAGAACAGAAGAGTCAAGAACAAAACCTTCCAGAACACCAATATTTAAAGGTTGGCTGGAATTGAGAAGAGGATAAAAAAAAAGTAGAAACGAAACCAAGAGAGAAGAATCTCATGGAGTCCAGGGAGCATAAACCTGAAGAAGGCAAATAGTGTTTAATGTAGTAGAAAAAAGTGGAGTGGTAAGAGTCTAAGAATTTTTTGACATTCAGAAAACCATTGATAATCTTGGAGAGAGCAATTGCAATAGAATAGTAACATCAGTGACAAGATGGTGCTTTCCAGGCGCTTGGTTGGTGAACAGCACGGTAAACCCTGGCTCACTGTTAACAAGAAGTAAGTTCTGGCAATGCAAAGGAATCTTTGATTCCTGCGTCTATAATCTAAGGAAGTCATTTGCATCAGCTGCCTCAGGACATGGCAGTGTGGCTTTCACTATCTGCTAGGATTAATTGGTTATGCTTTTTCCTACAGTATGGATGGATTTCGGCTGGTGAAATTAAATGAGGTCATCAGACAAGTGGACATTGTTATTACCTGTACAGGTGAGATGTGACATTTTAAGTCACGTGGCATTTAGGAACATTTACATAGAGCAGATGTTTGGGAACTCTGTAAAGCAGTTGGGTTGAGCTGCCACTTGCACCTGTGTCTTAGAGTCCTGACTGCTGCGCTTTTAATCCAGTTCTCTGTTAGTGTAACTGGGAGAGCAGCAGAGGACAGCCTGTGTGCTTGAGCTCCTGCCACTCATGTGGAAAACCCAGATGGAATTCCTGCTCCTGGCTTTGTTCTGAACACCCCAGGTTTGCGGCCATTTAGGGGTGAACTAGCAGATGGAATGCCTCTCTTTTTGTCACGCCCTCTCTCTTTGTTACCATGCCTGTAAAACAAACAAATCCCTGGTTTGGTGTTCTGGTAGAGTGAATTAATCTGTCACCTGCAACACCAGATCCCACGTGGGTGCAGGGTCCCAAGGCTTTGGGCCATCCTCCACTGCTTTCCCAGGCCACAAGCAGGGAGCTGGATGGGAAGTGGAGCAGCTAGGACACAAACCAGCACTCAGGTGGGATCCTGGTGCATTTAGCCCTAAGCCATCACGCTGGACCCAGGAATTTAGACAGAGGTTCCATCCACTGGTTCACTCCTGAAGTGTCTGCAACAGCTCCAGAATGGGAGCCAATGCCTAGAACTCAATCCACATCTCCCATGTGAGTGATAAGAATTTAGCCACTTGAGCCTTTACCACTGCTTCCCAACGTCTGCATTGGCAAAAAACTGGAGTCAGGAGTGGGGCCAGTGGTGAGGCCAGGCATTTTCAATGTGGGATGCATGCATCTTAATTGCAGGCTGTATTCCCGTGCACCGAATATGGCTTTTTTGTTACTGACTTCTTTTATTTAGTATGTTTTCAAGGTCCGTCCATGTGGTAACATGTACCAATGCTTCATTCCTTTGTATTGCTGAATCACAGTCCATTGATAGTCCGTATTTTATTGATCCATTCATCAGCTGGTGGACATTTGTTACTTCTCGTTTGAGCTTTTATGGTAGTGCTACCATAAACATTGCATGCAAGTGTTTGTTTGACATATAAACTGAACACACATATGTGAGAACAGAATGATTGACTCATATGGCAGCTCTCCTTGGAGCATTCTGGGACAAAGTGACAGCAGCATTTCACAGTCCCCCCAACAATACGTGTAGGTTCTAATGTCTCCATATTCTCACTAACAGTTGTTATCTGCCTTTTTTATTACTGAGTGTAGAATGGTATCTCAATGGGGGTTTTAATTTCCACTTCCCGAGTAACTATTCATGTTAAACATTTTTCCTTTTTCCTTCCTTTTTTAAATTTACACCAGGGGAAAGACAAAGTTCTCCCTTCAGCTAATTCACTCCCCAAATTCACTCCATGGCCAATGCAGAGCCCTGGCGGAGACTGGGAGCAGGGAAGTCAGTGTAGGTCTCCCATGTGAATAGCAGGACCTGGCGCCATCACCTGTTGCCTCTGAGTGTGCATTTGCAGGAAGCTGGAATAAAGGACAGAGCGGGGGCCCAGCGTGATGGCTCAGTGGCTAAATCCTTACTTTGCCATCACCAGGATCCCATATGGGCGCTATTTCTAATCCCAGAAGCCCCACTTCCCATCCAGCCCCCTGCTTGTGGCCTGGGAAAACAGTCGAGGATGGCCTAAAGTCTTGGGACCCTGCACCCATATAGGAGACCCAGAAGAAGCTCCTGGCTCCTGGCTCTGGAATAGCTCACCTCCAGTTATTGTGGCCACTTGGAGAGTGAACCAGGGCCAGAAGATCTTTCTGTCTATCCTCTCTGTAGGTTTGCCTTTCCAATAAAAATAAAGAAATCTTTAAAAATAAAAGAAAAGAACAGAGTGGGAACTGAAACCAAAGCACTTCAAGTGAGATGTTCTAGCCATAGCAAACATCTGCCTTTCTTTTATTAAGGTAACAAAAATGTGGTAACCAGAGAACACTTGGACCGCATGCAGAACAGCTGCATTGTTTGCAACATGGGCCATTCCAACACAGAGATCGACGTGGTAAGAATGATGAACTCTGTTAAGAGTTTTCTTTTCCCTCCCTCCCAAAAAGGGGCAAGCAGGGGTGCTAGCCATCCTAAATGCTGCTGTCCTGGCCGAGCTGTACCTGCTGTTCATCTGCTAGCCCTGGGGCCTGTCCTTGGTGATTCTACCGAAGCATCTTCACCTCAGCTTAGCCTATTCAAATAACTGTTTTCCTCTACTTAGGCTTGATATCTGCTTATAATGTAAGCCATTTTATCTTTGTGTTTAGTGTTGAGAGCTGGATAAATGCTTAACTACAAACAGATACAACAGATACAAATCAGAATAGTCAGTGTTGGGGGCGTGTTGATTTTTACCATAAAGATAAATTGCTCCAAGGAAACAAGTCCCAGGAGAAAAATCTCTTGGCTAGCAAGAAACCTTGATTAAGACTGGCCATGTCTGTCAAATACTGCTGCGTATTTTCTCTCTCTCATTCGTCGGGCTGGGACTCCCCTCAACTTATAAACTATAGAAATTTGTTCCGCATCGTCACCCTTAATCCAGTACCATGGTGCAGGAGCATGTAGTCTCCAAACTTGGAAAATCTCACTTTGCTTCTCTCATTGGATTATATTCATTCTAAAATTTTCCTGTCCAAACTTATATACTTGATCCTAACAAGTTACCCCAACTAATAGTTGCTAGAAGCGTTATTTCTTTCTTTTCAAACTTTGCCAAAGGCTCTCTTGATGGGATTCTGCTTTTAGTTATTTCTTTTCCATGGCATTTTTATGTCACAACTGTGTTTCTCTCGGGGTTGTTGACCCAAGCAGAATGCTCCCTGAGCTGCCGAGCTGCTGGGCATGCGCTGAGAGCCGGCGCCGCCACGCCCGCCTTCTATGCTTTCCGTCCTTCATGTTGTGCTCTCTTCTTCGATATTAAAATAACTCGTTTAAAAAAAAAAAATTCCCAGAGCCTCTGTCTGCCTTGGAGTGTCTGAGTGTCGCGGCTCTGTTGGTCTCTTTCCAAGGCACCTTTACTTATAGTGAGTAATTGAATTGGCAGTTGATCTTTGTATGTGCATTTAAGTTTCATTTATATGCTGTGCTGCTCCAGAACTAAATAATGAAAGATTAATATTCTTAAGCTGCCTAGCACATGACTGTCCTTTGTAGGATTAATCTGTTTATAAGAGCAGAAGCCTAAAGAGAAATATTCTTGCAATGCTTGGATCCTAATGAGAACTCTTCACACAGAACAAGGGGGAAGGGATTTTCTCCCCTAGCCCTCAAGAAACTACAAAAAAAAAAGGACTTCCAAATACAATAATGTACCTTTTGTGTTTTTGCTTTATCCCATTTCATCCTCTTGACTACTTCAATAAGACACTTTTTATCCTTAATTTTTGAATATTTCTAAAGTTATGTGAAAGACACAGAGATGAACAGACTTAAAGATGTCTTTTAATGTTCCATCTGCTCATTCACTGCTCCAAATGCCCACAGCAGCCAAGACTGGTCCGGCCGGAGGCAGGACCTGGAAACGCGAGCCTGCCCGGCAGGAGGCAGGGACCTGACTATGGGGGCCGTCACCTGCTGCTTCCCAGGTGCATCACCGGGAAGCAGAATCGGGAGGGAAGCAGAGGCATCCCCAGGCACTCAGACACAGCGTAGGGGCCTGCTAAGCAGTGTCTTCACATCACCAGGAAGCAGAATCAGGAGGGAAGCAGAGATGTCTCCCAGGCACTGAAGTTTCAACTGGGAAATGAAGAAATGTAGTGCATTGCCAGCCACATCATTGATTCAGACAAAATGCAGGCTTTGTGACTCCTGGTCTAGTTCTATTTTGTTTCCTGTGTGTTGTATTATCATCACCTCCTGACTTGTAGACTAGCTTTACTTCAAATTGTGACAGCCACCTGTCCTTAAAGGTAGCCCGGACAGAAGACACAGGCCAGAAGACTCTTTATCTTCAATCACAAATGTGTTATCTGTGTATTGTTTTTGACTGTGAATGCTGTGTGCCAGGGACTCTTCCGGACACTTGGAGTCAGTCAACAAAGTGGGCAAAGGATTCCTGACTCATGTAGTTTATGTTTTAGTAAGAAGAAAGATAACAAACCTATTAAATAAGTGCAAATTTGTAGTATGTTGGAAGATGAAAGTACCACGGGAAAAGAAAAGATAGAGCCAGCTAAGGAGAAGTGGAAGTTGTGATTTTAAGCAAAGGCCTGAGGCTGTCAGCCTTGTTCAGGTGACAGCTGCTGAGACCTGAAGGGATCTGCCGCATGGGTTTTAGGTGGAGACCCTGGCACGCAGCGAGGGCAGCCTACACACACATCTGAGGCAGGCAGGCAGTCTGAGGAACGTGTGGTCTCTGTGCTTGAGAGAATGGAGATGAGGCAGGAAGAGTACAAGAGGCCATCAGTGGGCAGGGGCCGCATCTTACAGGACCTGATTGCTTTGTTGGAAAGAGTTGCGGAGAGAGGGTGAGGGAAGCACAGAGGATCTTGTGTCCACTGGTTCACTTCCCAGGGCTGGCCACACGGCTGGGAGCCGCGGGACTCATCCTGGTCCCACGTAGGAGGCAGGGCCCAAGTACGTGAGCCACCCTACACTGCTTTACCCAGAGCACTGGCAAGGAACTGGATCAGCGGAGGCAGCTGAGACCTGAACTGGCTCCCATATGAGATGCCAGCACTGCAGGCGCTGGCTTTTTGAGCAGTGCCACAATGCCAGTTCCGAGGGCTTTTTAAATGTAAATTCTGGAATTTATCATTTCACTTAACCTTGAGCAATTACGTGCTGCATGTTTCATCAAAAATTGATCCTTTAGAATGCTACTTTTTTTTTCCTGAAAAAATGTGAAGGCTGAGCGTGTTTAGGGAACCTGTGGTAGGAACAGTGCTTCTAGCTGCTTCTTGGGCAAGTCCTTTGACATGTTTCTGTTCTCGGAATGCATACGTGCGTCGCACAGAAGGCCTGTATGATTGTAAGCTTCACAATTCAAGTGGTTAGCCCTTATGAACACATGCTCTGGTAGTCCCGGGGGTTTTGTTTGTTTGTTTTTTGTTTTTATATTCAGCCAAAGAATGGCTTTGCTGCAACATGCTATTGACTTCATGCTTTACGGCATCAGGAATCACAGTTGTTCTGAGAAAACAAGCATGTAATTTTCAAAGTTATCTAAAACTAACGTGGGCGTGTGCAAGCAACAGCAAGCACACCTGACTGGAATGGCGCTCTGCACAGGGATCCGCTTTCCTAGCAGACTGCTTGGTGATTGCAAATCCATCATGAAGCGGTGGTCTCGAGAGAGAGCCCTGCAAAGCTGTGCCCGCGGCAGGCTGGACCCTCCACTGGAGGAGTGTGACTGAATGCCAGGGAGTGGGAGCCTGAACGCCAGGTTGTTGGAGCTCTCCAGACAGGACGAGAGAGAAGTTCCTCTGAAAGCCACCTCTCCAACTGGCCCACAGGTGTCAGCCTGCACTGTAGCCATTCTAGTGTTCTAGAAGACTGCCTCTACCAAGCTCTGGCTCTTAAGCTGACAACATTTCACCTACCATATCTTTTTTTCCTAAGGAATATTTCCCCAAGACTGGAGACTTCTTTCCATGGTCTTAGCAGGTTGCTCCCAATTACAAAGATAGCATGTCCCTGGAAGATGAACAGTCTTGACCACTTACAAAACCCGAAATACTTTTTAAAAGTTCCATCCTCTCAGCAAGAAAAATGTCAGCAGTATCAAGGAATCTGATTTGGATCCTGGGCTATAACCCTTTATGATGAGATCGCCAAAAGCAAAGTCGTCTTTTTTTTTTTTTTTTTTAATTTATTTGAAAGGCAGAGTTAGGAGAGATGGAGACAGAAGTTTTCTGCCTGCTGGTTTGTTCCAGAGAGCCAGGAAAGCTGGGGCTGAGAGGACCAGCGCCTGAACTCTGCTCGAGGCTCCCGCGTGGGCGGCAGAGGCCCGACACTCAGGCCGTCTTCCCACATGCAGTAACAGGGAACTGGACCGGAAGCAGCTGGGACTTGTGTCAGTGTCCATAGGGGATGCTGGTGTTGCGGGTGGCAGCTTAATCTGCTACGCCATAATGCCAGCCCCAGGATTCATTCGGTATGCCCTTAACTTCCTAAAGTAATGTTTACTTAAATTATTTCTAACTTCATTATAAAAATTTACTTGCTTAGTAAAAAATTCAAATCATGTAAATAGGGTTAAAGTAAGAAGTAAAAATAGGTATAAAATTGAGGTTATACTGTGTTTTACAACTTGATTTTTATCATTTAGCGGTAAGGAACAGTTCACATGTTAACACATAGAAGTCTGCTTTGGTTTTTGGAGTTACATGCCAATCCGAGTACGGAATCCCTGTAATGACTTACATATTTTGCTGTTACAAAGAACACTGGTAGACATTGCTGAACAGTTGTATTTGTGAATTGAGCAAATATTTCTGTAGGCTAGAGCCCTAAGTGTGAAATTAATTCTTCAGAGTTTAGGTATGTGTGAAATTTTGCGAACTACTGCCAAATGGACCTCTACAGAAATATTAAATCAGTCTCAAAAACTTACGTCTCAAAAACTTTTGTATGTTTCCCATATAACTAATAATAAAATGATCTGGACCATTAATACAGTTCTAAATACACTGCAACTTAATGATCTGTGTGTCATTCCTGCTAGGTGGGTATGTCCTTGGAGATGGGGACCATGAATGTCTAACTCTTAATTGAATACACACCCACACTTCTTAAAGGTTTATTTTTTTTTTTATTGGAAAGACAGACAAAGATCTTCCATCCACTGGTTCACTCCCCATGTGACCATAGCAGCTGGAGCTGAGCCAATCCAAAACTAGGAGCCAGGAATTTCTGGGTGCAGGGACCCAACACTTTGGGCTGTCATCTGCTGCTTCCCCATGCTACACACAGGGAGTTAGATAGGAAGTAGAGCAGCTGAGACATGAACAGGTGCCCATATGGGATCCCAGCATGTACAAGGCAAGGATTTAGCTACTAGGCTATCGCACTAGGCCCTACACCCTTTCCCCATTTTTACAGTTAGGCTTTGGGGATGCAAAAATGAAGATACTTCTACTAGTCACTGTCCATAAGTAGCTCACAGTGGTAAATGTATCCACAATCTAATGCAGCTTCATGTCTTTTACTACAACGTCTCAAAATGTGCTTTGTACTCAGTGTGTGATCATCATAATAATTTCTATTATTGTTGTTACTTGTTTGAAACCTGTTTGGCAAAACTTCTCACTTCAATCAGCTGAGCCACTGAGTAGTATCAAGCATTACCTGTTGGTGGAAGGGACAATTGTCATAGGGGCTGTAGATTGGACTGCAGCTGTCAATGAACTTACCGTGTTTCCTCTTGTTCTCTGAATGTACAATATACAGAAGTGGAAGCAGGGTGAGCCATCGGGAGTCCACCATTGAGCAATCTCTTTAGAGGCTACCGCACCTTGGCGTTTAGGTCACAACGCTCTGTTAACGCTAGGGGGACCCACCACTGTGGAGAAGGCGGAATGTGGGGGCTTGGGCTGCGAGGACAGAACCCTGGGCCCAGCATGCTGTGTGAAGGACCTTCAGCCTACGTCACCAATCCCACTTAGCTCCAAAACTCCTTCTCTCCGTCGCTGCTCGGCACCTGGAGGAATCAGTTTGCACTGTGTTCATTTGCACTTGGCTGCATGTTGCTTTGTTAAGTGTGTTCCTCTCACATATGTACTGTGTTGTGTCTCCCCAACTAAAGTGCGAGCTTTGGGAAGGCGGAAGCCCTGCTTTTGGTTCCTTTTGTGTTTCCCATAGCACTTTGTGCAGAAATGTGGGTCTACGGTCCGGATTGTGGAATGTCATCCAAGGGATCCCCCACCCCCTCCCTGGCTGGGCCTCAGATTAAACTCCCTGAACTGGAACAGCCCTAGCGCAGCCAGACCAGGCGTGCTCCATCTGGCATGTTGGTTACCCCTTTCAACTTGCTGGTTGACATGGCTCCCTTTGGTGTCTTTCTGGACCTGCACCAGGACCTCCCACGCTGACGCTGTGCATGCTCTATGTGTTCCAGGCGAGTCTGCGGACCCCAGAGCTAACCTGGGAGCGGGTGAGGTCCCAAGTTGACCACGTGATATGGCCTGACGGCAAGAGGATAGTACTGCTGGCAGAGGTGAGACGCCTGGCTGGCAGGTGTGGTCCCGGCTCGCCTCCTCCTCACGTTCCTTCATCCTTTAGTCTCTCCCTGAAGCAGAAGTTCAGCTGCTTTGCCGATGGATGTTACTTCTAAATGTGGCTGATCTTTTCATTCAGCAATTAAGCAACTATTTTGGTTCCCCACTTTTCCCCAATTATCTTGTCTTTCCATGTCGTGGCCCAGGTTGAGTCAGATAATGACTATCACTGTAGAAGGAATTAACAGACAGAACCACTGCCGCTTGAGGAAGAGATCACGTGGCTTGTGGGATGGCTTAATCAGTAAGCACTAAGTAGGCATTCCTGACTGGAACCCAGATTGATGCAGGCGCTGGGGAGTCCTGTCCTTAGCAACAAACTTGGCCTTTTTGAGGGTCCTGTCCCCTAAACTGAGCCGCGGCCACAGGAACAGCCAGCTATGCACTGATGGCTTGGTTCTGGTGTCCCATGTTGGCTCACATGGATTCCTGACTTTGGGCCTAACTTAACGTTCCGCTGTTGTGCCTGACCGTTTTCTTCCCCTGAAAGCTCCTCTTTCTTAGGGCCAGCACTTTGGCTCAAGTAGCTAATCCTCCACCTCCAAGCCCTGGCAGCCCATGTGGGCACTAGTCCATGTCCCCCAGCTGCCCCACTTTCCATCCAGCTCCCTGCTTGTGGCCTGGCAAAGCAGTGGAGGACGGCCCAAAGCCTTGGGACCCTGCACCCGCGTGGGAGACCCGGAAGAGGTTCCTGGCTCCTGACTTCGGATTGGCTCACTTCTGGCCATGTGGCCATCTAGGGAGTGAACCAGAAGATGGAAAATCTTTCTGTCTCTCCTTTTTTCTGCGGTTCTCCCTATCCAGTGAAAATAAATAAATTTTAAAAGGAAAAAGAAAAAACTCCTTTCTAGTCCCGGAACTCCTGGCCGGGGTGATTGTGCCACTCTTCCTAAGAAAGACAGCAAAGTCACAAGGAAAACACGGTTCCTGTTCTTCTTAATCCATCTTCTTTTTATATTAAAGCTGTGGGTCTAGAGCTGTGGTACAGTGGGTTGAGCCACTGTGCCTGACGCCAACATTTCCTGTGAGTGCTAGTTGAAGTCCCCGCTGTTCCACCTGTGATCCAACTTCCTACTAATGGACCTGGGAAGGCAGCAGCAGGTGGCCCAAGCACTCCGTCCCGGACACCCATGTGGAAGATCCAGATGGAGTTCCGGGGGCCTGGCCTTGGCCTCCACTCTGTGGCCATCAGAGGAGTGAACAGAACACAGAAAATTCTCTCTCCTCTTCTCCCTCTCTAACTCTGCCCCACTGTTTCTACAAGTCCATGAAGTTCGGTCTGAGTATCCTCTTCATCTTTTCTTGATACCTTCTCACATACCTTAGGGCATCTGTGAAGAGCTGGAATTGCTTTTTCACAAGGAAGAAAACGGGCCGTTTGCTAAATGCGTGTGTCAGTCTACTGCCCGATGACTTTATTTCTCGTTGCCCTGTGAGCTCCCTCCTCGCAGTAATGGTGACAGAAGCAAGCAGCACAGGTGTTTTCTGTTATATATTTAATCACAAAGGTTGCTTAGGCTCCCCAGGAATGGACTGTGGCTGCTGTCAGGTGACCACTTTTGCTCTTGTTTTATGAAATTCCAGAAATCTTTGACTACTACCATCGTCACATTTTCCAGACTTCTCAGGGTTTCACTCGCGTGCCAATTAGTGACTTCCTGTCCATCAAGCACCTGCTTTTTGCCCCTCAGGGCTGGCTAGGAGAGATGCGCTCGGGACTGTAGCCGGACCCAAGGCCAGTGTCTGTCCTAACCCCTGTGTCTTCCCCTTTGACTGCCAGGGTCGTCTGCTGAACCTCAGCTGCTCCACAGTGCCTACCTTTGTGCTCTCCATCACTGCGACCACCCAGGTAAGGGCTCAGCCGGGCAGCGTGTGCCCGTGTGTCGGGGTGTGCCGTGATGGGCACGTCAGCATTCCCTCTCTGCCTTCTAGGCTCTCGCCTTGATCGAGCTTTACAATGCTCCTGAGGGCCGCTACAAACAAGACGTCTACCTTTTGCCCAAGAAAATGGGTAAGCATGTGCTCTTCCACCCTGATTCTTGCCAAAATAGTTTGAAGTCAGAGGCTAAAGGAAGTTTGGGGACATTAATTTTCTTGTGGATGGGGGAAAAAGATATCTTTCTCTTTAAGAAAAAAAAAAAAATTCATTTGAAAGGCAGAGTGACAACCGTTCCGCGTTCCTGGCTTCAGTTCAACTCAGTTCCGACCACTGCAGCCATTTGGGAAATGAACCAGCAGATGGGAGATGTTTCTCTCTGTCTCTCTCTCTCCTTCTCTCTGTAAATCTGTCCTTCCAATAAATCTTAAAAAAAAAAAAAAGAAAAAAAAAGGATTGAAGGTCAGTGAACAAATGTTAAGCATCTTCTGTTCATCTCCAGGAATGAAAAGGTATACAGCAGCTTTTTAAAGGCCTAGTGAGGAGGACAGCCAGCTAGCAGGCGAGAATGCTTACACCAGGGCTTCTGTGATCTGTTCCAGATGAGTATGTGGCAAGCCTGCACCTGCCCACCTTTGATGCCCACCTGACAGAGCTGACAGATGAACAGGCCAAGTATCTGGGACTCAACAAGAACGGGCCCTTCAAGCCTAATTACTACAGGTGCCTGGGGCTCCCCAGAAATCAGGGAAGCCTTGACAGTGAGAAACCTGCCACCCACGGGTTACATTTTTTTATCCCCCACCACTTACAGTTACATGAACTCAGAAAAATAAAACCAGTCCTTTTCATAGCTTCCCTCAAAGGACTCTTTCGCGTTCTTCCTGAAGCGATACTGACCCTTTACGCTGATGGGAGGGAGGCCTAATTACGCCCCCTCGCCAAACACTTGAGAAAGTCCCCATCTCCCCATTACACTTTTAAGCAGGCCTCGCATGGCCCAGCAGCCCCACCAGTTGATAGGATCACAGTCTCATCTTTCTTTTTCCTTCCAGGTATTAAGTTCCTGTAACTCAAGCCAGAAGAAGTTTTAAGGAATAGAATTCCAAGCCTTTTCTCCACTACTATACAAGAAAGAATCCAGCAAGCTGCTTCTCCAATCAGAGCTTCCCGCCGTGCTCACCCTCTGTGTTAGGTTATTTATTTATTAAAAGCTAGAATCCTGTGCCTGTAGCCTTGGGCCCAGAGTGTGGTTACTGCCCCAAGGGCCATGAAAGCTGCAGAAGACAGGCTGAGGAAAGAAGATGGGGCAGCGTCCCCTGCGCGTCACTGACGTCACCCCCCAGTGGCTCGGAATCCTCAGCAGTGGCCGTTCTCCGTCTTGTTCGGGCTCAGGAGGCGGTCCAGGGGTTCCAGACGCCTTCATCCCTGGGGTTTCCTGATCAGCTGCCTTTCTCAGCTTTGCCCTTGCCCAGGTGAGACCCTTGGGAAGCCACTACATTAACATGGCCTGGGTTCGCAAGCGCAGCCGTCTCTGTCACTCACTGCCTTTACAGAGAGGCTGCTGAGGAAGGAGGTGCCAAGCACTCAGTTCTGCCTGTGCCTCCTTGTCTGCTTCCTGGCTGTGTAGCCCTTTTCCTCTCCTGGAATATCATTTGAACACTTTCTTATTCCAAGAGGGCTGTGCCTCCCATGCTTCTTCAACAGCTCTGTTGGCTATCAGATGTTTGTAACCCCACCAACCTTTGCTCAGGAAGTGGGGCCAGCTCCGCTGACAACTATTTCCTTCCCTTATCATTGACCCGCAGTTTCACAGGCAGGCCCTTTGTGATGGACAGTATCTCAGAAAAGAAGAGCTTGGAGACACTGCTTCCTGAAACTCTGTATTATTGCCTAAAACCACTTCTGAAACTAAGTAGGGAAAGGCACTGGGGACTGGAACAGGTCTTCCAGGCCCACAGCTTGACACCCTGAAGAAGCAGAATAACATAGGAAAGACTTTTCCTTTTGTTCCAGCGTGACTAGCTGAGAGACAGGGATGACGCCAAACTGTCCTGATGATCAGAGCTGGTTAGAACCTCATCAGACATCTGTCTCTCTGATCATTGCCCTTGATAAAGAGAGAGCTGGAGCTAAAGCTGCATCTGCGGCTTGTCTTCTCTGCTGCTGTTATCTTTGATAAGCTCATCTATTCCATATAAAGATTAGGAATTTCAGATAGGTGAGCAGCAGAAAATGTTACATATTCCACCCCAAGAGTTGGATTCCTTTTGGAAGAAGGGATTCCTCAAGCGTGCTAGTCCACAGAGGTTCCATTCGGCCCACCTTGGTCCCAAGAGTTAACATCTGGAGTGGCCCTCGGACAGTCCCTCTCCTCCCCACCCAGCCTTGTTTAACACTCCTGTTGCTTGATTACAAGGTGGCCCAAGGAGACCCTGATCAGCCAAGCTCACAGTGACCTTCCCGTCTGACTCTCCCCATACTTCCACTCTCTCTGCTTCCCCTGGTCTTCGCATAGACCCTCAGAGCTAGTCTGGAAGTGACCTTACTTTTGCAGGTAGGAGATGCAGCAAATGGCTATTTGCCTCAGCAAACATTTTCTAGGCTTAGCGCATAAAGTCGGCATTTCAGAGTCCACATGTGTCAACAAGGATGGAAAAATGCTACGCATATGGCTGCATCTTTTTTCTTTTTTCTTCTTCTTCTTTTTTTTTTTAATGAGAAAGATCAGAAATCTTGGAAAATTCTGCCAGGCCACTGCACCAGTTCTTCCTTTGCCTTCCCAGTTTGGATGTTTATATGAATTGGATCTCTTTCACAGAAGGCACAGATCTTCATACCTCATCTTAGATCCAGAACAGATTCCATGAGGCACATCTCTGGACCCCACCTAGCCTGTTGTGTTCTTAGACCAAAAACCACAACCTGCTGTTTCTCAGCAAAGCCTTGCTCTCTCGGGAGCTTCCTGTGCGCTGCTACCTAGAGCACATTCTCGCCTTGCTGTGGGAGAGAATCATTCCAAGAAAAAGGAAGGGAGCCACCCGGCCTCTCAGTTGCGCTGCCAGAGTTGCCACTCCCGAGGAGGTATTTGCCTCTGATCTTCGGGGCCTCTGTTCCCTTTGGGGGACCCACTCCAGCAGCCATTAGTCTAGAGGCCCAGCTCTCCAGGGTCCTTGTGTTCTTAGAGTTGGAATCAGGTCATTCCTCCTCGGCCCTTGGAATCAGCAAAGGTCATCCACTCTCTCACCTGAGATGCTTCTTGGCCATCTGTAGGCACGGGGTGGGGTGCAGGATCTCTGTGTGTGGCCCTGGTCTGTGGGGATACATGCCATTTTTTCTATCATGAGGTTGTGCTACATTTCAAGGTCCTTTTTTTTTTTACCTTCATAATGGAAATATTCTGTTTTCTTTTTCTCATAAAAATACATATATGCCTAGATCTTCTATCTGTAGTCTCCGTCCCCTCGGCCCTCTTGCCTCCCTCCCTCCCACGAGCATGGCCTCCATGGCCACAAACTCCTGCAAAAGCTTTTTTGCTGCTTGGCTTTTCTCTGAACAGATCAGAAATCGCTGCTCCTGTGGTTTTTCTCAAAATTAACTTTGTCATGGTTAAAAAAAATCAAGATGCATTCTTGCATTCAGCTTTTTGAATAAAGGAAAATTACAGCGGGAAAATAGGCAACACCAGCAAATTATATGTGAACAAGTTCTAAACCATATATATATATTCATAAATATATTACCTAATCATCTAGTTCTTGATGTCATCTTACTGAAAGGAATCAAAGCTGTAAGGATCAGCGTTTTTGAGAAGCTCTTGGAAATCTTTATGTCTGAGTGATTGTATTAGATCAGCAATAACGACTATGTAATCTCAAAAGACAAATAAAATATTCTTCAAGTGGATTCTTGTCCTGAGAGGATTCCTTGCTTCTGCAGACTGGGAGCCCAGAGGGCACAGTGGTCTCTGGGCAGCCAGTGAGCCCGCCCTAGAGCGGACGGAAGAAACGGGCAGGTGCCGGAAGCACTACTTGAATGAACTTAACCTTGAGAACCTAGTTCCTTGGTGTGTGACTCCACTCATCACTGTCTAGTCGTCAGCCTCTCCCTGCCTCACAACACACACACTCACACTCACTCATACTCTCTTCCTGGCTGTGTGTAAGAATCTGCCTCTTCTAGCACAGGTTCAGCCACTGCTTGGGCTACCTGCATGCCATGTGGGAATTCTGAGTCCTGACCCTTCTTCCAGTACCTCCTGGCTAATACTCCTGGAAAGCAGCTGATGACAGAAGAAGTACTTGGGGCCCTGCCACCCACGTAGGAGACCCAGGTGGAATTCCTGGCTCGTGGCTTCAGCCTGCCCTGGCCCAAGCCATTGGGCCCTTTGGGAAGTAAATCAGCTCCCCATGGCCCCAGTCACTGTGCCTTTCAAATGATTAATGACAAAATCAGCCCCACCCTGGGGAGGTCAGGTGTAGGCCCGAGGAAGGTTCCCCTAAGGCCTCTATTTAGATCTCGGCTTCCTTTCGCTGGAGAGCTAGGGCAGGAAGTCGGCCTCTCCAAAGTTGATGCAGGGCCCAGACACCCGGGACTGCACCCAGCCAAAGAGAAGGTTTGTCTCCAAATCAGGTTGTTTCCTACGCCAGTAACCAGGGACATGAACCCAGCTGCCTGTTCTCGACTACCATGGAACAGCCATTTTTCTTTAGTTGGCAACCTAAACTAGTCCTGCATCCTGTTTGTAAGATGTTCCTTCTCTATCAGAGTCGTCTGCCATACGTCCACCTATTCAGGAGCATGGGCTGTAATAGAGTCTAGACTGGTGCTGCTTGGGCAACGCAGCTGCTTAGCATGAAGCTTGCGAGTCGGCTGACGGACTCGCTCCCCTACAGCAGGGTGTAAGTCCTCTTGTGTGAAAAGTGGTAGGAATTGCCCTCGTGCTGATTTTCACACTCTACGCAGCCCTAATTTTTCAAATCTCTTCTGAAGGAAAGCCAGATGGAGCTGTAGGCTCGGCGTTGACTCTCCAGGAGCCAGAGGGTCCTTGAAGACTCAACTGTGCTGCCTTGTGGTCTCTGCGCTTGGCCCTAGGGACAGGCAGGCCAAGCAGCCATGCCTCAGCACTGGCCCACTGCCTTCTGCTACCCCTGCTGGTTGCCTGGGTCTACCACAGCGTGTCAAGTTTGGAGCCTCTTAGTCCTGAAGCTCTGCCTGCTTGGAAGGAGGGGTACAGGGAGGAAAGGAGGAAAGAATGTACTTTTTTAAAAGGTTGTTTTTATTGGAAAGGGCGATTTTACAGAGAAAAGAAGAAACAGAAAGATCTTCCATCTACTGGTTCACTCCCCAAATGGCTACCGTGGCCATAGCCAAGCAGATCCAAAGCCAGGAGCTTCTTGCTAGTCTCCCATGTGAGTGCAGGGTCCCAAGGCTTTAGACCATCCTCTGCTGCTTTTCCAGGTCACAAGCAGGGAGCTGGATGGGAAGTGGAATAGCTGGGACATGAACTGATGCCCATATGGGATGCTGGTGCTTACAGGCAGAGGATTAGTCAATTGAGTCATTTTGCCAGTCCCCCAAGAATGTATTCTTTATATTAAGAATCCCCAAAAGGCTGTGCTGTAGCAGGCTTACCATGTTAAAGCAGTGACGAGCTAAGCGTGGGTTGTGAATTCTAAAAGCTCAGTCAAAAATTTTAAGGGTTTAATAAATTACAGCCTGGATAAAAGAAGAAACCCTCCAAAGTCAGTTTGTGTGGGCCTTGAGCCAAGGACTTTCTCAGAAACTCTTGCCAGTTCAATTCTGTTCGCCAATGAATCCCAACCAGAGACACCCCCCCCCCCGGGGCATTTTGCATTATCTCCGCGCATTTTTGGTTGTCGCAGCTGGAGGAAGGGCACTACTGACAGCAGGTGGGAAGAGGCCAGGGATTGTGCTAAACACCCCACAATACACGAACAGCACCCCACGAGCAACAGCCCCCAGGCTGTGAAAGCCTGTGTTACACACACAATGAAACGGAGTCCAAAGCCTGTTACACACACACAGTGAAACGGAGTCTGGGCCGTGAGGCACTTACCTGGGTGGAGGTGGAAATGGGAGAGGCAAGAGCAGATGGTGTGGTATGGTACGAAGATTCTGGAAAGCAAGGAGACCATCAAACCCAGAAGTCTCCAAGGACTCTCCCTCCCCGCCAGCCTCTGTCTCACACTGACTGGCAGGGGGAGTGCGAGGTCGGAGCTGTTCCTAAGACCTGGGAAAGGGTGTGTCCTTTGGGGCCTGTTGCTTTGCGGTTAGGTGAGAAACGCTAGAATTTGAAATCCAGGCAAAATGAGTTTGGCACCAACACACCTTGAATGGGTTGAATAGAGTCAAAAGGATGACTTTTTTTGGCGTGGAGGGAGAGCTGTTAAATGGAGCCTTGAGGGATAAGCTCCAGTCCACCAAGGGAACAGTTTGCTCCAGACAGAAGCAAAGTGCTGAGCTAGCCTTACAGTCCAGTATCTTGGAAACTGCACGGAGTAAATCTCGGGTGGGGTGCTGTTTTTCATCCGTAGCACGGTTAGTGTAAGCGCCAGGTGCCACCGGGCTCAGCGTGCGGTTCAAGCCCCCTCCTGCCCCGGGCCACCCCTTCCTGCAGTAGCAGCAGTCGCTCCCACCCACATTCGGCGGGTGTTCCACCACCCAGAGACACCGCCCGGACACTGCGTGCACGCCGCCTGCTAGACAGCCCCGCATAGGGCTGACCACGCTGAGCCCCGAGGATCTTAGAAAGGAGGGACTTGGGGGCCAGGGGAGAGAGGAGCGGCTCGCTGCTGCCGAGGGCCAGGAGGGTTGCTCAAAACGTGCCCGTCCCACGCCTCAACCCTAGTCTCCCATTCAGAGTTAGGATGCATTTTCTGCAGAAATCTCAGCTGCTGGAGAAAGCGAGTCTCGTTCCTGCGGCGTCTCTGCGACTAATCAGCGATCGCAGAGGGTCCTGGGCTGTGACAACGGGAAAAAGGAGAGCGCAGTGAAGGAGGAGACGGGGACGAAGGCTCTGGAGAAAGGCCGTGGTGCGGGAGGTGTGACTGCAGAGGGACCCCGCGGGAGAACGTGGGAGGTGGGCGCAGGAGCCCACCGAGGGGCTCTGGGCGTCCGGCAACCAACGCCGCAGGACTCAAAAAAAATCACCTCCTCTGGACCCGCCCCGACCGCTGGGGCAGCCAATCGCATCTCGAGGCGGGACCGCGGGGAGCTGCCACAGCCAATAGCGCCGGCCGGGGGCGGGGCTTGGCCGGGGCGCGCGGCAGCCGCGTCGCTCCGGGCAGAGCGACCCGAGCGGCTGAGCGGAGCCGCTGAGGGGAGCCGCTGGCCGGCAGCATGGAGGACCCCGCGGCCCCCGGGACCCCCGGCCCGCCGGCCAACGGCAACGGCAACGGCGGCGGCAAAGGGAAGCAGGCGGCGGCCAAGGGCCGGGAAGCGTTCCGGAGCCAGCGGCGGGAGTCGGAGGTGAGGGGCCCCGAGCGCCGCGGGCTGGGGCCGGGAGACTCCCGGGTGACTCGGCCTCGGCCCCGGAGCCCGCGGCGCGCCCTGGCGAGCAGGCGGCCGCGGGCTTCGCCTCGCTGGGGCTCCCGGCCCTGCATTCCCGACCCCTCTGCTCCCTGCAAGCCTCCAGATGCCGGCCGGAGGGTGGAGGGGCTGCCTGCCCTGGGACGTCCGCCGGTGGGCGCGCCCCTGGAGCGCCGTCAGGATCGCACCAGACACTGTGCAAACGTTGGTCTCATGGGTGGCTGCAGCCCTTGGGGCAGGGGTTCGGGTCCCACTGTGGAGAGAACAGGTGCGGGGAGGTTGAAATGACGGGTCTGAGAGGCGCGAGGGAAGGGTCGGGGAGGGGGCCGAGCTCCGGCTGCGGCGGACCAAGCCAGACTGGCTGCCGGACTCCCGCTCCCGCTCCGATCCCGGTGTGGGCTGGGCCCGGCTAGGGAGCGCCACCCGCGGACGTCATGGCTTAAAGGAGACGGAATTCCCGAGTGGCCATTTGGATGGAACCGTCCCAGGGTGCAGATGGGAGCGTGAATGTTTGGTCGGCTTGCTCCGCTTTTGAAAAAAGAAAATCCCAGGTTGATGCAATGAATCCCAACCTCGTCCAGCCGGTTTTCGATTCCTCGGCGACGCAAGAGCCGAATCTGAGCTGGGACCGCAGACGTGGGACTCTGAAGGGGGTGGGCTTTGCATTGGCAGACCCCAGAGGGACAGGTGCCACTTCCTCCAGATCAGACAGCTGGGCATAGACTGGCCGAGGATGGATGAAGGGATGATCAGTCTGGGGTTCGAATCGCAGCCCTGTGCGACTTTCGGCAAGTTAATAAACCTCTCTGAGCTGCAAGTCCATCAAATGGGATTAAGACACTGCTGATTCAGAATGTTGGAATAAAGTCCAAAAAAGATTGTTTCACATAAAGTGAGGAGCAGACGCAGTGCATGGAAATGGGTCAGTCATGCGTAGTGCTTTCCTGCTGTTTGTCATCTGGAGTGGCAGAGCTAGTGCTGGCGGCCAGGGTTCTGGCCTCCCCAGGCCAGTTCACCATCTGAGTAATGTGGCCCTGTTTCCAGGTGAAGTCATGTATACTTTCCATTTGGATCCAAGCAGGTCAGAATCACTATTTTAAAGAAATGAAGGAGGGACCCAGCATGATAGCCTAGTGGCAAAAATCCTCATCTTGCAAACACCGGGATCCCATGTGGGCGCCGGTTCATATCCCAGCAGCCCTACTTCCTATCCAGCTCCCTGCTTGTGGCCTGGGAAAGCAGGTGAGGACGGCCCAAAGCCTTGGGCTCCTGCACCCGTGTGGGAGACCCAGAGGAAGCTCCTGGCTCCTGGTTTTGGGTCAGCTCAGCTTCAGCCGTTGCGCTCACTTGGAGAGTGAACCAGTGGATCGTTCTCTGTGTATCCCTCCCTTTATCTGTAAATCCGACTTTGCAATAAAAATAAACAAGTCTTTAAAACAAGAGAAAGAAATGGAGGAGGTGCATGGAGGCCGATAACCGGAGAGGTAACAGCCTTGGGACGCTCTCCCCACGCTGGTCACTGAGGCGACATCAGGTGACGCCCCACATGCCCGACATCTCCCTCGCCCACCTTCCCCTCACCTCCACCTTCCTCACCCTGATCAGTATGTGAGTATGCTGATCAACTATGCAATCCAAGTTAAAAATAAAAAGAAGCTAAAAATAATTTTTAAAAAGAAAAGGAAATGGACAGGGGGGTAAGATTGGCCCCAAGACACTGCCATGCGGAGAACAACTCAGCTATCCCAACTTGCAAGGTCAAGTGCCCAGCGTCTCCCTCACCGCCCAGGATGAATCTGCACTTTTAGGGGGCACCCTGTGCCCCCTTCTCTCGGGGAAGCTTATTCTTGTTCAAACCTGTTCTTTAAGGGAGCTTTGTGCAAGTATGAGTCATTCATTAATTCAGTGATTATTACGATATTTCTGTATGTGTGGGGGGTACTTTTAGGTGCTAAAGATACATCAGTGAGTAAGAAGAGGTCTTTGCCCAAGTGCCGCTAACATTCTAGTAGGGATGAAGAAGCAAATCATATGCAGAGAAATGAAAGAATTCCAACGTGACACGGTCTGTGGGTGAACTGAAACGTGCCCTTCTGAAGTCCAGATAGAAGGCCTGCTCCCCAGCCAGCAAGTCTTGCATCAGGGCAATATTCCCACCGTGCTTCGCTTTTGCCGCTGAGCCGACTGTGCGGAGCTGTGGAGCTGGCCCCTTGCACTGCGGTTCACCTGCCGGTTTCTGCAGCCTTGCTCTTCACGCTTTGGAAGCAAGTAGCTACAGGGATCAGCTCGATCTGGGCTCCCTGCCCGCACCCCCTTCCGCCACAGCGGGAGAGTGGCTGCACCTGTCAGGACAGCCCCTGTCCCCGCGGCAGCCAAGGGCCGCAGCTGCTGGGTTTTTCCTCCCGTTGCTTGCCAGTGCGAGCCAGTCCTTACAGGGCAAGGGTTCCTTTCCTCGCTAGGGTGTGTCCAGAACTGCTGGAAGAGAATTACCATTGGCGTGGGCCAGGGCGGCCTCCTTGTCTTGGGGGGCACTGTTGATCTGCCCTCTTCTAGCTGACTGACCATAGGAATGTACTAGCCGGAAAGAAAAATAGAGAGCAGCTGTTTCCTTACCTAAAGGATTCACCTGGGACTTCTTTAGTGAGATATTCTGGCTTGTTGGCTCTCAAGGTCCTTCCCAGTTCTAACTAGGCTGTGGCAAAACGAGGAAAATGCAAGGCATTGAAGTGAATTTCTAAAATTTAATTCAACATGTTAAGTTTGAAGGCTGGCCCAGTTTAAAAAAATATTTTTCAAACTGCAGGGGGCAACCTGTGAATTAGGATCATCATTTAAAAAATAAATAAATAAATAAAGATTATGAAAAATTATTGGGCCCAGCACAGTAGCCTAGTGGCTGAAGTCCTTGCTTGGCAAGCACCCTGTCCCATATGGGCACTGGTTCTAAATCTGGCAATCCCACTTCCCATCCAGCTCCCTGCTTCTGGCCTGGGAAAGCTGTAGAAGACGACCCAAAGCCTTGGGTCCCTGAACCAGTGTGGGAGACCTGGAAGAGGTTCCTGGATCCTGGCTTTGGATCAGCTCATCTGTGGCCCTTGCGGCCACTTGAGGAGTGAACCAGCAGATGGAAGAGCTTCCTCTCTGTCTCTCCTGTCTGTGAATCTGATTTTCTAATAAAAATAAATAAATCTTCTAAAGCAAAAAGAAAATTGTTAGTGCCTCACATATAATAAGAGTAAATTTGGAGGGGGGAGGCTTTTGTTCTAGTTTGTGAAGAGGGGGATGGGGAACTTTATGATATTTGTTCTTCTAAAACATTTGAAACATGCTTTTTGATAATAGCATTTATCCTGATATTGTGTCCTTCCTGTTTAAGGGATATTAAGTTTAATTTTTCAAAAACTTTTTTTCAAAAAAGGTTTTATAAGCCCCTATTTAGCAAGATAAAACACTAACAACCTTCTGTCACCTCTCACAGCCTTCCATTGTTTTATCATTAGTTTTTGTAATGTGAAACACTGGAAATCTTGCTTTGGGAGAATTTTTATCATATGCACAGAGAGCCACAAAAATATTCATACAATTTGATGCATTAATTCCCTTTATAAAAATCTATTCTTAGAAAAGAGACTCAATATAGAAAAAAGTGCAGGTATATTATGGCATTTATACATGTAATAAAGAACAATTGAAAATACCTTCAGTGTCCCAGCACAGAGACCTGGACAGATAAGCCAGCTAACAATCCATACATGTATACAGTCACTTCAAATGGTAATGATGATCATATAAAGAGTATGCCTTTATAAGTAACCATCCACATTGTGCCCTAAGTGCCCTGGTGCCAACCGCCTTTCTTGTATTAATTCATTTAGTTCTTATAATGACCCAATTAAGTAGCTCCTATTCTTATCTTACTGATGAGAAAACTGAACATATTTCCAACAGTCCTCGGATACTAAGTAAGGGTAGCCATTAGCTACCCAAGTTTGGCACAGAAAAGTTAAGCTTTCATTCTCAGCAGGCTGCCATGTATGAGATGCCAGCCACAGGCGGGCACCACAGATAAGGCACGCTGCTACTAGCCAACTACAAATGTAGGATTAGCCTGAGTAGAATTTACTCAGGTTTGATAATTCTCTGAAAAGACCACAGACGTCAGGAATGTGTGTGCTTGTGACTGGAACTGCATTATAAAGAAGGGCTCAGAAACAGCCCGTGGGGACTGGTACATAGAATAAAGTTTGAGGCTGAGGTGGTTGTGCACCTCTGTGCCGCCTGGGGCATCACCCCGCTGGCACCTCTGTCTGTTCATCAGTCCAACAGCTGCCCACGCCTTATGGTCAATGGTTTGAGCTTTCATTGCCTAGCTATGTTGAAAGCATTGGCCACGTGGCTAAACTCAAATCTCTAGTCCTCTTTCTCTGCCTGTCGTGGAGATTCTGAACACTCTCAAAGCAGGCACCTCATCTGACCTGAGCGACTCCTCCCTAGAAACTATCCAAGGGCCCAAAATGAGTCACCTTATTTGCGTAAGTGCTGATATGGGCGACAGGGGCTCGTTATAAATAGCAGGCACTCCTGTCATTCAGGAATTTCTAAGGGTTTTAGGAGCTTCTTGCCAGTAACTAGAGGGCAGTGACTACATATATTTCTTTTTTTGTTTGTTTTTTAGTAGTGTGTGGTTTTCTGTTTTGTTTCACTTTAAGAGGCAGAGCGACAGCCCAGTTAGAGACAGCTCCCAACATTTAATTCACTCCCTAAACGCCTACCCCACCTTGCTGCTCAGACCAAAGGCAAGCTGGGGAACTTGGTCCAGATCTGTGTGGGTGAGAGGAACAGCTTACACCATCACCTGCTGCCTGCCCGGGAGGTTATCACCAAGTGTAAGACGGGTGAAGCCAGGTGTGAACTCAGAAACTCCAGCTATGGGTTGCAGATGTCTTAACATCTCACCTGCCCCTAAATTGGTTTCTTTTTTCAAAAGATCTATTATTTGCCTACTTGAAAGGATGGTAGGGGTGGGAGGAGTAACAGGATGGTAGGAAACGGCGAGATCTTCTGCCCCTTTATTTAGTCCCCACGTGGCCATGACAGCCAGAATAGGCAAGGCCAAAGCAAGGAGCCTGGAACTGCGTTTCAAAGTGGAATTCCCACGCGGGTAGCAGAGGCCCAAGTAGTTGGGTCATCTTGTGCTGCCCTCCCTGGCTCTTCAGCAGGGAGCTGAACCAGAAGCAGAGCAAACAGGACTAGAACCAGCATTCCTACATGGAATGCCAGTGTCACAAGTAGCAGCTTAATGTGCTGTTCCACAATTAGCTCCTCAGATATGTTTCTTATTTATCGTATGGAGGCACAGAAAGGTTAACTTGCCTATGATCATGATTACACGTTAGGGCTGAAGTTCAGGATTTTAAGATTTAAATTTATTAAAATGTACTGGAGGAGTTATTCCAAAGTGCTTAAAAAGGTTTAATGTTGGGCCCGGCGGCGTGGTCTAGTGGCTAAAGTCCTCACCTTGAACGCGCCAGGATCCCATATTGGCGCCAGTTCTAATCCCAGCAGCTCCACTTCTCATCCAGCTCCCTGCCTGTGGTCTGGGAAAGCAGTCGAGGACGGCCCAAGGCTTTGGGAAGCTGCACCCGTGTGGGAGACCTGGAAGAGGTTCCTGGTACCCGGCTTCTGATCGGCGCAGCACCGGCCGTTGCGGTCACTTGGGGAGAGAATCATCAGGTGGAAGATCTTCCTCTCTGTCTCTCCTCCTCTCTGTATATCTGACTTTATAATAAAAATAAATAAATCTTTAAAAAAAAAAGTTTAATGTGCTGTGGCTGGCACTGTAGCATAGCATGTTAAGTTGCCCCCTACTGCCAGCATCCCTTTTGGGTGCTGGTTTGAGCCCTGACTGTTCCCCTTCCTATCTAACTCCCTGCTAACGCACCTAGGAAAGCAGCAGAATCTTGCTCAAGTGCTTCAGCTGCACTCAGATGGGAGACAAGAAACTCCTGGCTCCGACTTCAGCCAGAGCTGCTGCTTGGGGAGTGAAGCAGATTGAAGCTCTCTGTCCATCTCCCCTTCTCTCTGTGACTCTGCCTTTCAAGTAAATGAATCTTAAAAAAAAAAAAATATGTGATATTAAGTTTAAAATATTTGTTTAAAGATTTTTTTTTTATTGGAAATGGAGATTTACAGAAAGAAAAGACAGGGAAAGATCTTCAGTCTACTGCTTCGCTCTCTAAATGCCTGCAACAGCCAGTGCTGAATCATCTAGAGCCAGAAGCTTCTTTCAGGTCTTCCCTGTGGGTGCAAGGTCCCAAGGCTTTGGGCCATCCTCACTTGCTTTCTCAAGCCATAAGCAGGGAGCTGGATCATAAGTGGAGCAGCTGGGGCACAAACCAGAGCCCATATAGGATCCTGGTGCTTGGAGGTGGAGGATTAGCCAACTGAGTATTGCACCAGCCCCTATATTTAAAATATTTTTAATATAGCACCTTTGGAAATATAGCCTTTAATACAGATTGGAGTGGAAATGCTGCTAGCTTATTTAACAATCCTAAAATTGTGGGAAAGTAGAGGTGGAGAATCTTTTTTAAAGATTTTATTTATTTGTTTAGTAACCTGAAAGGTAGAGCTATAGAGAGAGAACAAGAGTGAGATCTTCTATCCTTGACTCACTTCCCAAATGGTCACAGGAACCAGGGATGGACACACCAAAGCCAGGCGCCAGGAGCGTCTTCCTGGTCTCCCACATGGAGGCAGCACCCAGGCACTCAGGCCGCCTTCCTCTGGCTTTCCAGCTGCATTAGCAGGGAGCCGAAGCGAAGTAGGACTGCCAGGATGCAAACTGGCGCGCATACGGCATGCCAGTACCACAGGTGGCCGGCTTTACCAGATCGATGGCCTTATTGGTGAAGAGCAATGGTCCACAGCTGGAGACTTGTGTAACACAGGGATTAATGATGCCAAACTCCAACCATTCTTTTTCTTTCTTTCCTTTTGCTATTTCTTGAGTCTGTGTTTATGTAGACTAGATAGGCACAGATGGTAGCTTCCGTACCCATTCACACTTCACACTCCTGCTCTTAACCCAGACTTTCTGGTTCTTTATTGGAACCCCAGCCCTGCTCGTGCTCAGCCTCCGGTTTTGCCTTGGAGGAAGATGTCTCGGGTGAAAGGCCCACGTGGAAATTTCCAGCCTGTCTCCAGGATCTAGGTCTCCAAGAGAGGAAGAAGGTCTCTGCCACAGACATCCACTTACCAAACTTAGCTCAAGTTACCAGAGCATCTCTCCGTTCCAGGGCTCTGTGGACTGCCCCACCCTGGAGTTTGAATATGCTGACGCAGATGGGCACGCAGCGGAACTGTCAGGTATGAAGGCAATGGGTTGATGGGTTGGTAGTCCAGGGGTGGGTGTGGGGGCAATGGACAACGACCAGGAGGAATTGGAGGGGCCTGTGGTCTCTGGCAATTTCTATTCCCACCAGCGTGGCTACTGAACAAAGGTTGTTTTCACATTTACTTTTACTGTCTAACTTCCAGCAGTAAATATCTGCTTGTGTTCTTATTTTCTGTGAATTCTCCTTGCTACGGTAGTCTTCTTTTAAAAGGAAATTATTCATTCATTTCCTTGGGAGGAAGACTTGCATAGCGAGCGGCAGGGACAGAGATTTTCTGTCTGCTGGTTTTCTCTCTAGAGGCTCACAAAGGTTATGGGTTGGCCAAGTTAAGGCCAGAAGCTTCTTTTGGGTCTCCCACATGAATGTCAGCAACTCAAACCCTTGGGTAGTCTTCCACTGCTTCTTTCTCCAGGCTATTGGCAGGGAGCTGGGTTGGAAGAGAGCAGCTAGGACATGAACTGCTGCCCAGTAGGGATGCCTGCACTGCTGTAACGCTAGCTTCTGTGGTATTCTTTCATTCACTCTTTTTTTTTTTTTTAAGATTTATTTCATTTTTATTAGAAAGGCAGATTTACAGAGAGAAGGAAAGACAGAGAGAAAGATCTTCTATCCACAGCAATGGCTGGAGCTGAACCAGTCCGAAGCCAGGATCCAGGAACCTCCTCTGAGTCTCCTTCATGGGTGCAGGGTCCCAAGGCTTTGGGCCGTCCTCGACTGCTTTCCCAGGCCACAGAAGGGAGCTGGATGGGAAGTGGGGCAGCCGGATTTAGAATCAGTGCCCATATGGGATCCTGGCGCATGCAAGGCAAGGATTTAGCCACTAGGCTATTGTTCTGGGTCTCACAATATATTTACATGCTGTCTTCTTTCTGTCATCTGCTTCATTATCTCATTCCATTTCTCTTTTGATTCCTCTACCTGTTTTCCACCTTCCTTGATACCTGTCCCTTATTAAAATATCAAGTGTCTGAGGGGCAAGCCTGTAGACAGTTGGCCAGCTGAACAAAGCTGGACTTGCCACCCACATCCATCCCAGTGGTGAGCTGCTTGGCTGGGTCTGAGCTGGGGCTGAATGGGCCCTTGGTGGGCCTCAGTTGGGCTGAGTGGACCCATTCTCCTTTCCATGCTGGGCTGCTCGCTGGGTGGGTTTTTAGTCAGGGTAAACGTGATCCGCTCACATTGAGGACCTACATGTTACACGTGCTGTGATCCCAGTTATTAATAAGTAAGTTTTGCGTGGAGATGGTATGAAAGTTAAATATTCTGTCACATGGAAGTGACACTTTTAAGGCATGCCTTTTCAGAGAAAAGAAGAACATTTTTTAAAAGTTCTCGTGAATAAGCACAGAGCATTCATTTTGTGATGACTGACAGAGATGGAGTTAAGTCTAATAGCCAACAAAGGATTAGAATTTAGAATATGAATATATGGGTGTATTTTTAGAAGAGAGATGAATAACCCCTTAGAAAAGTGGATAAAATCCCTCAATTTATGAGCGAGGAAACCAAATGGTCAATAAACGCATGAAATACATTCAGTTTTCATTTGCAAATGGAGAAAGTCAAGTTAAAATAATGGGATATTATCTCACAATCCTCAGATTGTAAGAATGTAAAGCCTGAGGTGGGTGAAAGCACAGGGATGAGCGCTTTATCTGCCCTGGGAATGGGTAAGCAATCCGGTCATATCTAATGACTGAAGATTGCATATTTTCTAGTAGTTCCACTTGCAGATGTACACTGTAAAGAAGCTTCTAATTGGGAACAAGAAAATCTATGAAGATGCTTGTTGAGGCCTTGTTTCTAATTAGGAAAATTGGAAACAACCTAAAATACCCCTCAGTAGGGAAATGCAAAAACTGGGTTACTGTATAGCCATTCAAATACCTGATCTGTACCAACATGCTTCAATATCAAAAAATGATAATAACAGAATTGCAGAAAGAGGCAGTAATGAAAGAATTTACACAATTTGATACTGCTTGGATAACAGGGTTTTTTTCTTTTTAAAGATTTATTTATTTTTATTAGAAAGGCAGATATATAGAGAGGAGAAACAGAGAGAAAGATCTTGCATCCACTGGTTCCCTTCCCAAGTGGTCACAACATCCAGAGCTGAGCCATCTGAAGCCAGGAGCCAGGAGCTTCTTCTGGGTCTCCCACGCAGGTGCAGGGTCCCAAGGCTTTTGACCATTCTGTTGCTCTCCCAGGCCACAGGCTGGGAAGGGAAGTGGAACAGTCAGGCTACAAGCTGGTGCCCATATGGGATCCCAGTGCATGCAAGGCGAAGATTTTAGCCACTAGGCTACTGTGCCAGGCCCAGATAACAGTTTTTAAAACTGAATAGTACCATGTGTTATTCACACATGTAGTAAAAATATAAAACTAGGCATTGAAAGATATCCACCAATCTCATGAAAATTATTACCTCTGGAGAAGGGAAGATTACAGGCCAGCAAGCAGGCTGAAGCCAATGTGACAAAAGCATGTTGTGTTCAACCCGAGTAGAAGGGACACCGTTTTCTTAAATAAATTATTACTTACCTATCAAAATGTAAGACAAAGGTTCAGTGTCCAAGGCCGCTGCCTTCCCTTCTGACTGGCCTTGTCTTCTACTCTTTAAAAATATACATTCAGTCTCCTGTCATGACTGAAGTAGTTAAGATGCAGAGAAATGGTTTAGACACTTAGAAGGCACAGCCCCAACTCCCAGAAGAGTGGGAGGGTCTCCATCGTTAGACGGCTGGCCAGACACAAGTGAATTTCTCTTGTTTTGGGAATCGTCTGTGACCTAGTTACATTCCAGGAAAGGGGTTAGAGTGGAGGGAGCAGGAATCAAGAGGAAATGTGTTACCCCTGACTCCTTGTTTTCAACAATTCTGCAAAATGAGGATATAATGCTATAGAACACGTGTGTGTGTGTGTGTGTGTGTGTGTGTGTGTGTGTGTGTGTGTGTAAAGGTATTTTTGTTTGTTTCTTATCAGCTTTCTACATTTTGTGTTAAGTGGATGCTATCAGCCAAGTTGGGTTCTGCTGTGCCCAGCAACCATGTGGCAACAACAGCTGCTCTCTGAGTGCGTAGCCGTTGACATAAGCTGCAGCTTGTATGCCCTTTGAGGAAATTCAGCAGGGACAAAATAAGCTGACCTCAGGCCTTAAGAGTAGCTAGCGTGCATTTCTCAGCCCTTACCCTGGTTTCCCAAGTAGCACAGAATCTTGCCTTTACCATTTCAGAAGTTGTGTCGCATTCCTGGTTCCCTGGAGATAGGATAATCCCAACTGATTCAACAAAGCAGGAGTTGCAGCCCTGCAAACCGTTCAGGCTCTGAGCCCCAGCTCTGCCTGCCCTTGCCACACGTCAAAGGCGGCCTTCCCCGCCGCAGCCGGCAGCAGGACAGGTCTGACGGTTTAATCACCCAGGGACACGAGTGGCTATTTTTAACTGTTCTAAAAGGGAGGACGCTGGCTGGGTTGGACACAGGAATGTGTTAGCAGCTCTAGCTCTTTCATGCCTCCCTTCTCCCCCCAGGCCCTTCCTTTTGGGGTCTCCTGAATGTGACCCTGTTCTTATCTTTCCTGTCACAGAATTGTATAGCTACACCGAGAACCTGGAGTTTACCACTAACAGGAGGTGCTTTGAAGAGGATTTCAAGACCCAAGGTGATCTCAACCCCTTACTGATGGAGACTTGCTTTTTCCTTTCAGAGGATCCTGGTGGGATCTAGTAAAATGCTGAAATGACCCTTTGTCCGCTCCAGAGCGAACACCCTGCCCTTCTCGCATCCCGGGGTTAGAGGATAGCACTGCATCACAGGTGTTGAAACAGGGCGGAAGCCAGGGAAGCCTGGCCCGGCCCCATCCCCAGTATAAGGGCTCAGTATTGAGGCAGGGCTGGGCTGCTGCCCTGCTCTCTGACAGAACGTGGTGTCCAGCTCCTGCCTCCGAGCTCTGCCCCACACTCTGCAGCAATTCCACATGCCCATGCTGGGATGCCCTTAGGCCTCCATGGCCTTCCGCACTTAGTGACAATCCAGTTTTCACAATTCCACAAGCCTGTGTTTAGTACTGGCTCTGTGTAAGACAGGCAAGGTACAGCTTCTGCAAAGAGTTCGTAGTTTGATTGCAGAACAGAAATGTGCTCATCACAAAACTGTTCGAGGTCGGGGACAAAGTGGAAGTGTCACAGAAAAGTGGGAGATGTGTCTTAGGAGCAGGGATTTTTGCCAAGAGCATTTGAGGCGACTTTGCATTAGGCCCGTGTGAAGGAGGAGGTGCTTTTGTTGGGCTCTCAAGGACGCCTGGGAATTGGGGAAATGCAGACACAGGCTAGTATGTGTTCTGTGCGGCGTGCAGAGAGCGGATGCTGAACATGAAGCTGCAGAATGGATTCAGGCCAAAATGTTTTGGATCCTGTTCGCATTCCTATTCTCTCTCGACTGAATAAGAACATATCTTAGAAGCATTTGTTGGGGCCTAAGATGAGAGATGGGTGTGCTTCCTGGAAAGCAGTCTTTCCAGCAAGAGCTGGAGCTGACACAGGATGTGTGTGTGTCTGACATACCCAGTGCAAAACAAAGAATGGCTGGAGTTGGAAGAAGATGCCCAAAAGGCCTATGTGATGGGGCTCCTGGACCGGCTGGAGGTGGTTAGCAGAGAGCGGCGACTGAAGGTGGCCCGGGCTGTTCTCTACCTGGCCCAAGGTGAGTAAACCGCTTGCTGGCTCCAGAGGGAAGGGATGTTATCAGGACTGCGATGAGGAAGCAGGATCCCCTGTATGGAGGCTCGCTCTTGTCACCTGTGCTTGTCAGGAGACAGTATTGGCGCCGTGGTGGATCCCTTGGGATCTGCCTTTGTCTTTCCAAGCAGGACAGGATTTCTTCCGGGGCCGTCATTCCTGTGTGAGGACCAGGCACAGGGTCCCTGTGGCTGCGCTGAGGATGTGTGATTAGCTGGTGTGGAGGTTTCTCTTGGCCTCCATACTGCATCCCACGGGCCCCTGTGAAGGGCCACATGGCAGCAGGCGGGGCTGTTGTGAGTAGCGTGAAGACAATCCGAACTAGATGAAACTGAGGGAAGCTTCCAGTGGAGAGCCATAGCTGGAAGAGGGGAAGTAAGTCCTGAAGTCATAAATGTGAGGGTTACTGGCAGAAGCAACTAGCTGGGAGCTTTAAAAAATGGGGAAATTGTGAAGGAAAAAAAAATGATGGGGGGAGAGGAGGCAGACATTGGGTAAAGGAAGCTCGGGGCAAGCAAGACATTACTCACCCAGATCTCTCCCATCTGGGGCTCTGACCGACCTCCACCTGCCAATGCTTGCGTCTTCCCACCGAGGGCTTTCTTCCAGCTCTGCAGAGCAAGCAGGAAGCTGAGGGAATTAGTCGGCAGCCCTCAGCTGTGACTGACAGGTGTGACTGGATGAATAGCCCGACTAACCCAACCCTCATGGAGGACCGGACTCTTGAGTTGGGTGTTTCATACAATTTCCAGAGTGTTCCCTAGGATGAACTCTTGACTGCCCTCTTTCCCCAGCCTCACTTCCCTACTTTGTTATTCCTGGGATCGATTCCCAAAACAACTACTTGTACTTGCATCTTGATCCCAGGATTTGATTCTCTTGATGAGACCTAACCCTGGAGATTGCCTCTCTTCTCCCGCACTGATTCTAGGAGGTTCTCGGGGGTCCTGCCCCTCTTCGTCAGGCCATGGGGAGAAGGAACGGGGTTACCTCATCTCCCCCATACTGTGGCACTGTCTGCTCCTTCAGGGACTTTTGGGGAATGTGACTCAGAGGTGGATGTGCTGCACTGGTCCAGGTACAACTGCTTCCTGCTGTATCAGATGGGGACCTTCTCAGCCTTCCTGGAGCTGCTCCACGTGGAAATCGAGTGAGAAGCCCGGGGTTGGGGAGGGGCTGGCCTACCCCTCCTTGCAGAGGCCTCATGCTGACACGAATTCCCTCACTAAAGAGCCTAAAGAACACTGTGCAGAGCTGGACCCGCTCCTGTCTGGGCCACCCCAGAGCTCGCCGACAGACCCCCTGCGGCCCCCTTGTTCCCTGTTGCCATTCTGTCCCATCCTGGCTTCTGCTGTACTTAAAGCTTTAGTGCTGGGTTCCAAGGGCCTGGCCGGCGTGGTTTCCTTTTTGTTTGTTTGTTTGGTTTTAATCCTAGCCCCTTCTCAGCTCAGCCTCTCTGCAATCGTGACGGACACTCTTCTGCCCAGGAGCATGACCCAAAAAAGACAGAACCTTTTTTTTTTTTTTTAAGATTTATTCATTTTTATTGGAAAGGCAGATTTACAGAGAAAAAGTGAGGCCAAGATCTTCCATCCACTGGTTCACTCCCCAACTGGCCTCAACAGCCAGAGCTGAGCCAGCCCAGAGCCAGGAGCTTCTTCTGGGTCTCCCATGTGGATGCAGGGTCCCAAGGCTTTGGGACATTCTCTACTGCTTTCCCAGGCCACAAGCAAGAGCTGGAAGGGAAGTGGAGTAGTTGAGATACGAACCTGCGACCATATGGGATCCCAGCGCATGCAAGGCGAGGACTTTAGCCACTAGGCTACCGTGCTGGGCCTAGAAAGCATTTCCTTATTGTGCTCAGCACTTTCTTCATTGGCTACAGCTCTGAGTTAGCCTTGTCTGCTGCCCCTGCAGGGTGCCCCACATCACGCCTCATGCTCTTGTCCAGGAGCTTTGGATATGATAAAGTCTCCCTTTTTTAGATCATTATTTTCATTTGTGATGATTTTGACGTAGTTGATTAGCGGGATAAAGTCAGGTGTTACTTAGCCTTTGGGCTGTGGTAGGACTCGCAGGAGCAGGGGCCCACAGACCTGTCCGTGCCTGCCTTTCCCCCGGTTGAGTTTGCTGAGATGATAGGGGGACTCTGGGGAGGCCTTCACCTCATGCCAGGCTGCCTAACCAAGAGAATGACAGGTGTGCAACACAACGAAGAAAAGAGGCCTCATGGGCTCCCGTTCTCCCCTCCTCCCCGGGGCAGCCACAGCCAGGCCTGCAGCAGTGCCCTGCGGAAGCCAGCCGTGTCCATCGCTGACAGCACAGAGCTCCGGTGAGTGGGGCCCACGAGCACGGGCTCGCAGTAGGGGCATGATTGGCTCCAAGTTGCCCTGTCCCTAAAGCCCAGCCAAGTCAGTCCACCCCAACAGCCCTGTAGCTAATCTCACTGGGCTGTCCCCCCCCCCCAGCCTGTCCCCGCCACTTCGGATGGAGCCTTGGGAAACGCTGGTCATCTTCCTCTAATCCCAGGGTGCTGCTGAGTGTCATGTACCTGATGGTGGAAAACATCCGCCTGGAGCGAGAGACCGACTCCTACAGCTGGAAGACAGCACGGGAGACCTTCCGCAGCGAGCTGAGTAAGAAGGCATGCCGATGGCCGAGAGAAGGCTGAGTCTATCTGGAAGAGATTGACGGCTCCCCGCCTCCCATTTCTTTTCAGTCTTTTTTCTTTTAGAACAGAAATACTGTGTGTCGGGCAAGGAGGGTGGGGCTTGGGGACATCCCTGAGTCTGTGAGCCAGCCCGTCATACGTTCTATGATTGGGCTGTCCATCTGCCTCATTCCATCACAGAATCACCTTGAACATTGACCTCTGTTCAAATGCAAGTTGGTATGCTCATCAGACAGGAATAGAACAATGAAGACCTGTGGGAACTTTAAAATAATTTGAAGTGAGGTATTCTGCACAAAATTCACCAAATGCTTCAGCCAGAAAGCAGCGTCTTCAATACTCTTACTTCTTTTTGGAGTCTCCCGCAAAGCATCACCTTAAGTTCTGGGGTGAAAGCATTTTGCCTTTGTGGCTTCCCTTCCTGTTCTCTGAGCAACTTCTGTTGGTGGGAGGGAGGGGTTCGTGGAATCTTATCCTTAGGACCTAAGCTAGAATTCCACAGGGGAGTGGGCGCTCTCAGAGGCGTGGGTGCTCAGGGGAGTGGGCATACTTGGGGAGTGGGTACTCAGAGGAGTGGGCACTCTCAGGGGAATCAGTGCTCAAGAAGTGAGAGCCTTCAGGGGACTGGGCGCTCTTATTGGAGTGGGTGCTCAGGAGTGTGGGCATACAGTGTTTGTGCACTCAGGGGAGTAAGCAATCAGTTGTGGGTGCTCTCCGGGAGTGGGCGCTCAGGGGCATGGGTGCTGAGGGGAGTGTGCACTCTCAGGGGAATGGACTCTCTCAGAAGAGTGGGTGATAATGGGGAGTGGGCACTCTCAGTGGAGTGGTCACTCCGCAGAGAGGGCACTCTTGGGGAATGGGCACTCAGAGGAGTGGCTGCTCAGGAGTGTGGGCACGCAGGTTTTGTGCACTCAGGGGAGTGGGTGCTCTCAGAGTACTGGGCTCTCTCGGGATGTGGGTGCTAAGGGGAGTGGTACTCTCAGGGGAGTGGGGGCTCTCAGGGAGTGGGTGCTTATGGTAATTGGCACTCAGGAGAGTGGATGCTCAGTGGCTTTAGTGGGCACTCAGGGGAGTGGGTGCCCTCTCAGTGTGTCATGGGGTCCTCACATGTGCTCTCTGAATGCCTCTTCTCACGCCCCAGGCTACTCTGTGCATAATGAGGAACCCTTTGCCCTTCTGCTCTTCTCCATGGTCACCAAGTTCTGCAGTGGCTTGGCCCCCCACTTCCCCATCAAGAAGGTCCTGCTTCTGCTTTGGAAGGTGGTCATGGTGAGTGGCCGGTCCTCGCCTTGCCCATCTCAGCAGAACATCCACGCCCTGGCTGCCTCCCTTCCTTCTGGTCTGATTTAGGAGGCTAGCGCTAGGCAGCAGCACAGCTGTGGGCCAGCAGGCGGTGCGGAGCTGTGGCAGGCTGTCAGGTTCATGGATGTTCTGTGGCAAGAGCAGGCGACCCATTTCTGTCGGCAGATGGGAGATGCCGTAAGTAGGGATGTCGACCTCTGATGCAGCTGATGCTTTGTGGGAAGCACACTGGCTGAAAGTCGGCAGATCCAAGTCCTGCTGACGGGGAGGAAACGTGCTTCAGTCTCTCCAGCTGTACAGTGTTGGCATTAGGACCTGCCCTCCATACGGGTAAACAGAGAGTGCAGTTTGTTTTTTAAAATACGTTCATACATATATATATGTATATATAGAGAGAGTATATACTATATAGACTATATATATTGGTTTTTAAAATTTTGTATGATACAGTTCCACAGGCTGAGGGATTTCCCCTCCGCTGCCTCCCTCTGTTTCCCCTATATTATTACCACAGTGTAGTACTTCAGAAAACAGTTATAAATCCATATCAAGCTGCTATTTAAGTGTATCCTGATATAGGTATGGACAATGGTAGAAAGTTCAACATCCTGTTGTTAAGATGCATTTCACATTTTCCTTTTGAGGAGAAGGCACTTGTTGAAACATGAGGTCCTCCCAAGTGTATGGCCGCAGCTCTGTTACCATTGTTCAGCCTGCTCCTTTATCTCCAGCTCCCATCCCGCCTGACTTATCAGTATATTCCCCAAAGGAAGGCCTCACAGGGGGAACTTTCTCTTGACTGCAGAGGAAACCGAGTGATTTGGGGGTTTATAGCAGTTGGATGCTCCCCTTAAAAAGTGAGACAGTTTATTTGATGCTGCTGCTGATGGTGATGCTCCCAGGAGTCCCTTTCCTAACTGCTGCAGATGTTTCCGACCCTAGGTCAATAAATCATGCTTTCTCCCGGTGCCTGCGCTCCTTGGACTGCCAGTGGGCACTTTTGCCCTTCTTTAAGGGGCTGGAGGGCTTCTGAGGGGGCTGGAGGGCGTCGCCCTGACTGCTGTCTCCCGTTGTCTGTTCCTAGTTCACCCTCGGTGGATTTGAGCATCTTCAGTCGCTCAAAGTCCGGAAGCGGGCAGAACTGGGCTTGCCTCCGCTGCCTGAGGACAGTATCCAGGTGGTGAAGAGCATGCGCGCTGCCTCCCCGCCCTCTTACACTCTGGACCTGGGGGAGTCTCAGCTGGCGCCGCCCCCCTCCAAGCTGCGGGGACGCCGCGGTTCTCGAAGGGTATGGAATGAAGCAGGCAGCGGGGATGAGACGCTGGCTGGCCCCGGGTGTCCTGAGAAAGGGCAATGAATGACAGTGTCCGTTCTCCAGGCTGGTCCCGTGACAAGCCTGAACCTGCACCCGCAGTCCTGACAGGTGAAACGCTGGCAGATCATGTAGTCATGTCTTGACAGGGTCTCCAGCTTGTGGCTCAGTCCCTAGAATGTCTTAATGTCCTGAATAACAGGATCAGATCCTGAGGTACCTGAACTGGGCTCCCAGTGAATGCACGGGACTGGGCTGAGGCACTTCACCGCCTTCTTTCTCCTCCTCCCCCCCATGTGATGTTTCTAACTTTTTTTTTTTTTTGTCTAATAAAGTAATGCTTACTCATTGTAGAACATTTGGAACAAGTATGAAAATGTGATGAAAGGAGAAAAGAAAAATCACCCACAACCCTAACAACCAGAGGCAGTCACTGTTAACTTTTTGGCCTATTTCTGTCCAATCTTTTTTTCTTTGTGTGATAAGATTTAAACTTCCAAACTCACTTGCCTGGCAGCAAGCTTCCGTCCTCCCCTTCCTCCACCAGCCAGCTGGCGTCGGCTCGTAGAAGGCAAGCTGACTGAATGTCCGCCTAAGCAGGGCGTAATCAGGAAGGGAAGTGCTTGCAGAACGAGGCCTCAGTGCTTTCTGGAAGCTGAATGGCTGCGACTTTAGACTTTATCTTCACTCTGTCCCCGAGGCTGCCTGAGACTGCTTATCCTGGGATTGGGGCGGGGGCAGGCAGAACTGTAGGGCTGCGGTAGAGTAGGGCAGTCCCGCGGGAGCTGGCTTCTGACAGCACAAGGATGCCCGGTGTCAGATCTGCATACCCTCTCTGCTCTCCCCCGCCCCAGCAACTCCTCACTAAGCAGGACAGCCTGGACATCTACAATGAAAGGGACCTTTTCAAGAATGAAGAGCCAGCCGCAGAGGAGGAAGAGGAGCTTCCTGCGGATGGAGAGCTGGACCTGCTGGAACAGGACCCGCTGGTCCCTCCTCCACCCTCGCAAGCACCTCTCTCTGCTGATCGGGTGGCCTTTCCCAAGGGCCTTCCTTGGGCCCCCAAGGTCAGGTAAGTCTAATGACACCAGGAATCCTGAGTTTTGGGGTTCAGGCACAAGAGGTCAGGGTGGGGCAGTTGTTATTCAAGACTCATAAATGTGGCAATCAGAACCCCTATTTTTGAAGTTCCCTTTTCAACTAATGTCTTCCCACCACCCCCTGCCACTCCAGTCCTCCAAGTAGAAAAAGGTGTGCTTTTCTTCCCTTCTCGGGGCTGACGTCTGCATTGTCCCCACAGACAGAAGGACATCGAGCAGTTCTTGGAGATGAGCAGGAACAAGTTCATTGGCTTCACGCTGGGGCAGTAAGTGACCAAGTGGCCAGGACTGGCTATGCAGTGCTTGCTGGGGTCAGAGTGGCAGGCAGCTTGGAGTGAGGTGTGTTGCCTGAAGAACCCGGGCCAGGGCAGCTCCCACTGACTACTGGAGGTTCTTGTCATGGAACTTTTTCCTTGGATTCGCTTCACTTTTCCATAGAGAACTTTTGTGTTCTGAGCAAAGGGTAGGATCTTGAGCAACAAGACATTTCCCTTGAGGATTTCAGTATCTTCCTGAAGATGTTGGATTAGAAACTCCTTAGGGACCGTTTCTGCTCTGATGGGTTAAAATCTGGAAGAAGACACACAATCAGAATTGTCCACTCCTCCCATTTCTCTGCCCTCGTGAATCCTTCTCAATGGCCACTGTGAAGTCCAAAAGACTTTATTGCGAGGACTTAGCTATTACTGGACTACATGCCCTTGACAATGTGGATTTTCATAAGCACTTCTGCATGCCATTGTTCATATCCTGAAGCAAAGCCCTGGAAGCTTGAGGAGTGCTGGGGTGTAGAGGCTGACAGTGGCATAGTCTGTGTCATTCCAGAAGACAGGAGAGCTCTCCGTGCTTTTCAAGTCTGTGACGTGGTGTGTCTGGCCTTCCACAGGGACACGGACACCTTGGTCGGATTGCCTAGACCCATCCATGAGAGTGTGAAGACCCTTAAGCAGGTGAGCAGTGGGGACATCAGGGCGAGGGAGCCGTTAGGCAAGTCAGATGATCAGGTCCTGGGAATGGGGCGGGACTTTTCTGCCAGATACATTCCTTTTTTTTTTTTTTAAACAGTGTTTCTTTTCTTTCTTTTTCTTTTCTTTTCTTTTTTTAAGATTTATTTCATTTTCATTGGAAAGGCAGATTTACAGAGAGAGGGAGAGATAGAGAAAGATCTTCTGTCCACTGGTTCACTCCCCAGGTAACCACAAAAGCCAGAGCTGAGCTGATCTAAAGCCAGGAACCAGGAGCTTTTTCCAGTTTCTCCCATGCGGGTAGAGGGTCCCAAGGCTTTGGACCATCCTCTACTGGTTTCCCAGGCCACAAGCAGGGAGCTGGATGGGAAGCAGAGCAGCCAGGATTAGAACCAGTGACCATATGGAATCCCAGCAGGTGCAAGGCAAGGACTTTATCCACTGCCGCGCCAGGCCCTGCCAGATACATTCCATACTTACCACACTTTCCCCTGAAGGCCTTTTGATCAGTCAAGAAAAATCAAATCTCTCTAATTACCCATTTTCCCACATTGGGATAGATGAGAAAGTTTTTTCCTGTAATTCCTTTTCTGCTTCTCATCCTTCTCTCTCTCTCCCTGTCTCCTCACCTTTTTCTCTCAAAAGTCCCCAAACTCCAAGTGGCCCAGGATTCGAACAGGCATCTTCTCTGTATGCATTGTGCATGTGAATACAAACTGTGGATTTATCACACCGTACATACATGTACACGCATGGGTTGGGGAGATATGGTCCACCAGGAATGCTGTCTTTGTCCCACATCAAACCTCTGGCTCTTGGCTCCAGATTCCTGCTTTATGTGGAACTTGGAGGCAGGAACAATGGCTCGAGAAATTTGGACCCTGCCATCGACGTGGGAGACCTGGGTTGGGTCCCCAAGCCCTAGCTTCTACCCCTGGCTGTTTCAGCTCGGTATTGGTCCAGCAAATGGAAGCTCCCTGTTTTTCTTGTTTTTCTGACTCTTAAGGCAGTGGTCCAGGGACAAGGACCTATGGTTGCTTGGTTTCCCCTGCTGCTTTTGTTTTTCTTTAAAGATTTATTTATTTATTTGTAGTTAGAGTTAAAGATAGAGAGAGAGAGAGAAAATCTTCCATCTGCTGGTTCTCTCCTTAGTTGGCTTCAACAGCCATGCTGGACCAGGCTGAAGCCAGGAACCAGGAGTTTCATCCAGGCCTCCCATGTGGGTCCAGAGGCTCAGACTCTTAGGCCATCTTCTGCTTTTTTCAGGCCATTAGCAGGAAGTCAGATGAGAAGCGGAGCAGTCAAGCCACAAACTTGCACCCATGTGGGATTCTGGGACGTTGCAGGCAATAGCCTTACCTGCTGTACCACGGCGCTATCCCCTCCCCTGCTCTTTTGTATAATGGCGAATGCCTAGATGTTTGCTGCTATTCAAAGAGGTTACATCTGTTTGGGGTGACAAAGTCATAATCAGAACATTTCCTTGGTGGTAGGGAAGTGTCCGCATGACTGAGACCCTAAGCCCTTGCGGGTCTTTCGTCTTCCCCAGCACAAGTATATCTCCATCGCGGATGTGCAGATCAAGAACGAGGAGGAGCTGGAGAAGTGTCCCATGTCTCTGGTGAGCTGTGGGCTCCTATCAGGACAGCAGGAGGAACCCTTGGGCAGCGTTGCACACAGAGCTGTGGGCATGTGCTCTTGCAGTTTATTGGCTCTGCCTGAGTGCCAGGCAAGGCCCTTGTTCCCATCAGATAATGGAAGATACAATGGATAGTCATCCATATCTCTTCGTGCCCAAATCACCCATATTATTGAGCTGCCTAAGGCTTCTTCATGGCTTACAGAGCATTCTAGAGCTCAAGGCTCTCGACGCTGACACTGTGGAAAATACCGGTGTTTATGGTGTCTGTTCCAATGTCCCAGGCATACCTGCAGCCCAAGTCGAGCCGATGTGTACCCAAGGTGGGCTGTATGTGTCTGATAAAGCAGTATTCTGACCCAGCTCCTGGGTGAGAGTTCTTATTTCCGATCCTCATGCAAAGAGGAATTATGCACTCATGCCAGGGAACGGGAGAAGCAGAACCTTAGATTGACCAGGACAACCTTCCACTCCAGGACTTTAAAAAGGTGACCTAAGATAAACCACTGCCACGGTGAGGCTAGGCACCCAGTTGCCTCCTGCCAGCCCTCCCAACTGAGGAGCCGTAGCCTTTGGTGCCATGAGAGTAGCTAGGCAAACCACGTGCATGCTCTCTGCCACAGGGGGAAGAGGTGGTTCCGGAGACACCGTGTGAAATCCTCTACCAGGGCATGCTGTGTAGCCTTCCCCAGTACATGGTAAGGAGATGACCAGGCCTGCACCGCCCTCCTCTGTTCCCAGGGCCAGACAGCCAAGAGCATTTCAGGCTGATTAAGCCGTCCTCCGAGCTTCTCTCCTGAGTCTTGTCCCCATGGCAGGGAATCTGAGCTGTCCTCGGGAATCCTCTGAAGGGCTGTGTCACTAGTCCTTCTTCAGGAGGGGTGGACGACCAGGTGGGCTATGTCCAGGGTGAGTTGGGGGCCCCTTGTCTTCTAGGTAGGTGCTAGAACTCCTCTGAATTGCCTACAACTGAGAGCTGACAGTCCAGGGCTGTAGGGAGGAGTTGAGCTTATCCCTCCCCTCTTGTGCACTACCCCCGCTGCTCTGCCCCTTGGAAAGAGCCAGCTGGAAGCAGCGTGCGAGGTCCCTCGTGGCCGCTGAGGGAGGAGCTCGGAGAACAGCTTCAGTGCACGTTCATAGCGAAGTGATGAGTGTAGAAGGAGTACTACCTTGCTGAGTGGATGGATTGGGTGGTTTGCTTCCTTTTCTGCTTCCCAGATCGCTCTGCTTAAGATTCTGCTGGCTGCAGCGCCCACCTCCAAGGCTAAGACAGACTCCATCAACATCCTGGCAGACGTCCTGCCTGAAGAGATGCCGTGAGTGCTCCACTGGGCCAGCTGCTGCACGCTGGCTGCTTGTGTGCAGGGCCCCTGTCCCCACCGCACGCTCAACAGGGATCGTCCCCGAAGGGGTCTCTCCTCCCCCACATGGCTCTCGGGCTGTACTCTGCTTAGCTGAGGACTGAGGGCCTGGAGGGTGACTTCCAGGGCCAGCCACCCATTGCCCAGGTAGGTGGGTGGACATTGCCAAGGAATGAACTTGCTGAAGGAGAGAGCAACAAGTTGAACAGCAGGGGTTTTCGCTGGAGAGGCTTGAGCGGGAATGCGGGAGGTTTCCCTAACACCGAAGGTTAAGTTCCCGTGTGTAGGTTGTCATCGCAGCCTCTGCACTCAGGCCTCCTCTGCCCGTTGCAGCATCACTGTGGTTCAGAGCATGAAGCTGGGCATCGATGTGAACAGGCACAAAGAGATCATCGTCAAGAGTATCTCTGCCCTGCTCCTGCTCCTTCTCAAACACTTCAAACTCAACCACATCTACCAGGTGAGCAGCCCCGAGGGCCGCGCTCAGCTCTGAGGAGGGACACAGGCCCCGTGTGGTCCCCTGGGCATTTTTCAGCCTTTGCTCTGTCGTGAGTTTGAAGCAGGGCATGGAGTGGTGTGGGGGCCGCACTGTGTAGAAAGGGGTAGAGGTCTGTGTCCTTTGTTTCCCATCCCCAGCATTGTGCAAGGAATCTTCCCGAAGTCACGCCCAGGTGAGACAGGATTCTAACATTCTACACAAAAAGGGGCAAACGTTTTTGCCATACCTTTCCGTACATGAAGCACTTTTCTGACATTTGAGGAATAACTTTGACCAAGGCATGGTACTGACTCTCAAGGGCCTGATTTCTTGCAGAGCACACAAATATATAAACAATCAAGTTTACAGTTATAGAGTAATAAATGCTGTGATAACAGTTGGGGAAAGGCCAAGCCAAAGCCAGGAGCCCAGAACTCCATCTGGGTCTGCCTGGCATGGATCACTTTCCCTGGTACGTCGGCAGAGAGCTGGGTTGGACATTTAGTAGCCAGGTGCTGAACCCGTGCTCCAGGATGGGAAGCAGGCTTCTCAAACAGCAGTGAACCCACTCCCTAAGCCATAAAGACTAGATACAGCTTGAAGCACAGATGGCCAGCTAGCCAGTGTCCTGGGGAAGCCTGCTAGCCAGCATGTAGGAGCTGTCAGTGACCCTGGACAGAAGCTTTTCAAGCACAAGTCCAGAGGGGACAGTGCAAAATACTCTTGGAGATGGCGGTTAGATGTTTCTGGATTCTGCCTGCAGTGGGGAGAAATGAGAATGCCCCGCTCATCACATCCGACAGCACACGGTTACTCAGCGCTGTGTGCCCGGCTGCCCATGAAGTGTGTTAACTCTCTCGGCTCTGTGAGTTAGGGCTTGTTACATCCATGCCTCTGTGGGTGAAGAAACAGAAACTGAAAGAGGTAAGAGGTCTGTTTTCCCAGGAAGACAGTTGGCTGAGCAGTTTGGACTTGGTCTTACGGCTGGAGGGGAAATGTGCAGGTGCCAAGTGGGTGCTTCCTGTCTGGGAGAGACTGCAGGAAGGAGAGGGAGGTTTTTCATTCCCGTGCAAACATTCCAGCCTCCATTTTCCTCCGAGAAGTCAGAACCAGGCTTACTGGAAGAGCAGTCTTCAGAGTACAGGGAACCCTGCACATTCACAGCCATGGCCTTATCCAGCCAAAGTAGCTCTCCACTTGAATACATTCACAGACCTCTCGGGACTTGGTAGGGTGTCCTGGCTGCTCACACCTGTGCCTGTGTTGGCTGAGCAGCCACAGCGCTAGTGGGAGACATGGTGAGACCTGAGAGTGCGTGTTCATATCTGCTTCTCTGGGTGGACAGTGCGTGGGTGGAAGTCGGGCAGATAAGTGGCTTAATGCATCTTGCCAACATGTGTCCGTGTTAATGCATCCTGACATGGCCCAGGCACATCTCAAACTGAAACAAGTTTTCCATCACTTGATGGCTGGTATGCATTGGTTGCTCTGTCTGGGGCTCTGGGTCAGCTTCCAGGAGAAAACACCAAGCTGGAGGAGGAAGTGGCCATGGCGCAGGCTGCGTGCCCGCCTCACCGCACACCCGGCGGCCAAGGCGGCTGGTGCAGTGCTGGGGAGGGGCTGAGGACGTCAGAGCACTCAGTTCTCTGATTGTTCTCAACCCTGTTTCTGGATTGTCTCAGCACTGTACATTCCAGAACCTAAGGCAGCTCTATATGGTGCTCGTCAGGGTATCATGGACAAAGTCTGACATAATCCCAAGACACCACCTGTGTGACCACTTGCCTCCTCCCCCAGCTTTTGCCACACGCAAATCCCAGCTGGATTTCAGAAAGCAAAATGGGGAAACCTCATGTTGAGATGTTTAACCCACCAAAGGCATCCTGGACTTGTCAGTGCAGGGTCTGTTAGCTAAAAAGCTGCCGTTCATTCATTCATTCAGATGCTTCTTGACAGAACTCTAGGCAGCAGGGACAACGCAGTGTGCCAGCCAGACAGAATGCAGCAGTTCCTTTGGTTGCTCTGTCCCCTGTCCATCCTGAGGGCAGCATTGCCGGGAGTGAACTGCACCTGTGCCTGCTGTGCCCATCACAGTGGAGCTGTGAGCCAGAGGCTGGAATGGAGCAGAGCCCCCTCGGGGAGCTTGGCTTTCTCTCCACCTGTGCTCTCTGCCTGGGAGCGTGCTTTTCTTTCTCACGTCTATGCTTTGATTTTTCATTCAGTTTGAATATGTATCACAACATTTGGTATTTGCCAACTGTATCCCTTTGATCCTGAAGTTCTTCAATCAAAACATCTTGTCCTACATCACTGCCAAGAACAGGTACGGACCGGACAGGCTTATTTAATGGGCTAGTTTAACTTGTCACAGCCTTTCTATTCTTTCAGTGTGCTTTGTCCTTCCTCTTAGAACTGTTACTTTTTTTGTTGTTGTTTTTTATTTGTTTTCATTTTACTTGAAAGATAGACAGACAAAAGGGCTCCTGCATTTGTTGATTCACTCACTGAATGCCTTAAACAGCCAGGCAGAAGCCTGCCTACACGTCAGTCCTGCTCTGCCTCAGGGGCGGCAGGGACCCAGGGACGTGGACCAGGTCCTGCTGTCCTCCAGAGCGCACATTAGCAAGAGCCTGGATTACAGGTGAAGGAGCCAAACGTAGGCACTGTGTGATGGGGTGCAGGCCTCCCAAGCAGTGACTTCACTGTCGCCCAAGCAGCTGCCTGCCCCAGCTGTCCCTGTGAAGGTGCGCTTCTTTGGAGTGTAAACCCTTGAGGTGTATGGCCTGACCTCTTCTCAAAGGTACTTGAACGTTCTGGTTTTGAAAATTTTTAAATGTCATGACTTATAGAAGTGAAGCTTGGATACTTTTATGCTTACTCCTCTTTTTATTTTTCTTTTCATGTGGACTTCATCGAATTGACCTTTTCATAATCTGTACCCAGATATTTTGTACTGCTAAAAACATTTTAATAGATTTCAAATGAGAGCATGGAAAAAAATGAGGCTACAGTGACAAAATTCCAGTTCTGTGGCAGAAAATTCAAATGTTATGAAATGGCCTACTTCTCTGGCTAACCTTGATTTTAATATAAATCATAAGTTGGAGCAATGCACTGCTTTACAACTGTAAAATGTTACAAACAAACATTTTTGTAGCTCAAGATTAGTGAGAGAACCATGCTGAGATATATATGTAGGTTAAAAAGTAAGGTTTCTTCACTTTTGTTTTCATCTCCCTAGCAGTGCTAAGAGGTATTACACGAAGTTTTGTCCTTTGCTTTACCAATTAGGAGGCACATTCGGAGAAGTTAATTTACTTGCTGTAGATTAACACGGTAATAAGACCCCTTACGTAAGCAGCAGAGGAAGGACCAGAACAAAGGTTTCTCTGTGAAGACGGTTGCTTCCCATTTCTCAGGCCAGGCAGGGATTGGGAGAGGGCAGTGATCCCGACTCTTAAGCTTTCTGTGTCCTCAAGAACTGGGAGCGTGTTTGTCAGGATTTTGCCAGAATTCCTTTTGCAAAAGCAAGATTCCCGAAGTTCCAGTAAGAGGGCTGATCCCACTCTTGGGGTGACTAGAGAAGGTATAGCTAACTGGATGTTACCCCAGCAGCTTGCCAGTACTTCTGGATCACTACCCTGGGAAACCATGCTTATCACAAAGTTTACAACCCGCACACACACAGCCCACTCCGTGGAACTCGAAGTCAGGGGCCACTTCTGACCGCAGCTGGCATTTTCTGCCTCAGTAATCTCTGGTGGGGAACTTAGTTTCTCTCAGTGGCATTATCAGTTAGAACACCACCTCTGGCTGTATGTTAGAGTTGCTGTAAGCATTAGTTAAGATTATAGTGTGTACATGACCATGGTCGGACACTCTTGGGAGGAAAGCACTGGAGAGGGGGTTGTTGCCTAGCTACACGCAGGCCTGTGCACTGATCTCTTTCAAAGTGGCGCTACAGCATGCTAGTTGGGTTACCAAGGAAAACAAAGTGAAGATTGGGCTATGCCAGAGCCATGGGTGCCACACGGCACCTGCATGTGTCAGCCAGCAGCCTTGGTCAGGGCCACGAGTGCCACACGGCACCTGCGTGTGTCAGCCAGCAGCCTTGGTCAGGGCCACGAGTGCCACACGGCACCTGCGTGTGTCAGCCAGCAGCCTTATTCAGGGCCACGAGTGCCACACGGCACCTGCATGTGTCAGCCAGCAGCCTTGGTCAGGGCCACGAGTGCCACACAGCACCTGCGTGTGTCAGCCAGCACCCTTGGTTGCTAAGCAATCAAAACCAGAGGGCCCAACCCACACAGAATAGTTTGTTGGAAGGAAATATGACATGCCATCTTGAGGTACCTTGGTTACTGGGTGGGGGACCCAGGAAACCTTCCACTGCCACCCGTGGACACAAGGCTGCCAGGCTCTCACTCCAGTTCCTCTCTCACTCGCAGCCTGTTTTGTCTGTCTCTTAGTGAAACATGCCCACATGAACTGAACATTTCACTTTGAGTTTGAAATATTCCAGACTCCTAGGGTTAAAGGTCAACAATTGGATTAGTCAGCTGCGGTTGGAGGAGTGGGAAATAGAGAGTGGTATGATTGTGCCAATAGGCAAACAATACAGAAAGAGATTTGCATTTGAAGAGTGGTGGTGACAGCTCCACCTCTTGCTAAGGTTGACTTGGGCAAGGTGATTCTCTAGGCTCTGCCTGTGTTTTGCCGATGCCAGTCCTCCCTGGGAGTTGAGAACACTCAGCTTCTTCCTGCACACTCTCCTCCCGACTCCTAGACTCTAGAGATTATAGAGGCCTGGACGTTTATTTTCGGACCCTCGGACTAGGACACAGTTCATTACGAGATGGGAATAAATCCAGCTTTGATGTCCTGCACCTATTTCCTCATCGCTAGTGCCTGCCCTGTGGCTCTGTCAGTGAGAGCTGGGCAAATAGTTGGTGCAGCCAGCAAAGAAAGGCCTTCCCACCGAGGCAGTGTAGAGCTAGTGACCCTGGGAGAGTCCAGGAGAGGAAACAGGAAGGGCAGCATCGCAGGTGGACCCACTGCCCTCTCCCACGGTGATTCCTGCCCTCTCCTGCCCTGGTTTCCTTAGATTATCCTAAGAAAGGTTGCCTTTTGCTTGTATAGAAGTTGTGACTTTTAAAATACAGAGACCAGTACAGGTCCAAGGGGTAGCACACTTGTCTTTGTAACACATTTTGCCAACATCCTTTACCCAATTCCAACAATCCTTGCTCAGATATAACGGTGTTAAAAACCTGATGGAAGCCAAAAGACCATTAGAGATTAGCTAGTCCCATGACAAAGGGGAAGAAGAGAGATCTTTATCCCACTCTCACACCCTCAGGTTGTCGTTAAACGGCCTGCACCTGTGGGGGCACAGTCCTGTCCGGGTGCCCCTTGATTGCAGGAACAAATGACTCATGTTTACATCCGCCCTTAAGCTCAAGGAGGGGTGGGCATCGCGGTGCTTCCGCTTTGCTTGGGACCCCCGCCACATCCCGTATTGGGAGTACCTGCGATCAAACCCCAGCTCTGTCCCCAGCAGCTTCCTAATCCTTGCCTAGGAGGCTGCAGCTGGCTCGAGTTCCTGAGTCCTCATGACCCACATGGGAAGCATCGCTAGAGTAACTGGCTGCTGGCTGCTGCAGGCCTGTGGGGAGTAAAGCCAGTGCATGGAGGCGTTCTTTCCCTCTGTCTCTCCTCTGTCACTCTACCTTTCAAATAAATAAAATTATAGCTTTAATGTATTCTTTTTTTAAAAAAAAACTTATTTATATTTTTAATGGAAAGGCCAATTTTCAGAGAGGAGAGACAAAGATTTTCCTTCCACTGGTTCCCTTTCCAAGTGGCATTAACAGCCAGAACTAAACCGATCTGAAGCCAGGAGCCTCTCCCGGGTTTCCTACATGGATGGATGCAGAGTCCCAAGGCTTTGGGCCATCCTCTTCTGCTTTCCCAGGCCACAAGTAGGGAGATGGGTAGGAAGCAGAGCAGTTGGGACATGAACAGGCACCCATATGGGTGGGATCCTGGCACATGCAAGGCAAGGACTTTAGCCACTGGCTACTGTGCCAGCTCCACTAGCTTTAAAGTGAAGGGAGGAGCTCAAAGACAAGAGGCTCTGTTTCAGCACTAACTCTTAAATCGGCCAGATAGGGTTCAGCTGCTGGGACTGCCTGGTTCCTCTCATGACTCTGAGGAGAGGAAGCTGGAGCTGCCTGGCACAGACCCCTTTTCTCAGCGAATGTCACCAAGCCATTTAAGAGAGAGATGGAGCCTGCTAGACAGCAGTAACTGCTGCCCTTTTCTGCCACAGCCCCGGCCTGCCATTGCCTTTACCTGACTCTGTCCTCTGCACCTTGCAGCATCGCCGTGCTGGACTACCCTGGCTGTACCATCCAGGATTTGCCGGAGCTTACTGCTGAGAGCCTGGTAAGCAGGTGGGGATTCGATGGCCTTTGAAGTTGCCAGGTAGTGGGACCTGGCATTGCTCATTTCTTCTCCAGTCCCATCATGCCCTGGTGTGGGAATCTCAGACCAAGGCAGGCCTGTTGGCAAGAGCACAGGGTCAGTCGAGATTTAGAGCTGCCGACCCAGTCGGAAGATCTGGGAGAAGCTGAGCACATTCTTTAACACAGGTGACGAAAGGGTCCATGAAAAACACTCAGGAGAGGGAATTCAGAAAGAGAATGGGCCAAACTGAGCGTGAACAAAGAGGCTTCCGGAAGGAGCCTCTCTTCAGGTTCCAGAACAGTCATATCTGCTGGCTGCCATGCCGTGAGCAATTCACTTCCCATGATCAAATCGTGCAGTGAAAAAAATAAAGCCCAGGAGTGTGTACTTCAGAAAATGCCTCGTTTGAGGTTTCTCTGAAGGAAGACACTGCTGCGGAATGACCCAGAATGTTCCCTTTCTGAAACAGGTCTAGGCACATCAGAAAAGTCCCTCAGAATTCCAGGAAGCTGACTCACAGCATATAAAAGATAAGGTATCTTTTATCATGTATTACCATAGCTCCTTCGATAACACATAACCCAGCCTCTCTTTCCACTGCATTTTAATTGTGTTTCTCAGTTTGACTGTGGACTCTGACGGAGGGATGGTATCATCTCCATTTCTATATCCTCCGTACAGTCCTTGTTTGCCACTGAAGAGCTTTATGTATGCTAAATGACTGAATGGGTACTAAGACCCTCTACCCCCTAATTAATACCTGCAAAATGTTGAATTAGAAAAGAATATTATGCATAAGTGAGCTAAAATAAAGGAGTTATAGGCCCATAGGAATCTAGCCTGGAAGGGGCTTAGGAGCCATTTAACCCATGCAAGTGCCCAGTGGAAGCAACAACCTGTCGTGACCACCGCTTGTAGGTGACGGACTCCTGTTCTGAGTCTCATCTGCTGAGACACCATGTCCAGGACCCTGTCACTCCCCCTGCTTAGAGACAGGCTACCAGCCAAAGAAGCCGGAGGCTGTTCAACTCCCACGGAGAGGTAGAGCATTACCTAAGCTTGTTCCTGCTCATGGTGGTGCTCAGTCTGGCAAAGTTAAGTAACTGCCGAGACCTGAACAGTTGAAAGTAGCAGAATCAAAGTAGAGACCTGCCCCCTGCCTCCCAGAGCCGGACTGAAGGAAAACAAGGATGCAGTAGCTTTGGAATCCTGTTCTCTGGGGTTTCGGAACCTTCAGCTTTTCTGGCCTGAATCTATTCCCTGTTGTCACTTCCACGCCCATCTGTTTGCTTACAGGAATTGATAGCAATTTTACTTTGACTTCTCTTGCAATGGAAATGCAATGAGGCAATGAACATGAAATTATCAAGATGCTTATTAGGCCTTCTGAGAAGACTTTAAGAATGGGCAAGAGTAAAAAAATAAAAAATTAAAAATTAAAAAAATAAAATTAAAAAATAAAAATTAAAACATAAATAAATCCTGCTAGGTATTTCAAGTTGCTGTGCAGAGCACCAGTGGCACCTGCTGGTTTCTTTGGGTAACCACAGACCTTTTGTTGCGTTTGCATTTGGCGTGGGCAGCAGCAGCCAGCAGGTGCCCTCCGCACAGGGTTCCCAGTGCAGCAGTGTCTACATTGCTGAGTTCTGAACTGAGAAAAAGTCTAATGTTTAAGTGCTGAAGAGTGATCTTTTTCTTCAGACTTAATAAATTAAAAACATAGAAAACATGCTTGTTATTTAAATGGATAAGACTTTGACATTTTGAGTGCTTTTCTTACTATAAAATCAATATACTTGCATAAAATTGTACAAGGAAGAAGATAAAAGTAATGTAATTACTTCCTACATTTAACTACTGATAATATTTTGCCATAATTACTACATTGTTGCATATACGCTTATTTATTCACACCTTATTTAACAAAAAAGGACCTTACACATTTATGTTTCACTTGACATGACAAAATTTAAATATTCACAATATTGTTTTATTAAGCGTTTTAAAAAATATTCATCTACTTGAAATTCAGAATTAGTAAGAAGGAGAAACAGAGAGGTCCTCCATCACAGAGGTTCTCTTCCCAGGTGACGGCGAAGACTGGAGGTGGGCTGCGCCGAACTCGGGGGCCCGGGGCTCGCTCCGTCTCCTGCTTAGGTTCCAGGTCCCAACCACGCAGGGCGTCTTCCCAGGCCCACCAGCGAGGACCTGGGTCAGGGTAGACTCATATGGCATATTCCCTCTGCAGGCAGCGCCAGCCCCCAGGAAGCATTCCTGAACATGCGTACAAAACTAAAAATTTAAAAATAGCTATATATAATATTCAACTACTTGATCATTGTTAAAACTATTTATTTAAAGATTTATTCATTTTTATTGGAAAGGCAGATTTACAGAGAGAAGGAGAGACAGAGAGGAAGGTTTTCCATTCGCTGCTTCACTCCTCAAGTGGCAGCAATGGCTGGAACTGAGCCGATTTGAAGCCAGGGGCCAGGAGCTTCTTCCGGGTCTCCCAAGCAGGTGCAGGGTCCAAGACTTTGGGCCTTCCTCTACTGCTTTCCCAGCCCACAGGCAGGGAGCTGGATGGGAAGTGGAGCAGCCAGGACATGATCCAGCACCCATATGGGATTCCGGTGCGTGCAAGGTGAGGATTTAGCCACTGGGTCATTGTACCAGGACTGGATATATTTATTTGAAACAGAGAGAGAGAGATCTTTCATTAGCCTGTTTACTCCCCAAATAGTCGAGGCTGGGCCAGACCAACGTCAGGAGCCTAGAACTCCATTTAGGGCCCCCATGTGAGGGTAGCAGAGGCTCAGGTACTTGGCCTGTCTTTTTCAGCTTTGCCAAGCACACAAGCAGGGAGCTGGATCAGAAGTGGAGCAGCCAGGACTTGAACTAACATTGCAATATGGGATGCTGACGTTGCAAGCACTGGCTTCATGGACTGAGCCCCCTACTATTGCATTTTGTAGAGATGATTCTTTTTTCCAGTGCTGGATATTTGTCTCCATGTTCATGTTACGCCAAAATGAGCATCCTTGCACATGCATCTTTGATTTTATCCCAGATTACTTCCTTGAAATAGACTTCTAGAAGTAAAATTGCTGTTTCATATTCATATTTTCTCATTTTTCTTATTTTGAACTGAATTTAGTTCAGCTTTATTTGGAACTCCAGTCCCATGGCATGATTAATATGAAAAAAAAGGTAATGACCTACTAATTTCTAAAGTCTTCCCATTTCTCAAAGTGGTTATTTTTAAATAGGCCACCCTCACCTCATCTGAGTAAACTAGGGGAAAAAAATCACACATGTCAATGAAAGTTGGTGAAGGTCTGATGGGGTAGAGGTGAGGTCTGGTCTTGAAAAGGAGCTTGCTGGACAAGGTAGTGGACCGAAGCGGTTGCTTGTCCTGGTGCTAAGGATGCATCTGGAGCAGCCGCATCTGGGACCAGCACGCCTCGGCTCCACTCCCGCCCCGAGGGCCTGCTAACAGCCCTGCGAGGCACAGCTGCTGCTGGCACTTTCTCCTACACCCACGTGGGAGCCCAGGATCGAGTTCTTGTCTCCTGTCTGTGACCTGGTCCAGCCCGGTTGTCGCTCTTTGAGGAGTAAACCAGCAGATGGGAGATCTGTCTCCCCTCCTTTCAAATAAGCAAATCAATAGTTAAATAAACAAGTTTTTAAAAGGCAGTAGATATGACCCAGCTGGTATAGGATGGTTAACATGTAACATAGACCATATAAAATACTACATTATGATGGAAAATTTTAGATCTTTTGTATGCATAAGTATCCTTAACTTTCTGTACTCACGAAGGGGCCCTTCAAAAAGTCCATGAAACATGTATAATATGAAAAAAAGCTATGAATTTCAAAAATTATTTGCACCAAAACATAAACTTTTTTTTAAAGTTGTTTATTTCCATTTGATTTGAAAGGCAGACTGAGTCAGACAGAAAATTCTGCTGCTGCTTCACAGGCAGTGTTGGGTGAGACCAAAGCCAGGAGTGGAGCCCCATGCAGGTCTCACATGCGGGTGTAGGAACCCGAGGACTTGAACCACCGCCTGCTGCCCCCAGGAAGCTGGACTGGAAATGGAGTAGCGAGGACTAGAACGAGGCACTTCAAAATGGGATGCAGGCAGCAACTTAGCTCTCGCACCGCATGCCTACCCCAGTTACAGAGAAAACATATAAACATATGTTTATGTTTAAAACATATAAATCTAGGTTTATTTCACTTCTTAAGTTTATACCAAATTCTTTCATCTCATAAAATTGCATTTTGTGACTTCCAAACATCCTAGCAGGCTAATGGTGTTTGAATTCTAGTTTTCTTTCAGAAATGTAATTATATTGAAGTGTTGAAGGCCTTCCTTTCAGGCATCATTTAACCAGTGATGTCTGATAGTTTAAAATAGTATCTTTGTCCTCTACTGCTTTCCCAGGCCACAGGCAGGGAGCTGGATGGGAAGCGGAGCAGCCGGGATTAGAACCGGTGCCCATATGGGATCCCAGGGCGTTCAAGGAAGGACTTTAGCTGCTAGGCCACGCCGCCGGGACCAATAATATCTTTGTCCTAATAAAAAGGGGGAAAAAGAGAAAATAAATAAATTTTTAAAAACTTTGTCCTGACATTGACTGTCATTATTTAAGTTATTTTGGCCTTTTATTAATTTCCCTGTTGGTCCCTGTTGCTGTAAGGAGCTCCGGAGGAGACGCAGGTGCTCCACTGACATTCCCGGATGAGCTTGGAATTTTCTTCTCTTTTTCCTTCTTACCTACTTGCCTCTTACTCTATTTTTTCATATCTAGATCTTGGCCCTTAGTCTCTTGTCACTTGTCAGAAACTCATAGCAGAGGATTATTCTCTAAGTATGTGGGAAAAGAAAATCTGAAGTAAAACTTCAACTTTATTTTGAGTGGTGTGATCAGTAACTATTAAAATCTAATCAATGCTTTTGCAATTGTTTCCAATATACACAGAAGAGCTGTGGGCTTGAAAACCTGAAACTTAGAGCAGAGGGTAGACCAGCTGGTAGCATAAAAGGACAGCTAAGGGATCTGGAGCAGGTTTCCACAGGCAAGGGGCTTCACCCGTAAAAGAGAGAGACGTGTAAGAAAGGGCTTCTCTACCGTTAGATCTCCTTTCTTAAAAAAAAGATTTATTCATTTTTTATTGCAAAGTCAGATATACAGAGAGGAGGAGAGACAGAGAGGAAGATTTTCTGTCTGATGATTCACTCCCCAAGTAACTGCAATGGCTGGAGCTGAGACAATCTGAAGCCAGGAGCTCTTCTGGGTCTGCCACGCGGGTACAGGGTCCCAAGACTTGGGGCTGTCCTCCACTGCTTTCCCAGGCCACACGCAAGGAGCTGGATAGGAAGCGGGGCTGCCAGGATTAGAAGCGGTGCCCATATGGGATCCCAGTACATTCAAGGTGAGGACTTTAGCTCCTAGGCTACTGCACTGGACCCTAGGTCTTCTTTCTTTATTAAAAGTTTATTTTCTTTATTTGAAAGCCAGAGTGACAGAGAGAGGAAATTAGCAGAGAGAGAGATCTTCCATCCACTGATTTAATTCCCAAATTCCACAACATCCAGGCAGGGCTAGGTCGGGGGTGGGAGCCAGGATCTGGGGCTCCCCTCCGGGGCCTGAGCACTGGGACCAGCATGTGCTGTGTTCCCAGCTACATTAACAGAGAGCCGGGTCAGAAGTGGAGCAGCTGGCACTCAAGCAATGCCCACGTATGATGGCAGCAGTGCAGGCAGCAGCTTTACCCTGTGGGTGAATGCTTGAAAGCAAAGCCTGGCAGTGTGTGCGGGATGCGCCGTGTGGGCGGAGTGTGTGGTCTCTGAACCTTAGGACCGCACGTGTGCTGTGGGATGGTGTGACAGTGGAACATGGGCAAGTGTTTCCTTTGTTTGCCCGGAAGAAAGCAAGTGAAAGTCGCACTGCAGCTGATGGGAGGTACTGGCAACCGAGACAATGTGAATGTGCACTGCTGGCGAGGAGGTGGAGTCCTACCCCACTCCCAGCAAAAGAAACAGAGAAAGGTGGCAGCCTTAAAGAAAAACTCCAGCCTGGCACATCTGCACGGGTACGTGTGGATCCATGGGGCGGCTGAGTTGGCAGCAGGCAGAGGCTGGGTCGGTGCTGCCACGAAGAAGCCAGAAGGAGCGAGGCAGACTGCGCGGCCCCGTGGGGTGCCCTCCGGCCGGCTCCAGGCAGCATTTGGGGAGCAGAAGCCGAGCTGCTTGGAGTTAGCATGGAGACTGAAGGAAAACCGAGCAGATCCGGAGCTAAGGCTGCCCTAGGGAAGCGGGAGCCCGGCCTGGCTCTGAGCACCGCAGGAGGAAAACAGCCACGCTCAGCCTAACTGCGCCCACAACCTGACTTTTAAACTTGCCCTGAGGCAGGCGGCTGGTGTAGCAATCCAGCAACTGCCTGCAGTAAGTCAGCGCCTGGCTACTGCTTCCCACTCAGGGGGCTCCTTGAGCAGGCAGTGATGGCTGCCATTGCGGTTTTTGTTGTTGTTGTTTTTAAGATTCATTCATTTTTAATTGAAAGGAAGATTCGCAGAGAAGAAGAGACAGATCTTCTGTCCACTGGTTCACTCCCCAAGTGGCTGCAGTGGCTGGAGCTGAGTTGATCCAAGGCCAGGAGTTTCCTCTGGGTCTCCCCCACAGGTGCAGGGTCCCAAGGCTTTGGGCCATCCTCCACTGCTTTCCCAGGCCACAGGCAAGGAGCTGGATGGGAAGTGGAGCAGCCAGGATACAAACCGGAACTCAGACATCCTGGTGAAAAGGTGAGAACGTCAGCCACTAGGCTATCGCACCAGGCCCTGTCCTGAATCTTTTTGGCCTTAGTATCAAGTATTAAGAAAGCCTCCTAAGTTAAAAAAAATTTATATATTGTGATTAGCACAGTGGCTCAAAAGGCTAATCCTCCACCTGCAAGCACTGACATCGCGTATGGGTGCTGTTTCATGTGCTGGTTACTCTATTTCTGATCCTGCATATGTGCTGAGAAAGCAGCAGAGCATGGACCAAGTCCTTAGAACCCTGCACCTACATGGGAGGCCTGGAGTAGGCTCCTGGCTCCTGGCTCCACATAGGCTCAGCTCTGGTCACTGCAGCCATTGGAGAGTGAATCAGTAGATGGAAGATTTTTCTCTTTCTCTTCTCTTCTCTGTAAATCTATTTTTCCAATAAAAATAAATAAATAAAAAGAAATCTTTTTAAATGTTATTAAAAATTTTGTATAGTAATTCTACTTTAAAGGTCTGCCTATCTTTCTCTCTTCAAGTTAAGCTGGGGAGGGGATGGTAATTTTCCCTTCAGACAGCAGCTCGCTCCCGCTCGCCTCCTACATGCTCCTATCACAGATGTGAGGAATTTCTAAGATTTTAACTTGGCGATCGCGCATGCTCATTGATTTATATAGCTTCTGACACCCATATATTTTTAAAGGTCCCCAAATCACATTGGACTTTTATTTTTGTCTTTGGAAAATATTTCTAAAAACAGATACCCGTTTCTATTCTGACATTTCTCTTTCATCTCTGCTTAGGTGCCCACAAGCTATCAGGAAACATACAAGAAAAACATCCATTTAGACTGATGTTTGCCAATTTCCCTTCCATACCAGAAAGTGAAGCATCCAATTTCAACATAGTTTGATAAAGGGAGGATAATCTGATTTTTAAAAAATCAAATGTATTTAATGTCAGATCTGTCCAGCATAGTTTAAAGTTACCAGAGCAAGACTCCACTGCTCACAATTATAAGCAAGGTATCCATAAGTCCAGATTGTGTGGGGGCAGAATTCTTTTCCAATCCTAAAAGCCATAGACTGCACAACCTTTGTAGCCAGTGCCCGCATCCAGACTGGGTGTCCAGGGCTCTTGTGCGTGAGGGCTCAGACGCCTGAGGGCTCTTGTGCGGACCGGTGTCTGGGGAGAGGGCCAGGCTTCCCCGGGCGCTGAGAGGACGCTGCCTTCTGCAGGAGGCCGGGGACAACAGCCAGTTCTGCTGGAGGAACCTCTTCTCCGGCATAAACCTGCTGCGGCTGCTCAACAAGCTGACCAAATGGAAGCATTCCCGGACCATGGTGAGTGGACGCGTCCCGGCCGGGTCGCTCACAGTATTCACAAGCAGTGCACGCTGCCTCGCAGCTTAGCAGGGACACTGAATGCTAGGCGAGACAGCTCCTCCCCATTCCCAGCCCTTCCTGTCCGTGAACCAAGCCTTCGCCCAGCCATTTCTTTGCAGGGAGCCGAATATGAACCGCACCTCAGGTGGCTCTGGTAGGAAAGCTCACGGTGTGTTTGCATTACTGACACAAACTTGGGATTGTTCATTGCAACACTGCTTGTGATAATGAGAGACTGACAACTTAAATGCCCATTGGTGTGGGGCCATGTGGTTAACTACACAATACAACATCCTCAAAATAGAATATTCTGCAACCATAAAAAAGAATGAGACAGTTTTATACTGACTTGGATAATTTTCAATATATACCTCAAAAAGCCAGCTGCAAAGTGGGATATATAGTTGGCTATCTTTAGGTTAAAAGACAAATGTTACATATTCATACACAGGATCATATTCAGGAGATGCAGAAGACACTTGCTAACAGGAGAAATGGGAGGTGTGATTAACAAATTTCCTTTGTACTTTACCCCATGTACTTTGAATGTTAGAAACTTTGGATTTTGAAATAAGTAGTTACTCTGTTCTTAAAGAGCACATCTCAGTAGCGCCCGCAGCCCCGCGGGCGGCGTGAGGGCACGGCGGTGACTCGGCTGGCCTGGCCGTCGCACTTCTTCCCTCGTAACACACCCATCTGTCACCGGGCAGATGCTGGTGGTGTTTAAATCAGCTCCAATCTTGAAACGGGCCCTCAAGGTCAAACAGGCCATGCTGCAACTTTATGTCCTGAAGCTGCTGAAGATACAGACCAAGTACCTGGGGCGCCAGTGGAGAAAGAGCAACATGAAGACCATGTCAGCCATTTACCAGAAAGTGCGCCACCGCATGAACGACGACTGGGCTTACGGGAATGGTAAGTGTCCTCAGAGCCCCCAGGCTCCGGAAGCTCCCCAAAGCTTACTTACCTTTGTTGATGTTTTTCAAAATTATTTTTATTGGGAAGTCAGATTTACAAAGGAGAGACAAAGATCCTTCGTCCTCTGATTCACGCCCCAAGAGGCCAGAGCTGAGCCAGTCTGAAGTCAGGAGCTTCTTCCGGGTCTCTCACGTGGGAGCAGCGTCGCAAGGCTTTGGGCCAAGCTCTCCTATCCCAGGCCACAGGCAGGGAGCTGAACGGGAAGTGGAGCAGCCAGGATACGAACTGGCCCCCATACGGAATGCTAGTACATGCAAGGCAAGGATTCAGTCACTGCCATTGTGCCAGGTCCTATGTATTTTTTAATTTTTTCAATAAAATGTTTATTTGAAAGGCAAGTTTCAGAGACATGGCGACAGAGATAGATCTTCCACGTGCTGGTGCGCTCTGCAAATGGCCACAGTGGCAGGCCTGGGCCAGGCCGAAGCCAGGAGCCAGCAGCTGCTTCCATATCTCCCACACTGGTCCAAGGCCCAGGACTTGCTGCATCCTCTGCCGTCTTCCCAGGCCACAAGCTGAGACCTGGACTGGAAGTGGAGCAGTCTGGACCACCAACGCTGCAGGCGACAGCTTACCTGGCCATGTCCCAAGTTTAATACAGGACGAAATCAACATCCATCTCTGCTCTCTTGGCGTGAATTGCTACTGTTACTTTGAAGAAGAAAATATTTGCTGATAGTGGTCAGGTGCTGATAGAACAAATGTTAATGCAATACTCTAAATTCTTTTTAAAAACTACTTTGTCCTAGCTAAACTACAAAATTCCATCTTATAAAAGACAGAAATTGAAAGCTAATTATCCCCTTTCTAAAACATTCCATTAAATTAAAGTTTTCTCCAAAAGGTATTTTAAAGATTTTATTTATTTTTATTGGAAAATCAGATATACAGTGAAGAGACAGAGAGGAAGATCTTCCATCTGTTGATTCACTCCCAAAGTAGCCAAAATGGTGGGAGCTGAGCCAATCCGGAGCGAGGAGCCCAGAGTCGCAGCCTCTTCCAGGTCTCCCACGTGGGTGCAGGGTCCCAAGGCTTTGGGCCATCCTCAACTGCTTTCCCAGGCCGCAGGCAGGGAGCTGGATGGGAAACGGACAGGAAGTTCCTGGCTCCTTGCTTCGGATACTCAGCTCCAGCCATTGTGGCTATATAGGGAGTGAAGCAGCAGATGGAAGATCTTTCTCTCTATAAATCTGCCTTTTCAATAAAAAATAATAATTAAAAAAAAAATGGAGTGCAGGGCATGAGTGCTGTGGACCGGTACCTAGAGCCTTGAAATAAGTGTCTGAGTCGGAGTGAAGCAGGTCATCTGCCTCCTGGTTGTGCAGCTCCCTGGAAGCTTTCACCTCAGAATCATCAAAATCAACTCGCCGTAGACTTAACTGGGGAGAGGCCACGGATCAGAAGGCTCCTCCTGCTTTCCCTTCCTTCCGTCCCGCTGCCATTCCTCCATTGAAACACTCCTACCCCCTAGGCAAACCTCAGCAAAAACAACTGAAGTCCCCATCTACAACACATGGTACCTACAGTTGATAAGAAAATGAAATAATGAAATTAAAATACAGTGAGAAGCAAGTCTACCTCCCGTGGAGCCTGTGCTCCCATCCCGACCGTAACAGCTGTCACTGGTTTCTGGAGTGCCTTTCTAAAGACATATTCAGGCTTATGCATGCGGGCCATGTGTATTTTTGCTTAAGGAGAGAAGGAAAGCAAGAGCAGTCTTTCACCTGTTGGTTAAGTGCCCAGATGGTTTCAGTGGTCAGAACTGGACCATTCTGAAGCCAGGAGCTTCCTTCAGGGCCTCCCACACGGGTGCAAGATCCCAAGGTTTGGGGCCATCCTTACTGCTTGCTCAGGCCATTAGCATGGAACTGGGTCAGAAGTGTAGCAGTCAAGACTCGTGAGATGCTGGCACTGCAGGCAGCAGCTTAGCCTAATACACCATGTTGCAGGCAGCCACATATGTGTAGCTTTTTTAAGATTTTATTTTTATTGGAAAGGCAGATTTACAAAGAGGAGAGACAGAGTGGACTATCTTCTATCCATTGGTTCACTCCCCAAATAGCAACAATGGCCAAAGTTGGGCTGATCTGAAGCCAGGAGCCTGGAGCTTCCTCCAGGTCTCCCATACAGGTGCAGGGTCCCAAGGCTTTGAGCCGTGCTCCACTGCTTTCCCAGGTCACAAGCAGGGAGCTGGATGGGAAGTGGGGCAGCCGGGATGCAAGCTGGCGCCCTTATGGAATGTTGTGCTTGGAAGTGAAGGATTAACCAATGAAACCTTTGTGCCAGGCCCTTTAAGAAAAAAAGATTTTTTTTATGCATATGTGTTCTGTAGACCTAATTGTCGGCATGCTTAACTTTGTACACTGCTCTTGACAAAAAGGGGAATTCCACGTGCAGTGCCCTAGACCACACTCCGACAAATGGAGTGCTGTGCTGACCTGGGCACGTCTTTGTCCTCTCCTCCCGACACAGACATCGATGCCAGGCCGTGGGACTTCCAGGCGGAGGAATGCACGCTGAGGGCCAACATTGAGGCTTTCAACAGCCGCCGCTACGACAGACCCCGGGACTCGGAGTTCTCACCCGTGGATAACTGCCTGCAGAGCGTGCTGGGACAGAGGCTGGATCTGCCTGAAGATTTCCACTATTCGTATGAGCTCTGGCTGGAGAGAGAGGTGTTTTCCCAGCCCATCTGCTGGGAAGAGCTGCTCCAGAACCAGTGAGCTTTCCCATCAGCCGTCTGGCAGATGGAGGTCGGCTCAGATCAACGGTGGTCCAGCAAGCCTGCCCACTCAGCCTTGGCCTCCTGCTTGGAGACTGCTTATTCAAGGGGAGTTCTGGGCCAGCCCTGGGACATAGAGGATAGCTCAGAACTAGACTCTGGCACCTTGTGGACCTAGAGATGGCATGAGGTTGGCATCTAAGTCAAAGCAAGTCCATCTCCTTGGCCAGCGGTCAGCCGGCTGCCTGGTTGACCTTGGGCGGATCCTGGCCAGGCTCACTGGAGGGCCCCCTGCCTGTCACGGTCTCACCTCGACCCAGGCCAGCCTTCACTGGCTCTAAGGGTGCGAAGCTGGCATCCGTCACAGGAAGGGGGCAGAGGGCCAGGTGACATCACAGGCAGAACCCTGGGTTCCTAGGAACCATCCAGAGTTTGGTAAAACCAACTTTGAAATGAAGTGTGCATTTTACATTTTAAATGTCAGAGCGCCTGCGCCTTCGTGGCGGGTTTGAGGACTTCTGTTTCCCAGCACTGCATGTTACCCCAAGTATTGCCTAGAATGTTTCCCCCGTGTTCCTATGAAGTTACTTCCTTGTGTTCCTTGTCCAGGAAACGGAGAACACTGCCACATTGAGAGGCCCGGCCAGTGCGAACTCAGCAGGCCTCGCCTAAGGCCGTTTCTTGGTTTTCTGAAATGACTGCAGTCTGAAAATGGCCACGCACTCTGCAGAAAATTATTTTCACCTGAGTCCTTGTTTGAAATGACAACTTAACTACAGGGGGTTTATTTATTGAGATGGCATGGCCATTTGTGCTCATGATTGATTTATTTTTTAATTGAAAAACAGCAAGAGCATCACAGCTTGCTCTTTCTTCTCCGATGTTGAACGCCCCCCCCCCCGGGTTTTTGCTGCCAGCATCCTGTGGGTCACGGGGCCATCTAGCAGTTCTGCTTCTCCCCGAAAGCGGTGCACATTCCAGCGAGAATGGAAGGCTTCATGTATCAGCCTCTTTGTACTCCCCCCAGGAAGTAGGCTTTTAGAAAAGTTTGTGAATCAGTCAGGCTCGTTTTGTCTTACATCCCACAACCATCACGTCCATCTCCAAGCTTTTTGACTTTCAATGCTCCCCTCCCAGGGCAGATACCATTGAATCCTTTCCCAGTAAGTCCAGCGGCTTATCCTCCTGCCCTTTGTCATCTCATCAGGAGGCTGTGACACAAGGAATTATAGGAAAATGGAATGATTAAATGTTGGAGTATTAGTGGAGCTTGGCTAGCGCCATGGGAGTCGCATTTGATGATGGCAGTGGGTGCCGGAATGTACACAGACACAGGACAGGGTGGGGGCGGGGGCAGAAAGAGCCAGCCAGGCTTGCCTGGGACCCTTAGGACCAACCCTTTTCAAGCACTACCTTTGGGGGGCCGGCCCCCTCCCTTCCTGGGACCGGAAGCCTCCCTGCGGTCCCATCTCCAAGATGTCTCCCTTCCTAACTCAGGAACCATCAATATTCATCTCTCATCATAAGCCTGGGAGTGAACCAAGCTGACACCCAGTCCCAACAGGAAGGAAGGGCGGAGGGGAGGAGGGAGACAGGCAGAAGGAAGGGCGAAGGGGAGGAGGGAGACAGGCAGAAGGAAGGGTGGAGGGGAGGAGGGAGACAGGCAGAAGGAAGGGCGGAGGGGAGGAGGGAGACGGGCAGAAGGAAGGGCAGAGGGGAGGAGGGAGACGGGCAGAAGGAAGGGCAGAGGGGAGGAGGGAGACGGGCAGAAGGAAGGAACTTGAAGTAGAAGGGAGGAGACAGGAATTTTTTTAAGTATCATTTCTAAGAAGGATAGTGGTAGAATAGTCTATGTTTAGATATTCTAAGAATGTATGCTTCGATTCTGGCAATTTTTTTTAAAGAACACCACAGTTAACACTACTATTTATAAAGAATTTGTAAGGATGTGTATTCATAAATAGACAAAAGTGAACTTGTGCTATTCCAATGTGAAGCTTAACAGTTACCTAAATTTAACATCTTCCAGTTTACACAGATTTGTTCAGTTCTTGTGGTATAAATTGAACTATCTTAAGTTGTAAACATAAAACAATTCTTGAGTGGATTAGCATTTAAAAAAATGCAGGCTTGGTCTTGTAGCATCCCATATGGGTGGTCTGTGTCCCAGCTGCTCCATTTCCGGTCTGCTTTCTTAGGAAAGCAAGCCGCTGACTCCAGTGTTTGGGGCCCTGCACCCATGTGGGAGACCAGAGGAAGTCCCTGGCTTTAGCCTGGCCCAGTGCTGGCCACTGTGGCCATCTGGGGAGTGAACAAACAGAACACCTCATGGTAGGTACCACACAATGGCCAATTGGTTAGTCCTCCCCTTGCAAAGCACCAGGACCCCATTTGGGCACTGGTTCGTGTCCCAGCTGCTCCACTTCCCATCCAGCTCCGTGCTTATTGCTGTGAAGCAGTGAAGGATGTCCCAAAGCCCTGGGATTCTGCAACCACATGGGAGACCCAGAGTAGGCTCCAGGCTCCTGGCTTTGGATTGGCTCAGCTCTGGCCACTGCAGCCATTTAGGGGAGTGAACCAACAGATGGAAGATCTTTCTGTCACTCATCTCCTTAAATCTGATCTGCCTTTCCAAAAGAATAAAATTAATTAAATAAATAACTCATTTCATATAAAAAATACCCTCAATGTCTTGCTCTGTAACTCTATTTTTGATAAACAGATTTTTAAAACACAAAGTCACTGACTCCACGTGCAAATTGGAGAATGTTAGTCAAAACTGCTCCACGGCCGTGGACTGCCATGGCGTGGGCCAGGTGCTCAGCCAGCTGCCTGCCATGGTACTTCTGTACAGGCTGCCCCACAGTGACGGGGTGCAGCTCTCGGTATAGTGCGTTAAGCATCCCAGCTCAGGGAACTAGCTCAGGTCCTGACTGCTCTGCTTCTGGTCCAGCTCCCTCCTAGCAGCTCACGTGCTTGGGTCCCTGCCACCCAGGTGGGCAATGAGGAGGGCATTCCAGCGGCCTCACTCCAGCTCCGCCCAGGCTCGGCTATTACAGTCACTTGGGGAAGTGAACCAGTGAACAAATACCTCCCCCTGGCCTGTGCCTTTCAAATAAACAATACATCTTAAATAAAATGAGATTGTCGAAGTGGGCCACCCAGGGCTGAGCGATGGGTTCCTCGTTGGAGATTTGGGGGTAAGGGCAGCTGAAGAAAGGACGGCTGGGTGGGCAGTGCTGCTGCTGGCAGTGAGCCTGTGGAAGGTCCAGGAGGATATGCCTTCTGCCCAGGAAATGACGGGAGCCAGGCCAGCTCGGATGTGCGATGCCATCACCACAAAGACTGGGTCACTCTAACAGAAGCCGTCACTGCCCTGACCAAGAGGGCCATCACCATAGCAGGTGACATGGCGGGGGACAGTCCCTGGGGGACAGGACAAACAGATCAGCAGAAGGAAGACAGACCCGTGTAGAGGAGCCCAGAGCAGCCTGTCTCACACACCACACGGGGAGGCTCAGTGCTGCGCCCTCCCCTGCTTTGGGCCATTTTCTTCATTTTTAAGATTTTATTTCTTTGAAAGGCTCTCTCTCACACACACACACATACACACAGAGATTGTATCTGCTGCTTCACTCCTTAACTGGCCACAATGGCCAAGCTGAAAGCCAGAAGATGGGAACTCCACCCACGCCTCGCACGTGGATGCAGGGACCATCCTCTGTGCTTTCTCAGGGACATTAGCAGGGAGCTGAATAAGAAGTGGAACAACGGGACTCAAATCAGTGAATGCCTGAGCTTGCAGGTAGAGGATTAGCCAGGTGAGCCATTGCACTGTCCCTTCCTCCCCTGTAAGTCAGAGGTCAATAAGGAAGAAGTTACCGGGTTTGGCAGAATGAAGCAGATTCTACTTCCTGCTGAATCAGAGCAACGATTCCCTTCACACCTGCCACTGCGGCAGTGACACAGGACGACAAGCTGGAGCAAGGCTGCCCTCTGTCGGACACAGGTGAGCACACAGTGGGTCCAGCCAGAGGACTGCAGGGGCAAGGTGCTGTTGGGATGTTTTTCTTTATTTGAAAGCCAGGAACACAGAGAGATCTCGTCTGCTGTTCCACTCCCTTCATGCCCCCCAACAGCTAGGACTGGACCAAGTCGTGGCCAGGAGCCTTGAACTGTACCTGGCTTTCCCCCGGCAGGTTCTAGGGGGAAGGGATGTTAACTTGAGAGAGCTGACCTTCAGGAGGTAAGAAGTGATGGCGGTGGGCTGCCCCCATCAGGCATTAAGAGTGCGTCCCACGCAGGTAAAGGGCAGGTCAGAGGCATTCCTGGAAATACCTGCTGGTCAAATGACAGGTTACAACCCGGGCTTGCTTGGGAAGCACGCCTAGCAGACCCAGCAACATACCCACTCCCCTTTGAAAGCCAAGGGCACCCAGCCGTTCAGAGCCCTGGGCACTGAAGCCTGTCCCCTGCTTTCCCAGCTCCAGGCACCTGCTCGTAGGGACCCTCCCCATCACCCATCTCAACACAGCGGTACAACACACCCGTTCTGGGGAGGATCTCTGGCCAGCAGGGCCCTAGACCACCAAGGGGGTGAGGCGACGGTGTTCTTGAGCTACAGAACCATCGAGGACAGTCTGCGGGAACATGCCCCCTGATTGTATAGAGTACAATTTATACAGACTAGAAAAGGGGCCGGCGAGAGGGCGGTCCCGACAGTCCCGCCACCCAACAATGGCATTGTAATTGGCTAAAAGGCACGGCTATCCCTTTAGATCCTCCAGAGTGTCACAGCTGGAAGCTGTCTCAGGTTATGGGCAGGTTGGCATGGGTCACGCCCGCCTGGCACCAGGCAGAGATCCAGGAGCGCTCTCCCACAACCTATCACTTCCAGGGTCTGCCAAGTACCCCCATGTGCCCGCCCTCCCCCCAAAAAAAACACTTTAAATACAAGGACTTTGTCCATTCAGGGTGAATCTTGGAGATACTGAGTCCACAGGGGTCTTGCCCTCAGCCTGTAGCCTTCGGGGCCAAGGACAGCATGAGGGCACAAGGCCGGAAGCAGAACCGCTGTCCCTTTCACAAAGAGCGCCCCATAGAATCCTCACCCTAACCCTATAACCCTCAGGGATCAGCGAGGAGTTCTTCCACCACGGTCTCCAGGGCGTGTGGCCCTTTCCCGCTGCTCAGCCTCCTCCGAGGCTGCTCGGCGCCTCCTTGGTTCGCCTCCAGTCCCCCCGACGTGGCCGTCCTCTGTCCTCCAGACGTGGCCGTCCTCTGTCCCCCAGACGTGGCCGTCCTCTGTCCTCCAGACGTGGCCGTCCTCTGTCCCCCCGACGTGGCCGTCCTCTGTCCCCCCGACGTGGCCGTCCTCTGTGCCCCAGGCCGCCCCCCCCCCCGCCCGGTCGCCTGGCAACCGGCAAGGCCGCCGCGCGCCGCCGGGCGTTTGTGCCCCTGCCCGTCGGGCGAGCAGGGCGGCTGGCGCTCGGTGGCCGCAGGAGCGCCTTCGCCCGGGAGTGTGGAAGAGGAGGCGGAGGCCCGGGACACGGCTGGAGCAGGCCGCGGCGCCGCCCCCGGGGCATGTGAAGTGGGGCATCCGGCGTGTTTCCGGGTGCGGAGCCGATGCCACGCTTGCCTGGCCGACTAAGCAGGGAATGACCATGGTAACTAACGCCCGTCTGATTGGGAATTCCGAGGGCTCACTCCGGGGCTGCCTTCGGAGAGGAGCCTTTCCCGGGGCGGGGGTGTGGGAACCCAGGGAACAGGAGGGGCCAGGGAGGGGTGGGGATCCCTGGCAGCCTGACGCGGCCTGATTTTAGTTCCTTGGCTCCGTTGAGCAGCTGGCACACTCCAAGATAGTTTCTGTGTGGGAGAGAGAGGCAGTCTGGCAGCGTGGGCTCCAGGACACACACGCCCACAGCAAGTACCCGTCCCACCCCGGTGTGGACTGCCCAGGGCCCCAGGTGCTGCCCGCTGAGGCAGGCAGCAAGTACCCACACGTACCTGACCCCGGCCCCTTGAGCTTGAGACCCCGCCGCAATCCACAGCCCACACGTTCTCTCTGCCCTGCTCCAGCATCCTGCACCTGCCACGAGCAGTGGACGCAGCCCCAGCCCAGGAGTGTTAACCCCTTTGTGTGGAAAGCCTTGTCCTCCTGCTGTCCACAGACCGTGCGCTAGGGCCCGGTTCCTCGCGGTGTGCGATCTGTGTTGTAGATTTGATACTGAGCATCTGTTGATTTCAGTTGGGAGTCACTGTTGTGGT